CCTTTTTTGTTTTATTTATTTTGTTTTTCTGTTTTTTTTACAAATTTTTTTTTGGTGTTGGTGCTTTTTTTTTTTTTTTTAATAAATCTTTTATTATTTTAAAAAAAAAAAAAAAAAAAAAAAAAAAAAAAAAAAAAAAAAAGCTTTGATAAAAATCGGTTTAATGCTTTGCCTTGCAGATCCGCGGGGTAACCGTAACAGGTCGTACAATGACAGGTTAGGTACCTAATGTATTGCACCTAGCAAAACCGCATGCAGCCAATAAATTCGCAAAGCTTCAAGGGAAGGTGCTATGAAGACGTATTGGGACGTATCAATTTATCCAAACTTGAAGTTAGGTAAGCTTGATGCGAAGCTGCACTATGAGGTGCAGCATACCCTAACTAAAACCTAAGATAAGTAGGCAGGATAGGATCACTAATACCTTAGTGCATAGGTAGCCTGCATGTAGGGAAAGAACGGGATGATGTAAGAGGTCCCTACCTAGGTAACCACAATGTACCTAGGCAGCTAGAGGTAGGTTCCAACCAACAATCTCTCTCTCTCTTTTTTTTTTTTTATCTGTCTTTGTAACACCTGGATTAGCAATAGGTACGATCACACCACCTCGGGCCATATAGAGCCGGTCAAAAAATAAATACCGGTAAACCCGAGCATCGGCCCATTATTTTTTTTTTTCTCTTAGTCTTTTTTATTTTTAATTTTTCGATGAATACCTATTTCAATGTCATTCCATAATATTGTCAGGGCTTTTAGACGCCATCTTTTCCTCCGAGCTACTGTCAGCTACACCATTCTTTAAGGTGCTTTACATATGGCTTGGATTCTCTACATGTGGTAGGTGAATTGCGCCAGGGTTGATTTTTTATTTTTATATATTTTTTTTCAACCAATTCTAGAATCCTTCGTATCATAGGTAACTTACTATTACCTACCTCTCCTCCCAACCCGCCCTTACGAATAGAAGCAGAAAGTAGAGTTGCTAAAATAGTAAGCAAGCCATAGGGATGCTGCTTTTCGTCCATTCATTTCTTCGAGTTACGCCTCTGTTTAGTGTAACATTCCGTTTTCAATCTTAAAAGATGCAATCCGTTCCCCCTCTTCCGACGACTTCCCGTGAGTCGTCCGTTGTCGCCGCCACACCCGCATCCGCAAAGGCTGCTGCTGTAACCGCCACCAATGCCAAGCCCGATACACTAGAAAAGAAAAAAGTTGCCCTAGCCCATGAGCGCATATCCTATCCTTTCTGGTTTGGCGGAAGCGCGAGTAGTTTCGCCGCCTGTGTGACGCATCCGCTTGATCTTGGTATGTTTTACGATTAGAAAGAAGAAAAGACTTCCTTATGTCCAGATTCCTTGGCATTTAAATATCGACTAGGGTTCGCTAATAGATGATATTCGTATACAGTCAAGGTTCGGCTCCAATTGCGAACCGGCGATGCTCCTAAAAACATGAGCGGCACCTTCGTACACGTCGTGCGGACGCAGGGAGTTCTCGGGCTGTATAACGGCTTGTCAGCATCGCTGCTCCGGCAGATGACGTACTCGACCGTTCGTTTCGGCGTGTACGAAGAGCTCAAGTCCCACTTCACAGCTGACGGTCGTAAACCCTCCTTACCGTTACTGATTGGACTGTCGACGTTTTCCGGTTTCCTCGGCGGCATATCCGGTAACGCTGCCGACGTGACCAACGTGCGCATGCAGCAGGATGCGGCGCTCCCAGCAGCGCAGCGCCGGGCCTATAAACACGGGCTTGACGGTATGTTTCGCATGTTCCGCGAAGAAGGGTTTCGGAGTTGGTTCCGCGGGGTCTTGCCGAATAGCACTCGCGCCGCGCTCATGAACGCCGGCCAATTGGCTAGCTACGACACATTCAAGGGGATGCTGATAGCGTATACGCCGCTGGGTGATACTACGACGACGCATTTCGCTAGCTCGTTCTTTGCTGGGTTCGTAGCCACTACGATCTGCTCTCCAGTCGACGTCATCAAGAGTCGAGTGATGAGCACTAGCCATAAGCAAGGGATCCTTCACCTCCTACGTGAGGTCTATGCTAAGGAGGGCGCGACATGGATGTTCAAAGGCTGGGTGCCGGCCTTCTTGAGGTTGGGGCCGTAAGTGCTATACCGTTCCGATTAGCTTTCCTCGTCCTTTCTTGCTGACAAATATTCGCAGGCAAACGATATGTACATTTTTGTTTCTAGAAGCGCACCGCAAGGTTTATAGAAAGTTTAAGGGGATCGAATAAGTATTCTTGCAAGCAGATAACGCAGAAGCCTCGATATAGCACCGATAGAGTGGTTACGGATCTAGAGGTTATACCTAGAATGACGGCGTTTAGAGTCAAATCCTTGGCATTATCACAGGAGTTTTGGGAAATATTGGCAAATTTACCTATCAGTCATTTTTGGGGTATGATGCTTTCTATTGCAGATATTATGTGCGCTTGGACTGGGTTTCCAGACAAGCACGTATACCAACCAAATCGAGAAATGATTTTTTGTGAAAATGCATACGTCCACTTTCTCTAACCTGAGTATCCCCTAAACTCCGCGTGATGATACAATGCAACGCAACCAGATCATGTGTCAAGAAAACCAACCTTCCGACTTAGCCTCGAGATAACTCGAAGCCTCATATTATACAAGGCAGGTTGTAAAGAAAAAGCTGCCTTCCGAGAAAAGGGAGCTCATTAAGTGGTATTAGGTGCTCAACTCCATCCGTTAGAACCAGAGTTGCCATAAGGTGTCGTGCCGTACGCCGTAGCTCCACCCCCCCAAGCGCTGGCTGCCCCAGGATTGCCGTAAGGGGTGCTGTAGCCCTGTTCCATATAGCCTGCGCCAGTGTCCATTGCATCCGGACTGCGAGGACCATCATAGTCGCCATTCATGCCCTCGCTCTCTCCAAGCCCGTGGATCAGACCGGCAAGCTTGCGCTGCAGCTCCTTGACACCTTCCAAGATGATGGCATCAGATTGAATGTTTCCGATTCCCTCAACCTCGAAGTAGAATCGCGACGGGACAGCATCATAATCGAAGGGTTGGCCCTCAGCAGGCGGCTCCTCAACGTCGGCATACTTCGATTTCGGCCTAGTACTACGGTTAATTATCTGGCAAGAAATTCACTGGGATACTAGGATACCAACCACTCAGCCTCAGGGTCCTGCTCGTACCACAGATCCAGGTGATGAAGCTTATTATGTGGATCGTATTCGAAGCCGATAGCAGAAGTAGGAGACCACTTCGCATGCTCCTTAGCGATACCTTTCTTTGCGATGCAGCTGAGCTTTAGCTCTTGACCCTTCCGGAGCTTGCAGATCAACGATCCGAGTCCATCAGGGTCTGTGATGACTGGGTTGCCAATCTCGCTGTTAGGTCGGTTAAAGCCAACAACTAGATCGCGAGCATACACCTTCATGACTTCGTCGCCCGTGCACTTGGCGTGTAGGGTCAGAGTTACGCTGCATCTTTCGCAGTTCTGTTCGCAATCGCAATCGCGGGAGTAGGACAGATTATCAATTTCGCTAGAATTAAGGGGGATTAAACCGAGCCGATGGCTGATGAATTCGTCAGCAAGGACGGATGTGTTGACTTCGATCTCGACGAGGTCAATAGCTATTGTCGGGACTTCGGCGTGCATGACGCGTCGGAGGGAGTTCGCAAGAGATATGTCGACATTACTCAACTCGAAATCGACATGATACCGGTCGGCCTATGGAAAGGTACAATTAGGACAAAGGTCTTACGAGCCCGACAATGATGGCATTTCATACTGCCGACACCTGGATCTTAGGACCAAAATCCTCCTTGAAATCGCCATCCATCATGTTATCGTATTCCATCATTGCGATTGAGGCAGCACGAGCTGTGCGTACAGCTTTTGCAACGGAAGTATAATTAAGGATGGAGTAAAGGTGGCAATGCAATAATTCTTCCGAAATGGCGAAAATATGTTAGGTCGTTCTTTTGCGGTGTGAGGATGAAAGGGTAAGAAAGCTTAAAGACTTGTCAAGGCTGAAAGATTTCCAAGCAACCCACCACGCCCGCAACAGGCACATGGTACGTACCCCATTAGTGCCACGATCTGACTGGAGCAGTTTAGCGCCTCTTTCTAGTGGCGGGAGCACGCTACCTGTTAAAATGGTGTGGCATAAATACATATGCAAGGCTGAGAGGGTATTATGTAATTTGTCAGGGTCCCGTCTTAAGGCGTTGAAGTTTTACACTAAGAGCAGTACGTATATGTATCATATAGGTATCTGTGATATGACGTATTGCGGCTACAGCTTTGCCATTAACCAATGAATTTTGCACCCCTAAAGCAATGAGTAAATCTAGGTCGTTACTACGCAAAAGGTAACACAATGTAGAAGATCTTAAGAAAGGCAACGACTAAAACCTATGGTTATATGTTCATTCCAAGTCGAGCAATTGTGATGGCACAAGATATAAGCTACACTACATAGTATTTTTTTACGAGTAGTACGCGGCATAACAGCTACCTAGGTAGGTACTAGGTATATCGACAATCAAAATATTTAATACCATCATATTGAGAAGTACCAATTCTACCCAGTTCTGCTGTCGTTGATCACCATCTTCACTACCCTGGGCAAGCCAGAGATAGCAATGAAAGTTAGCGTCACCTGGAGGCAGTGTAATACCAGGGACACGGTGGGGGCGATCATGGGCAAGCCCAGAGGATGTGCCCCCGAAGGATAAAAATTAGAATAATCACGATTGAGTTCAAGTAGAACTCTTTCAGAGATTAAACTGAAAAGAACAGATACTACACTTGATCTAAGCCAAAAGGCAAAGAGAGCTGAAGAAAAAAAGAAGAAAAGAAAAAACTGAAAAGCTGGGAGGGGAGACCAGGTATTTATAGGCACATGGTAAAATAAAATGTGGGGGCGGTGATGAGGGGCAGAAAGGTCCGTTGCACCTGGCAAGTGCTTGGCAATTGCTGAGCAGTCCTTGCCGTAGTACATTCCCACTTGACAGGCAAGTGACAAGTTCTTGCCAAAATTTTTATTTTTTTCAGAAGTTTATCGCCCCATCTCGAGGGGTTTTGATAACCATCCACCTACATAAAATTTATAGGTGCACTACATCCTACTACCGCCCTGTACAATACATACCTACCTACCTACACCCCATCCTCTAGCCTTCAAACGGCATATACTTAATTCCTCATACTCAGTCATCATGTTAAAACAAGTAATTTCAAAATCAGCTCGAGCTGTATGCTCCAACCCAAGAACAATTGCTCAAAGACCTTTACTGAGGACGCCATTCTCCCCGGCACCTTTAAGCCCTCTACGAAGTATAAGATGGTATAGTGAGCAGCCAGAATCGGCTGAAAAAAAGGAGGGCGAAACGGCAACTGCCCAGGTGGAAGCACAGGATAGCGAGGCACCTAAACCATCAGATGCCGAGGTTGAGCTTAAGAAGAAGCTAGAAGCCAAAGAGAAGGAAGTTATCGACTGGAAGGTAAATGCGCCATATGCACTTTAGCGTGTTGTTGAATTCAAAACCTGACAATTCATATAGGACAAATACCTTCGATCTGTAGCCGAGTTCCGCAACCTTCAAGACCGAACGCAAAGGGAGATAAAGGCGACACGCGACTTCGCTATCCAAAAATTCGCCAAGGATCTGGTCGATAGCGTCGACAACTTGGACAGGGCCCTAACAATGGGTCAGGAAAAGATCAAGATGATGGAAGAGGACAAGAAGAACGAAGATCTGATCAACTTCTACGAGGGCGTCAAGATGACCGAAACCAACATGCTTCAGACCCTCCAAAAACATGGTCTGGAACGTTTCGATCCCCAAGGGGAGAAGTTCAACCCTAACGAACACGAAGCGACCTTCATGACCCCGATTCCCGACAAGGAGGACAATACGGTATTCCACGTTCAGCAGAAGGGTTTCAAGCTAAACGGACGAGTGCTCAGAGCTGCTAAGGTCGGCGTGGTCAAGAGCCAATAAACGATACGAACGAATCCTATTATTCAATGTATTATATGAAAGACCTTGTATACCACCACAACTGGACCGGCGTTGGGTAATGTATATAAAATGCTCCTCTCATGAAAAAAAAAGGTGGTCGGCGGAAATTCCTTGTTTATAAGGTCCACATGCACGGCACGGCATGTTTTTGGGGGGGACTCGGCTGTTAATATTACAGCTTTCTCGATCTATATGGGTCCTGGGACTTTTGCGTTACGTAGAGCGGTTATGACAGCATGGGCCAAGGCGATGACCATCTAATGAATATATATCCTCTTCGTATCCGGCATTCAAGACGAGCAAGCAATGGAATTATATACGTTATTGTGCCGAAGCCATAGGTACCAAACCTTATTCCCTCCCAATATATATATATCCAAGTTAATACTTATTAACTAACATAGCTCAACTTAAAGTAATCAGGACCATTGAAGATAATTTTGAAGGTTTCTTATGATGTTCATGCCGAAAACTGACCAGACGAGCACAGACCCTACGTACACAGTCCATAATACGGGTATCTCCCTAGGAGGTACTTCGTACACAGTCCGTAATAAAGGGGTCTACCTGGTACCTAACCAGCCTCCCTTCAAAAATTCAAGTTCATAAAGACCCTTGTTCAAACTACCTGGTATCAACAATAGGTACATACCTATTATTTCCATTGATGGTCAGTGCATGACCGGGGGAATTTTCTTTGAACAACACTCTTACAAAAGGGGATCATCCGTATGAAGCATTGACACTGTACGTGCGCAATACCAGCAACCCGGACAACCGACTCCAAAGACAACAAAGGGCTGAAAACTTTTCGAGTTTAGGTACAGGGTACTACCTAGGAGGTAGTTGGAGGAAAACATAAACTTAAACATCTAGCTACCTAGGTAACTACAGCACTAAATTCTTCGACCTGTTCAAGTCCGGGAATTAAAATTGTCGGACAAAAAAAAACAAAAACAAAAAAAAAAAAAAACACAGCGACTACCCATTTTTCATACACCCGGACAATAGTAGCCATGTCGCTAGCACCTCCCGTCTCCAAGGACGGATTCTCCTACGCCGGAGATATTTTCGCCGAGGCGAGCGGCCACAATCGGCACCGGCGCGCTACCGTAGCGGAGCTCAGAGACCACTTTCAGCGCGGCTCCGAGAAAGATCACCCGGCGCACTGGTTTGAGGCCCAGCTCATCCACTACGGCCTGCAGGTGTCCAAAACCAAGGCCGTGGCCCGCATGCGCCTCTTCGACGCTGTCAACGGCGGTAACCTCGCGGTCCCGGCGCACATCCAGAGGCTGGAGGCGGACCTGAAGAAGGAATGGATCAAGAAGGAGCGCGAGGCTAAGAAGGCCTTGAAGGATACGGCGGCCCCTTCTTCGCCCGCGCCCAAGACGCCTGCTACGGCCCGTGGCAAGCGCAAGGCCGAGTCTGCGAACATCGACTTTACCGTCAGCGTCGGGGACATCAACGTCACCGTCTCTGCTAGCCAGTCGGCTAAGAAAGTTAAGTCATCGTCTTCTAAATCGGCAACAACCACAGCAACCGTGCAGAAGGCAGAACCCAAGCCCAGGACCCCGAGGAAGCTTACCACTGCTGCTGCTCCGGCCACTAAGACTACTGCTTCCAGATCCACTGCGTCCAAGACTACCGTTTCAAAGACAACCGTGTCAAAGACCACCACCACCACCACAAAGGCCACTGGATCCGCATCCACAGCTCGTCGCGGGGGAATCTCCCAAGGACCCAGCCGCGCGAGTACCACGCCAGCACCAGCCCCAGCCCCTCGACCACTAGGCCCCCGCTCCGCCCGTCGCGGCGGGGCATGGGCAGGCCGAGGCCGAGGCACCGCTACCGCTACCGCTCCTCCATACCACCACAGCAGCGCCAGCCCCACCCCATCATCCCCCGTGAAGAACGAGTATTCCGACGACGACGACAACGGCTATAACGGCTACACCGGCTCCGTCAAGCGCGAAGACAACAACGACGACGGCAACGACGGAGAGGAACTCAAGCCCCTCGGCCTGCTCAACGGGCGCTACGAGCTCACGAGCGAGATGGTGGCCTCGGAATGGGGCCACACAGACCTCTCGCTCGTATTCACGCTCAGCGGGACCGAGCTGTGGGGCCTGTTCGACCTGGGCGTCGTCAGCGGCGTCATGCGCGTGCGCGAGCGGCCGTGGCAGTCGTCTAACCGGGCGTTGCGGTTTACCTGGCGGGGGCGGGAGCTCGAGGGGCCGATTATGTACGGGGACGGCCACGGGGGGTGGCTGCGGTTCCTGGGCGGGGGCAGGGTGGAGGGCGAGCTGGATTTCATGGGGATCACGTTTGAGGGGAGGAGGGCTGCGGGCCAGGGCATGAGGAGCGAGGTGCATATTGGCAGGATGAAGGCCGAGTGGGAGGGGTACTGCGAGGAGGAGTATGAGAGGGAGAATAGGAATCGGTGGTGAAGTGGTTTGCTGCCCGGCAGGCTTGCGAGTAATTGTAATAGTATATATGTATAGGTAGGTAGGTATGACCTCCCCATGCAGAGCATGCGCTTCTAGGTTGAAGTGTCATTTCCAAATGCTCTTGGGTACGGCTCGATAAAGGTGTCATCACGCATTTTTGCGGTCTCTATTAGCATAATAGGAGGTAATTTGAGTTCTTAAATCAGGTAGTGATCGTCAGTTGCTTGTTATTGTTGTTAGACTACGAATGGGATACGATTATTACGACTTATTCACCCTGTATTTATGTTAGGAGGTAGGTTAGGCACTCATTGCGAACTACCTAAAGTCAGTCCTGTTATTGTTCAATTGATATTTCGACAGAGAAATTCCATTGTCGATTAACCTCATCGAGGTACAAAAATGAATGGGACCTAGGTATTTGTTTACCTGGTAACTAGCTACCAAAAACTTGATTAATTGTACAATCATCGCATGCAAGCGAATTCGCGAACCATTATGAATTTGTAAATGTGAAACTCATTCTCGGAGAATGGTAGAAGAAGAAAAGAACAACGCAAGTTTCCGTGAAGCAAGAAAAGCTAGAAAGATCAACCCCTCGAGGCTCTGAAGTAGCAGGTACTGAGGAAGATAAGCATGATGCAAGTCGTGAAGATGAATTGTGATGAAACGGATTTTGGCACCAAAGGATAGAAGACGTGTCGTATCTGTTGTTGGTGCCTCCGTCGATAACAAACTGTCATCTGGTTCCCAATAGGGAAGAAAGTCGATGTAGAAACAGGCCTGTCTGCTGTTTCATGACTCGGTAGGCAACTCTGCCATTATGAATCTCCCGAGTGAAGGTATTGCGATATTGCAATATCACTTCTCAAAAGTTGCATGCATTCCTTGTATGTGAAGATCGCCGGTATGTTGAAAACGCAGGTGTATCGGCGATGTTGGCAACTTGATGAAGTACCAGCGATCCAATAAAGTATCACCAGTTGAACCCAATGAAGTAATAATCGTGATGACAAAAGAAAGTCGAAAGCAACGCCTAGCAGCAATCCCAGCATGACGAATCAAAGAATTAAAAGCAGAGTTCGAAATATTTATGTCGAAGTTCAGTTCAGTTCAGTTCAAACAAAAAAAAAGACTGTTGCTACATAAACGAGAAGGGGGAAGAAGACAAATAGCCTCCTTTCCAACCCCTACACAAGGTTAAACTATAACCAGGATGGCAATCAACCAACCGTGAGCCACGTAACTGTACCGTGACAAAGTTGTGGCCTAAAGAAAAAAAAAGAAATGCCTAACTGATATCAAGGATGCTTGCCAGAATAATATAGCATCCCTACTCAAATATCGTCGTGATAATAGTGCTGAGATCATGTACCTTGGTAAAATAACCTAGAGGTCATAGTCATAGTAGGATCGATCAATCGGCTCCGGTTCACGGGGGGGAGGGGCGAAGCAGATAAGTCTGTCAGGACCTCGAATGTGAGATGCGCCGCTCTTGGCCCTTTCCTTGGAGCTTTTCTGCGCAGAGGAATTAGCCTCGATCTTACCCTCCTCAGCAATGGCAGGATCGCAATAGGTCTGAGTTGTGGCGTGGCGACGGTGACGGCGGGACTGTGGCATCATCGTATATTCGTCGAAGCCGCTGAAAGGCGCCCGATATCCTGCTCCGGCGTATTGGCTCAGCGCGCCGGGTGCATCAAGGGGCACGGATCTCAGAAGAGAAAACGGAGAAGGGGGGCGGCCGGCGAAATAGCCGCGGGTGGTGGGATCCGCGTTTGACGGATGTGTTTCCCGTCGGGGAGCGGGCGCAGGGCTAATGAGAGTATTTCCAGAATACGAGTCAGTGTCTCTCATCGCATGCTCTCCCATCGAATGCTCGCCCATCGACTTCTCGGGTTGTCTGGCATCAGCGCTAGTTGGCTGGACATTATCAGCATTGAAGTCAGGGTAGAAGTAAGTAGCGTTGTAGTTCATTCCTCCTGCTGCTGACCACGCAGGAGTTTCAGGATGTGGTATGAGACCGTTGAGCTCATCAAAAATGCCTCGAGGACTTGTTCCAGCCAGGAGACACTCCTCACAGATCTCTTGTTCAAGTTGCGAGAGGCGGCGTTGGTTCGCCTTGATCTTATTCATCGACTCGGTGCGCTGCATGTACGAGCGGTCCAGTTGGAGTTGTACCTCACGCATGTGGTTTCCAAGATGCTCTCGGATACGATCATCTCGGACACCACGTTGGCCATGAAGTGCCTGAAATGCGAGACGCTCCTGCTCGGCACGGTGTTCAGCGCGTTGCTGCTGCAATAGAGGGATAAAGTATCCCCGAAGGCTATCCCGCTCAATTTCGAGCTCCTGGATTCGTTTGCTCTGCTCAGAAATTCGCTCGCGGAAGGCCTCGCCTTCAGCTCTCTGCTCTGCGAGGGTCTGGTACTGGTCCTTGAGCATAGTGTATACCTCAGGGCCAGAAAGACCGTCACCATCGAATCTGGTGATTCTGTTCACAACATTATTCACCTCGGTCTGCGGGGGAATGATATGTTAGTTACAGCTCAACAGATGCACTTTTGTGTTTACCTGGCATATCACACCAGGGAGGGTTCAAGGTTAAAACATACGTTTGTGAATCTATTATGAGTACTGGCAGGTGGCACGCTTTTCTGTGCCTTGCCATACACATGGTCTCGGAGATTCTTGGCTTCCATAGGAGCCATGCGATCATATTGAGTTAGGAATTTGGCCGGGGCATACTGTCTGTCAGGCAGGCCTGGGGGCGTGAAGATGAGAGACGGGTCGTCGGGGACGTTGTAAAGAGGGGATAATTCCTCTCCTGTTTGGTAATCTCTCTGGAGCTTCATGTCCTGGAGGTACTGGGGAAAATGGTCCTTGACCGGTGCAGGTCCTTCGGGACGCATTCGTTGAGCACCAGCAAGAACCTATTTAGATACTCCTTATTAGCGAATATTCCGAGTAGACTACTAGCATAAGAACAAAAGGCAGAAATAAACCGTCGAGCTTACGTTGTGGGGGTCCTGAATCTCTTTGCCAGGCCAACGCTTGCAATTACGAGACCACTCGAGAAAGGTGCATGGCGAAAGAAGGCCAGTAGGAACGGCGCCCTCATCGTCATCTTCATCATCTCCCCAAACGGGAGAACGACAACGCACCGCATCAGCAACCTTATGGTGGGGTAAGAGGTTCATTGTAGCCGGAGGAACTATGTGGTGGTGTGGCGGCTTCGGAAACTCAAAAATAGCAGCACGAGGAGAGTCACCGGTCATGTTTTCAGGAAGTAGAGCCTTATCCATAAGTTCCAACATCCTAAGAAAGATAGATATTAGTGAGAAAGATCTAAATTAGGTAGATATATTGTCATAAAAGTGTCAAGGGGAAAAAATGAATAAGTAGCATACTTAGAGACATCCTTGGGATCGTCGTGAGGTTGAGATGAAGTGTTGGGGTCTGCCTGATCATGGCGAAGCTGAATCCATTCAAACAGAGGGTCCATCTCAGCAGCCATTTCCGGGCCACGCATGGCAATATATGCCTGCATCATTGAATTGGAAAGTATTTGCTTCTTTTTATCTGCGGTTGACTTGCTAGCAGAACAACCAGGGACGGACTGTCGAGGTCCACGATCGCCCACTACGGCAACAGTTGTTTCCCAGTCCTCGGAAACTGTTTGAGAATCCTCAGCATTTTCGGATGTGCAACGGTCTTCGCAATCAAGAACCAATTTAAACAGCTCTTCATTCTCATTCTTTAATGTGTCATGCAAGTAACGGAGGTGTGATGCGTTACGGTAAGAAACCGGATCAAATGCTGGACACGAGCTAGATGCGATGGCTACTATGATGTTTAATATGATTAGTATAGGTACCTAAGGTAATTACGAATTATAAGTTATGAGGATAAATTACCTTCACTAGAGTTCGAGATGTCCTCATTCGAGGGTGACGGCTTATGCTTGTGTTCCGACATCGTCAAGAGGAACCCAGAGTAATGGGTGATAAAAACCAACTTGAAGATGATCAATGTAGTAGATGAAGGGGATGGAAAATAATAATGATAGAGAAGACAGTGAACAGCATCAACATATAAAAATGTTGTGATGGTCAAGGATGCTGTGATGAGGAAGAGGTAAGTAGTGGTAGTGAAAGAAGGGTTACTTTACTGCCTGTAAGAGCGATTAGGCAAAACCATAGATGTAGTTGTGGGAAGGTTGTGGAAAACAGATGTGGGAAACCCTCCTGCGGATAGCAGGCAGAAGGAAAAAAAAAAGAAAAAAAAAGAAAAAAAAGAAAAAGTAAGGGCACTCGGACTGGACGGCGACAGGATGGGTCTTGAAGATGTACCTGCGTAAGATGCAAGACGCCAGATCGATGTGGAAGGAGAAGGAAGTAAGTAAGAAAGAACAAGAATACCGTAAGGCTGTAGGGAGAAGGGAAAAAGAAAGAAGGAACAGGGAAGACGAAGATCGTGATCGTACACCGTCGTTTCCCCCTACCACTAAATTCACTCTCAAGGACTGTTAATTTACATGCAGGTCGACGCCAAACGTGTAGATACTGATTAACCCGTGTTGTCCCAGGGTAACATACAAACATATCTACCTAAAACTTGGTACTGCCAGCCTACACCAGGCTCCTGCATGAACTTGAAGCAAGCATGCTGGTACCATATGCATATGCCAAACTGAAAAAAAACCATTCCATAAAATATATATATCTGCCTAGGGTACCTTAGGTGGTACTTATGTAGGTGGTTATCTATTACAACCTCTTTCTGAAGATATTATTCGGATGCCTAACACATGTGAAGACTCCAAAGACAAATACATTTACCCCTGAATTCGTCATCTAAGCAGGTTAGGTACCTAATACATATGTGCATGCATTATCAACGTCATTCTCTTCTACGAAAGAGATCGCCCTAAAGTCTAAGAGACATTAACCATTAAAACAACAACCCAGGCCCAGCTCACGTAAATCATAGTAATATGTGATGCTTCTTACTTCTTTGCCTTGCCTTTTGCTCCACCAGTTTTGCCCTTACGGCCTTTTGCTGGCTTCCCGTCTTCATCCTCGCCCTCAGTTGCGGCTGCTGCTTTTTTGCCACCTCTCTTCGCAGGCTTAGCCTTTGGCTTTTTAATATACTTATCTTTCTCGATATCAAGATCATCATCTTCATCAACTGCCTCAACTACCTCTGCTACATCTGCATCGTCTTCTTCCTCCATTGCCTCCTCCAGATCTGGCTTTTCCTTTGAGGCTGCCTTCGGAGCTATCACACTGCTAGCCTTCATAAAAGGAATTGGGTGTGACCTCGAATTGTACCTATTGAAATTAGCCAATGAATTCGAAACTGCCGTGCACATATAACTTACAGTCTGGTAAAAGTAGACTTGGTCTGGGTTTCAATGTCGACATTCCCTTCGTCTTGAGGGCCAACACCAAGTTCCTTAATGGAATCGAAGTCCTCTCTAGTTAGGAAATAGCTGTCCATTAGGTCGATAACTTCATCGACGGATTCCTTGCCTTCCTCAGCAAGTCTTTGGATAAGCCGCGTCCAGAGAACTGGTAGATATTGTTGGCGGATCTCGTGATGGTCACCAGAGGACCTTAGTCTCATGTGCGAACGGATTTCACGAATGTATCTTCCCAGCTTGCCGTATTTGCTGTTATTACCAAGCCAGGATGTAAAGTTAGATCCTAAGAGCTGACCGGCCACAAAGCTAGCTGGTCGAACCGTGCTGAATACTGCGTGAGTAGGCATTAGGCTCCAATGTTGCTGGGGGCCGTGAATCATCCGATCCACCAAGTCCCCGTCACTGATACTTTCCGCTGCCATATCGAACAACTCCAAAGCCTTTAGGTTCTGCTCACGTTTGTTCTTGGATTGCGATTGATTTAGGGCGGCGGGTTTGGTTCGTAAGTAGTTCTCCTGTATCATCAAATAGCTAAACTCGTGATCATTGAAGTAGAGCTCGATCTTGTCATTAAGGGTCGCCTTGCTTGCGGGAGAGAAGAGACCACTGCCCAGCATTTTCTGGCAGATATCCCACGGTTTCAATACTATAGACTTCTCCCAGGCCTTCGACATATCCTTGCTCTGACTGTAATCCATAGAGGTCTGATCTAGCTTGATCGTGGACAGCATATTGACAATCTGTCTGATATCCCGATTACTGCCTTCGATAAGGGCGTCGAGTACCTGTGTCGATAGCTTCAGTCCTTCTCTGTGGCAAATAGTCATCATACGTGAACGAATCTGTTCAATCGTCGGGCGCTGGAACTTGACATCGAACGCGACAAAGTCGAAGGGTTTCATCTTGGGCAGTTTTCGCTCGTTGCAAATAAGGATCAGAGGCACCTCGGTCTTTTTACAGAACTTAGCAAGAGCACCCACGCCCCCACGGTCGCCAGCGGACATTCCGTCGACCTCGTCCATAATAAGGACAATATTCTTCTTTTCCTCATCTACTTTCTTCCCATCTCCCGCAAAGTAACCACGTAGGGAGGTGTTATTCATAACTTCACTAACTCCAGATTCGACGAGCTTTTTACTGCGTGTATCGCTAGCATTGCTCTCTATAATATCAAATCCTTCAAGCTTGGCAGCCAAATGAGCAGCGGTGGTTTTACCAATACCTGGGGGGCCGGAAAGCATGATGGCGCGGTAACCGCCGAGCCCATCTGCACCTCTTTTCTCAAAGTTATATTTACGTGATTTTTGCCAACTCTTGAGAAAGTTCTGGATTTTCTCGACCGCAGCCTTGTTGCCACAAATGTGACTCGGCTGAGTAGGTGCGTATTTCACAGTCCAAAGTTGGGAAACGGGGGCCGGGGCAGCCGGAGGGGGACCGGTACCCCGTGCGGCGGCGGCTGCTTTCCGTGCTTTCTCAGCCTCCGCCTTTCGGGCCTTTTCTTCTTGTTCCATCTGAGCGGCTTCTTCTTTAATCTTTTCTTCCTCCAGCCTCTTCTTTTCCCGTGCCTTCTCAGCATTTTTTCCACTTCCACCTCCAGCGGGGAGGCGACGAATGAGCTCGAATAAGCCATCTTCATTGATTGTCTTGATGCCATGCTGGCGAATCTTCGCAAGCTTGCTGGGTCCGGCGTCTTCACCCAATACCACGTAGCTAGTTTTACTGCTGGGCGCGCCAGTAACCTTTCCACCATACCGCTTTACTAGTGACTGAGCATCCTCACGAGCAATAGTAGTCAACTGCCCAGTAAAAACAAAGCTTAGGCCAGCAAGACAATCATCCTCGCCTTCGGGTAGTTCCGCGGTCGGATTTGGCGGCGGACCGCTATTTCCGCCTCCTGCTGCCGCCTTTCTCCAATCGAACTTGGCATTAGGGTCCTTGGAGGGCGGTGTTGGTGGTCTAACCGTAGGTATATCGTCTAAGATCGCCTGGATCCCTGCATCTTCTGGTTCATTCGCTTTCTTGGCTTTCGACGTTCTCGGTGCTCTCGGTTTCTTCGCTACCGGTTTCTTACGAGCTGGAGGTTCGTCATCGTCATCTTCTTCGTCGCTAGGCTCGGACTCGGGGGTTTTCCTCTTCTTCGCTGAACTTGAGGCCGAGGTACCCGTTGAAGGTTTTGACGTAGTGGGCTTGTTATTCTCGTCTACCGGTTTGGTACGTGAAGCGATCCTCTTGGGTTTGGGAAGGAAGTCCTCTTCGCTATCCTCCTCCGCATAGTCATCGTTCTTTCGCTTATTTCGGCTTTTTGCGTCAGCAGCAAAGATATCGTCACCGGCATCTGCATCGTCGTCCAAGTCGTATCGTTTTAGTTTGCTAGCAGGGCGTTTCTTTGGTGTAGTGTCGTCATCCTTGCTTGGAGCTATAGCATCCTTTGCTGCGGGTTTCTTATTTCTCGGACTCGATCGTACTTCAACTGTGGCCTTGGCCTGCGACTGCGCCTTCTCAGCCGGCTTTGCAGCTGATTGATTCTTCAACTTGCTCGAAGCAAAGTATTCACTTGCTGTAGCAGTCGTCCCTTGCACATTCTTGTCGCTAACGCTGACATTTAGTACAATGCTGATATATGCGGATAACATAAGAGTAGCACTCACGCCGCTTTCTTAGGGGTAGATCGAGTAGTTGGTTTCTTTGTTCTTTGTAGATAGATTAGCTTCAATTAAATTTTATATCGCTACCAAATTGATCTGCTTACTCGACAGGTGCTTCTTCTTCTTCTTCTTCATCGCTATCATCTACAACCTTTCGTGCCTCTAATGAAGTACGGTTAGCTATGAGGATAACCGGTCAATTTTGAGGAATACGCACTGCTACGCTTTTTTGGTTCTTCTTCTGTCTTCTTTGGAGCTGGCTTTGAAGAGGTTGGGGCGCCTCCCTTTGCCCCGAAGAAAGAACGAATATCAGGCATCGTATTTGAACGCAGAGATGCACTTGGTACTCAGGGAGGTTTGTGATGTTGTTTGGAAAAGAAGTAGTATTTTCATAGGGAAAAAAAGTGGGCAACGTTTTGACGCGAATTATGACGCGTTAAGGCTTGAAGCTAGCCCCTGCACCTGTAAAGTCTTTAATGGAATTGGAATTGGTTCACACGCATTGTGCACGTGCCACTGGTGCCTACTACCACTTATCACTGTAGGCAGATAAGATCAGGCAGATGCACTTACCAGGTAGGTACCTGGTACCTAAGGGGCTTGCTCAGGTACCATCATTACATAATTCAATTAATTAGCCCACCAAGAGTTCTCACTGACAATACCAAGGTACCTCATATATCTGAACGCGATATTTCCAAAGAAAGTGTGCATATTCGGAATTATTGTGATACTAATAACGGGAAAACTCAATGCCCGACTTTAGGAGAGATGTTGTGTCGGAGTATGGTAAGAAGGATTACTAAGATAGGAAATTCTCACTTAACGAATTGGGAAGACTAAAAGTGGAGTGGAAGTAGGTAAGTACGTTAGTACTTAATCTTGGATGGAAAATGACTTAATTAATTAGGTACCTAAGGAAGATGAAAATGGAAAGATATATTGGGACTTACCTTATATAATGACTATGACATGCTCCTAAAGTCGGGCTCTTGTGGTCCCCTACACGGGGGGCCCTCGGTTTATTTTAAACAATTTCAGATCCAGCTCCAGCAAGTCTAAACCATATTTTACCTATGTATTTCTATGAACCTCTTCCTCGGTCCAACTTCTATACTTACCTATCAGGGGGACTGCATATCTGATATAATATCATCAACATGATCAATGAAGAGGCAATTAAAACACTTATTACAATATGATAAAGTACCTTATATAGTACCTATGTGTTACGAAGTGGAAGCTATCAGGATGTGTAGGTACTTAGGTAGGTACGCAAGCTACCTTAGGTATATATATTGAACATACATTACTCTTTATTCTATGGGTTATCTCATATAACTCCAACTATGTAAATGAACTATATACTAGCCTTAGTTCCGGTTAAAGTCCTCTGACTTTGCCAGTTTCTCGGGAGGGTAGTTGTAAATATATTTTACCATAGTGACGAAATAAAGCCTCGCTGGTAACACCTAGGTATCGCAGTAAATTTATCTAAGAAATTCGATTGATGTTGCTGGAGGATAGAAGGTATCAAAGTGTACGATCAACTTCTATAGAGTGTCTATCTCCTTATAAAGTGAACACAGTCCTTTTTCTAACCTTAACAAAGTGACTGCATCTTGTATACCTTAGGTAGTCACGCTATAAGCTACAGCTTTCTTTAAACATGCCTGAGTTTCCCTCAATGCCAATATTGTAGTTGTGTCGTGTTTTGCTTTATGGACAGCAAGGCCCTCCGTTGATCTATATGATGTATTCCAGAATAACCCAGATATCAGTTATAGGCAACGGGCACACGTTGCTCTTGTCAACATCTTACCACAGCAAAGAGACCAGCTAATCTTATTATTCTCTTACTTCTATGGCTACGACATCTCGCATACAAAGGTAAGGGTTTGCATATCTATACTGCCCTGGACCAAATACTGGGTATCACCACAAAAACTTCTCGTCTACAAATATGTGCTTCGTAATCGGAAGTAACTCTAAGCCTCGCCGGTCTAGCCACACAGGTAAGGGAAACAAAATTCATCATGCCCAACAACTCATCTCCGGAAAATAGTAGCACTACTCCTCCCACGAGGCACTCACTATTCCCTCTTTACACCACTCCTACTCCCTTTGCACCTTTCTCCCATGAACCACAGCTCTGTTCGTGCGACCAGTGTGTGGCTACTAGGCTATACCAACGTGTGAATCTAAGATCTTCTCCTTTAGAAGTCCCTGGAAGCAATGCGACCCCAAATATCCGACTAGATCATCAGGAGATGAAGACCTCGAGAAGAAGTAGCATAAGAAGATCAGATTTGGATTTCCAACCGAGATATCACCAATCGCCACCACTGGTCGTGCCGCCGCCCCACCACACCGAGATGGCTTATCCGGAGATTTACATCTATCCCAAAAAATCACACATCACGTTTCCAGTGGTCAACTACAGCTCGGCAAGTCGGGTTCAGAATCGCTCGTCCTGGCCGGTGTGCTACCTAGCTATCTCGCCGAAGTTCGCGGAACCTGCCGATTTTGAGGAGGCGCTATCACCGCCTGGTTCTGGGCTTGCCGTCGTAGCGCGGCTGTCTAAGACGCAAAAGACAGCCCCTCTACGCATGTTTCGAGATGCCTCGGAGCTTCGTAAAGAATCAATTCAACTAGAAGTCTGGGACGAAAGTGCCATCAAGGTGCCTGGGAAGAAGGATTACGGAACAGACATTGAAACCGACATCCCTAATAGTACCGAAGCTGAATCGTCAAAGAAAAAGAGGGCAGGGAATCCGGTACAGGCGAAGTAGGCCTAGAGCCATCGAGCTGGTTTCGTTGAGAGATAACAATGAATTGATGTGTTGTTAATAAGGAAGATGCTACGGATTGGTAGATGACTACATTGTGCCAGCTACTACGCATTCACGTTGGCTTGTTCTGTATCATCTAGATTTATTCCATATCCATTCGTCGTACCTTGCTTGGGCATTTTTTCTATGTTAGCCATGCCACTAGAACATCTCGTTGACATCTTCTATCCGCCGGGATTAACCTGGTGGTAGATGTGAAGGGCAACTATTAGTGACTGTACGTCATGCGGGTAGAAAGAGGTGTGAAGGGTTTTGGGTCTGGCAATTGGCGGCATTTCTATATTTGACAGGCGCAGCCATTCAAATGTTTCGTCATCGTCATCGGTAAACGATCGCTCTGGAAAGCCGTGAATCGGGTTAGAGGATATTTGGTACATGGGGGAAACGCATCGTGTTGACCGTGTTAATTACTTGATATGATATTTAGATAGTTTTTTTTAAAAAAAAAGTGTTAAGAGTATTTTATAGGTGGATATCCCGCGACGGGATAATGAATTAGACCGGGATCTTAACCCGGCCGGTGAAATCAGACGAGAACGGAGGTCCCGACGCGCGGATATCCTAGTGTTTGAAGCGCAAAAGTATTTGTGCCGAGGTTCAAAAATCGGGGGCATTCACCATTAACCAGTTAGTGACCACGGAAATAGAATACGTGTTAGTCAAATCATCCGAAGATGAGAGCCTGGATCGTTCGATAGAAGATATGTCAATGCGACAGAAACAGTGCATGATGAGCAATGAGTAATAGGTAAAGGGTGATGCGCGATGTTCGCTCTATGTAAGAGTGATATGCCTGTTGACATGCATGTTGATATGCATGTTGATATGCATGTTGATACTACCTAAAGAAATAAGATACCAGGTACCTAACCAGTTAACTTGAACTTGCTTTTGAATTGTTTTACGAAGATATGTGCACTTATACTTGCTTCAGTTTACCTCAGAACTTTTATGCATATGGAACTTATCAAAGACGGAGGTTCACTTAGGTATGCATTAATTTTTTTTTTTTTTTTTTTTTTTGGTGCAACTACGAACCGTACCCAAGGTTAGGTAGTACTATGTAGTAGGTAATTCTGTCCCAACGGAATTGCCGTACGAAGTTACCATACGGACCTTAGCGCGCTGGACGGATCCCAACTCCTTTAATGGTTGGCGCATTAGCAATTCTACTTTATGTTAACTTAGCGGCCATAACAGGGAAACCCAGTGTAAAATAGGGCTAAGTTCTTAGTAAGTCGGGATGGTACCTCGACCTGGTATGAAAGTCAGGTTCAAACACTAAATGTTTATTACGACGTTTCTGTTTCGTCCCCGTCGTTAAGTGGACCAACAGGAAAGCAATACCTCGGCTCATTTTTTCAGCATGCTCCTCGAAGAGGAAAAGAAGAGAGAAAAAAAAGGTGGGAGAAGGAGAAAGGAGAAAGTAAGAGATAGAGAAGGAAAAGAGAAAAAATTAAAAATTAAAAATTAAAAAAATGCCTCTCTCGTATTCCCATTATAATAGCATGTTCCTATTTACGTTAAACGAGCAAACAAATCATAACAAAGTCGGATTGTTTGTTGGCCCCCGTTTGCTTTATTTTTCTTCCGGCCGTTGCGGTTGCGTCACTCCATTTCCATCGGCGTGGTCAATCCTCCACTCCAACCATAAAACTGACCGACGGTGATTCGGGGTTTACCAAACCCTACCGGAGGCTGAGCTCTACGGTACACGAATACATCCTATAACCGTTTCTATACATATATAGTCTCTAGGGTTCCTATCCTAGAGACGGTTTGCTTTGGTCGATATGAACTTCGAATGGCCCTCAATCCTTACCTTTCGTCAAAACAACAGTGATCCTACCAACAGTGAAAATAATACAATGTCAGAGTTAACGCCTATCCCTGAGCCGCCAAGTCTACCTTTCATAGGCCATGTTACTGAGATCGAACGAGAAGTTCCATTGCGTTCATTTATTGCTCTCGCCGATAAGTATGGTGAGTGTTCTCGGAATGGGTACTGCTTGCCTTAGATGGAGCTTTAAACTAACATCTTCGTATAGGCGAGATATATAGACTTCGCCTTCCTGGAAGGTCGTTAGTAGTTGCTACAAGCCATCGCATCGTCGATGAGCTTTGCAATGAGAAGCGATTTGTTAAAATCCCTAAATCTGCTCTTCATGAAATCCGAAATGGTGTTCATGACGGTCTATTCACGGTTTGTTAATCTCAGGCAAAGCACTAAGGAGTTGAGACGCTGATCGATGCCACAGGCCCGGATAGAGGAGCCCAATTGGGGTATTGCTCACCGAGGTTTGTCTATCAGCCCTCCAAGAAGCCTCAGTTGTGTACTCACATTAGACAGTTCTGATGCCGGCGTTTGGCCCCTTATCCATCCGGGGCATGTTCGACGAGATGCACGAGATTGCAACACAACTATGCATGAAATGGGCCCGATACGGACCCCAGCACCCAATTGATGTTTCCGGGGACTTCACACGTCTAGCGCTTGACACGCTCGCTCTTTGCTCGATGGGCTATCGGTTTAACAGCTACTACACAGCCGAACTTCACCCTTTCCTCGCCGCTATGGGTGATTTCCTCGTCGAGTCTGGCCGCAGGCCTAACAGGACGATGCCCGCGTGGTTCTACCGGAACGAGGATGCCAAGTATTGGCAGGATATCGAAGTCTTACGAAAAACGGCCGACGACGTCCTCAAAGAGCGTAAAGTTCACCCTTCTGACCGGAAGGACCTTCTCAACGCCATGCTTAACGGTGTAGACCCGAAAACTGGGCAGCACATGAGCGATTCGAGTATCACTGACAACCTAATTACGTTCCTCATTGCGGGCCACGAAACGACCTCGGGCTTACTTTCGTTTGCATTTTTCGAGCTCCTAAAGAACCCCGAAGCTTACCGAAAAGCTCAACAGGAGGTCGACACCGTGATTGGCAAAGGCCCCATTACCGTTGAGCATATGTCCAAGCTCCCATACATTGCAGCTGTAAGTCAGAAGAAGTCTGGAATTCGTGCATCCCTTCGCACGGGGAAGAGGGAGTATGCTTACACCAACCTCTAGGTGATGCGTGAGACCTTGAGATTATGTTCTCCCATTCCGCAAATCGCTGTCACGTCTTTGGAGGATACCGTGGTTGCCGGAAAATACCAAATAAATAAGGACGAGACGGCTATTATAATGTTGAAGAAGTCGCACTTGGACCCGGCCGTTTTCGGCGACGACGCTGAGGAATTTAGACCAGAGCGCATGCTAGACGAACCATTCAATAAGCTCCCCAAAAACGCATGGAAACCCTTCGGAAATGGAGTTCGAGGCGTGAGTAATTATGCCCAATGCTCTCGAGTGTTTATCATATTACTAACACCTGATAGTGTATCGGTCGTCCGTTTGCCTGGCAAGAAGCTACGTTAGCCATTGCCATGCTTCTGCAAAACTTCAACTTCGTGCTAGACGATCCGTCTTATAGCCTTGCTATTAAGCAGACATTAACTATCAAGCCTAAGGGCTTCTACATGAAGGCAACTCTCCGTGACGGATTGACGCCGGGCCAGTTGGAGCATCGTCTAGCCGGAACGACCGAGTCGCCAGCAGGGGCATTAAACGGAAGTTCTTTGAATAACTCTCTAGTATCTGCTGCTGGTAGTAGTGGACGCCCCATAACAGTCTTGTACGGAAGTAACAGCGGCACTTGCGAGGCTCTCGCGCAAAGAGTGGCCAGCGACGCATCGAGCCACGGATTCAAGGTTTCCAAGATCGATATCTTGGACACAGCGAACGGAAACTTACCTAAAGGCCAGCCCGTTATAATAGTCACCCCGTCATACGAGGGAGCACCGCCGGATAATGCCGCACATTTCGTTTCGTGGTTGGAAAGCGTCAAAGACAAGACGACATTCGAGGGAGTACAATATGCCGTCTTTGGTGTCGGCCATCACGACTGGGCTCAAACCTTCCATAGGATACCGAAATTAGTCGACAGCAAGCTTGAGGAAGGTGGCGCTACTCGTGTTGCGAAAATAGGCCTAACGGACGTCGGAAATGGTGACGCTTTCGCGGACTTCGAAACGTGGGAGGATGAAGTACTTTGGTCGTCGCTCAAGAAGCAATACGGCACTTCTCAGGACGAAACTGACGTATCACCATCTTCTGGCCTGAAAGTATCAATCACAAGCCCACGCACATCCACTCTGCGACAGGATGTCATGGAGGGTCTAGTGGTTGATACTCGGACGTTGACAGCCGAAGGAGAACCCGTCAAGAAGCACATAGAAATTGTGCTTCCCAGCGATGAATCGTATCGAGCCGGTGACTACTTGGCAGTTCTTCCCATCAACCCCAAGCAAATCATTGAGCGGGCTATGCGCAGATTCCATCTCCCATGGGATGCGCATATCACCATCGACAGCCACGACATGACCTCGCTCCCTACCAATGCATCGCTGCCCGCCCACAGCATCTTCGGAGCTTACGTAGAACTGTCCCAGCCGGCCACAAAGAGGGTAAGCTAAGAGTATCAATCTTCATAATATAACAAGACTCGCTAACAATTTTGGCAGAATATCAGCACTTTGGCTGAAGTCGCAAAAGACGAAGCCGAAAAGGAAGCCCTGCGGAACCTCGCAAAGGACTCCGAAGAGGTATTCGCCAATCGGATTTCGGTTCTGGACCTTCTTGAGAAGTACACATCCATCGATCTACCGCTAGGCGCTTTCCTCGCCATGCTGCCGCCGATGCGCGTACGACAATAGTGCGTGACCCAATTCCCACCCTACTTATAAAGGCTCGGGCATAAAGCTAACATCAATCAGTTCCATCTCTTCATCGCCCCTGTGGAACCCAACCCACGTAACCCTGACCTTCTCCGTCCTCGAAGCCCCATCCAAGTCCGGCCAAGGCACACACGTCGGCGTGGCCTCCTCGTACCTAGCGTCCCTCGCGCCCGGCGACAAGCTGCACATCGCCGTGCGCCCGTCTCACGCGGCCTTCCACCTGCCGCAGGACGTCGAGAACACCCCCGTGATCTGCGTGGGCGCCGGCACGGGCATGGCTCCCTTCCGCGGCTTCATCCAGGAGCGCGCGGCGATGATCGCGGCGGGCCGGACGCTCGCGCCCGCGCTGCTGTTCATCGGATGCCGCGCGCCGGGGCGCGACGACCTGTACGCGGACGAGCTGGCGGAGTGGGAGCGGGCGGGGGCAGTGACGGTGCGGCGGGCGTTCAGCCGGGATCCGGCGGCCGCGAGCGATGGCAGCGGCAGCGGCAGCAAGTACGTGCAGGACGCGCTGCGGGCGCACGCGGACGAGGTGCTGAAGCTGTGGCGCGACGGCGCCAGGCTGTACATCTGCGGGTCGCGGGCCGTGGGCGAGGGCGTCAAGGAGGCCGTCGTCAAGCTGATCAAGAAGAGCGCGCAGGAGACCGAGGGCAAGGAGGTGACGGACGAGCAGGCGGCTCGGTGGTGGGAGGGCATGCGGAATACTCGTTACGCGACGGACGTCTTCGACTAAGGAGACGTAGCTTTCTTGCTTGCTTGCGTATTCCCAATAACTACTAGGTACCTACGATATTGTTTGATACCTTAGCGGTGGAGGAGAAGTACTTTACTGTATTTTGAACTGGGTTGAAATGGGGGATCTTGCACATATAGCGGTTGGCTGAGGATTACATACATAGAAAGGGGGTATTAATCGGGGTGACATTTTGTTCTCTCCTTAATGGATATATATGCCTAGTATATAAATTGCCTAGTCAGATAGTCTTATTTTTATAATGATGATGTTTACCTATATCTGGAATGTTTGTCTACTTGACTACTTCAATAATGCTGATTGTACTCGTCATACTTGAACAGAGGTAGGTAGGTGTGTTGCACGCCGTATGTACGCCTCTCGATTTTTAAATAAATGTAGCAACCAATCGTAAGCCATCTCAAGATAATTCTAGAACTCCTTCCATTTTCGACAGACCCGGCGGCGGCATGGCTTGGCACTAGGTTTATCCACGGCCTTGGTGTCGCATTTGGAAGCGCTGGTAGCAAGATAGGCCGATAAGTATCGGACGAGCACGCCTAATTAAGAAGTTGGCTTCTTCGGATGTGTTACGGCAATGATACAGTCTTTCCAGGCGTCGATAGCAACTCGTGGACATATTAAAAGCATGTTAAACAACAACGGTCTTGTAATACCTTATATCTAATACTTAGCACATATCTTCTAAGTTTTTCTAAGTCTTCTGCTCTCGGACATTACTGTTAAATTTGAGTTTTTAAATCACAAGACCTTGAACCCAATCTTCCCACTTAGTATAATTCATGGGCATTATACAGTTAACCCAAAGTCGAGCAATCCTATCGTTGGTTATCTTTACTATACTTATCCTCTCGTTCCAGAGCGCCGGTAATCTCAACAATTCCGATCCAGTCGTTGCCAAGATGGCAGATGCGAACAACGTCATTTCGAAGCTGAAAGTGTCAGTCCGCCAAGTCAGCAGCAGCACGTCTTCATCGTCCTCGTCGTCTCCGCCAAAGCTAGCCATCGCGGTCACCAATACCTACTCTAGCCCCGTGACGATCCTGTCCTGGAACTCCCCGCTGGATCCGTTAGCGTTGCAGTTAGGCCTCGTATCCTTTTCTGCTGCTGCGCAGGCCGGTAGCGACGACGACGATTACACCCCCATTCAGATCCCGACGATCCAGATCAGGCGTAAAATGCCGCCGGAGACGGACGCGCTGGTCACGATCGGAGCGGGCCAGACTAAGGAGCAGGTGCTGGAGCTCAGGGATCCTATCGTGCCACTGGACAAGCTACGTGGCAGGGTGAGGGTCGCTTGTGCAGGAGAGTGGATGAGTGTCTGGCTGTTAGAGGTTGACGCCGTCCCTAAGGCTTCCCTGGAGAAAGCTGGCGCCAGTGACGACGCATATCGGGGGCCTTTCCAAAGTGAGGCAGTCGACATGGAGTTGTGAATGAGCCTATGTTAGCTTAGCTTTGGAAAGAATCTTTTTTTTTTTTTTTGGTATGGGTTGTATGTAGACACCCGAATGTTATGAGACAGCCCGTTCATCCTCTACAAAAAAAGTATAAAACCTTCTTAACCAACTAGTTAGATAAAAGATAAAAGTTTGCGATATCAAACAGACAAATTAAGTGTGACCATGCTCATTCCTATAATTGAACTCTCAAATGAACCGGGCAAAGTTATAAGAGGATTTATGTAGAGCTGTAAGGTGATATGATTTCAGGTATCATTTTTTGAAAAGTTTCCAATGTAAAAGATGCGCCTATGGTTGGGTATTAAATACATCCCAGGCAGGTAGGTGTAGGTACCTAACCTAACTTCATAGTAGAGCGTGACGTAGTAGTGTGGCTGCTAGCTTGCCTGAACTAGGATTAGTATAACCGTGAGTATGCCGGGGTAAGACCCGTGCTGTTAGGCTGAGGCCCCATATAAGCGGGGTTACTTACCGATTCGAACCCCTCCATGGTACTATCTGGATACCCCTCAACAGCGGGGTTTCCCTGTAAACCTTCTAAATCGCTGGATTTAGATGTGAATGAAGCTCTTCTTAGGGCATCCAGGTACCTAATTTAAATTTCAGCCTCATATCTAGGGCTGTTTTGGCCTGTGATTATGTAGTAACTTACCCTACTTAGGTAGGTACCTTAGGTTAGGTACCCATGATACGTGTACCTAGGTGTGTATGCAGGTTAGATGCATGGATTATGACACAGCACCTATTAACCTCTATAGATGTACCAGGTATTGTAGGTAATCCTGAGTAACTCAGGCCGGAAGGGTTAGGTTAGGTACCTTACATACTCAACACTTTTAATATCTTTCCCGGTTTTATGCAGGTACTTTTTCTTTCACCCAAACTTTTTACCCAGATTTATCAACTCTCGATAACTCTTGAACCTAATTCTTTCACCCCTCGCCCTTCACCCTTCACCTTCACTTCCAAGTCTTCCAAGTTCCCGGATCATCTCCTCTCGTCATTCCACAGGTTATCCTTTAGAGTACGACATGGGCTCTTGATCTTGACGTGCCTATACCTAACCTCATCACCCACCCTTCGTTAATTGGCCTGGATATGGGCTATCTGGATCACCTGGATCTGACTTTTCGACATCGAATTTCTTTTCCCTGTGATCTTTTACTACTTATTTCTCGGGCTGGATCCATGAGTTAAGCGTGGTCTTACTAAACCAGTAACGACATCATCGTAGGACGCCACCTTTACTAACGTCGTCTACTCGCAACAGCCGATAACCACTCATTTGGCATTAGTCACAAGCCATTAAGTTCCCCTTGGCAAAACCGACTGGCAACATGTCTTCTTCATCAGCTCCTATCCGTCTGGCTATGCCGGCAGATCTACGACGCTTTACCTGCTTTGCCAAGTTCCCGTTTGACGTCCGCCATCAGATTTGGGAAGATATTATTTACACTCCTGGCATCCATTTCCTCAAGTTTGAGGAGAACGATGACGGCTCAGATGTAGTCCATGATTTTAACCCTATGGGTCCCCAATACGCACAGAAGACTGAGGGAGACGCAAAGAAGTCCGAGTTCACTAGCACTCTCAAGCCTGTATTCCCTTTCCCAGCAGCCGACAAGTCATACTACCTCACCATGAACAAGACTTTCACTCAGCTATCCCTGGCCTGCAACGAAGCGAAGAAGCTGGTTGAAAATCTGATCGAGCGTCCGGGAAACCTAACTCTGGATAACGGTCGCCTGGTTCACCTAGAGAGATCTTCTGATATCGTATGCTTCGATTACCCTGGCGCCACATGGTCACGATCTTTAGGTTCCTGGGCTGAACGTCTGGATAAAGACCAACTGGCCAAGGTTCGTCGCGTCGCTATTCGTTACAGTACGAGGTGGGACGATGAATGTCGCGTTTGTCGTACTTGCGGCATAATCCATACGTATCACCGCGATCATGGAACCATGCGTCCTCGACACGCGTATGAGTTTGCTGCTCTATTCAAGAATCTCGAGTCTTTCTACTTCATGGACTGCCTAGCAGTCCGCAAGCAACGCGATAAGTCTAAGCCGGCTTCGTGCATTTTTGCAAAACGGGGTATGTAAATTGCTCACCATCCCCGAGGTGCTCATTGTCTGTAACTAACAGCAAAATATAAGTATATGGAGATAAAGGGGAGAGCTTTGCCAGTGGAGAGGGAGGACGCACATACTACGAAGTTGACCCGCAGCTCTGCAAAGTTAACACACACGTTTTCCGCACCCTTTCGTGGGTCCGCGAGAATTACATCGCTCACTGTCAGAAATATTCCAAGGGTTCTGCAGATCCGAAGAAAGTCAAGTTCAAGGTCCTGACTTGCGAATGGGACACGGAAGAGCTAGTCCCCACGAAGCAACAAGAGCCAGTACCTAGCCGAGTTGTCTCCGCCTACAAGCGTCAGAAGACGCGAGTTCAGAACCTTACGGATAGCTTCAAGAAGATGAGCCTCGGTGACGCACCTGATCCCAGCGCTAAGTCGTACAGCGGACTTCCTGTGGTCTTTGGCGATGGTGGCAAGTCGAAGTTCGACTTCACTGTGAGGGTGCCCTTTCCGACGCTACACGCATAGCATCATAACATTTTTGGTGCCGTTTATATCATTATTCACCCTCGAGAGGGTCCTAGGCGATAAATTTCAAGAGCACGGCGTACCGGATCCTAACGAATACCCTTATTTCCTCTGTTTACCTCTTTTTATGTTCAGGTGTTGATACCCAATTGTTGCAGGCGTTAGTGGTTACAACCAGGGTTCCAGGAAGGGAAATGATAATTCTCATAAAACCATCTTGCGAACAGCAAGTAATCGACGGAAGATCAACGTCCGAGCTTTAGAGGCTTTGCTTGCTCTGAATTTTACATTAAGGGGGAAATGGTCAAGTCTTTAGTACTTGATACTGTCCTTGTGCTAGCCATACAAATACCTATAATACCTACATCACATGCCGTGGCAGAGAGAATATGTGATATGCTTGAAAGAAAATAAGTAGAGGGTGTTTGCTAGTAATTAATGGTTCTCCTGTATTTCTGTGCTTGCTACACTGACGGAAGCATCGCTTGTATTCATAATTGTCATCGCTGTACATGAACTAATACCTACAATAAGGGGGTTCCTACGTCTTTCTTGCATATAATGCTCGCGAGACTATACATAACATACGTGATCTACTATGGGGAGTCTGGCTGGATCCGTGTTGATCCCCTATGCCTTTCTATAACAGTTACTTATAGAGCTAACCGGTGATATTTTAACCACCCGAGGAACGCATAACGCATATAATGGAGGCCCGTTCAGGGTCCTATAAGCAGAATAACCTTAAATCCCAGTGTCATGCACCGAGGAAAGCCTAGCTCTCTCAATCGCATCCCTCAACGCCTTAACACGTTTGCTTATTACCCCATCGCTACCTCCGCTACCCAGTTCTTCTTCTTCTTCTTCTTCTTCTTCTTCTTCTCCTCCCTCCCCTGCGCGGAGCTCTCTCCGAAGCATATCGAGATGCCGGGGATGAGACAACAAGCCCGACGCAGGAGCAGCGGCGCCCCGTTGCTGTTGCTGCTGCTGCTGTTCCGGCGAGACGATCCCCAGCCCGCGGTCGATGTTGTCGAGGAAGTACAGCGCCGCCTGGCAGTAGAACATGCTCGCCAGCCGCCCGCTGTACACGTAGAACGCGCCGAGCTGGACGCCCTTGCTCGGGTCCGAGAGCGCAAGCGGGTACCGGTCGAGGCCGGCTGCGCGCCGGTGCGCGTGGAAGAACATGGTCTCCCAGAGGCGGACGAGCTGCACGTAGCAGCTTACGAGGACGCAGGCGAACGGGGTTGTGGACGGGTCTGCCTGCTGGGCTGATGGGTCTTCTTCGGGGGCGGGTTGAGTGGCTTGATGGCGTTCGCGTTCCTCCGGGCCTAAAGGCTGTGATAAAGGGTAAGACGAGGGGGAATTAGTTGCGGCTTCATCGTTGACAACTACATGGCCAGGCCTGTACAACGGCTTGGACTCGTGCTTTACGACCCAGATGAGGTTCGTGATAGCCTGTTGAAATCTCTGAGCCATGATGAGCAGCTTCTCCGCGAGAGAAATGCCGTCGCCGGCCGGAGGAGGTGGATGAGCGACGAAGGTGACGAAGTTTACTTTTCCGCTATCGTTCAACTCTTGCACTGTCTGCCAATGGCCGTGCAGGTCGACGTTGATCTGAGAGAGCTCTTTGAGGCACTCGTGCCGGTCTAGCTTCGCCGTAAACAGGCTGTGTACTTCGAGGGGGTCCCTGTTTGGCGAGCACCCAGCGTTAAGATAGTTCGCCTCGTTCCACTCAGGAGTGCAATGTTCGGAAAATGGCAACATGAAATGTGAGCCGAAGAAGCTGTTTGACTCGTTACGCGATAACAATGGCGTCTCATTGGATAAATCGTCAATCTGTGGGAAGCCATCAAGTCCTGGCGGTAGATTATCAGGGCTCGGGTGTGGCGATGTGCTACTTCGCCTTGGAAGAGCGTTATGGTTTATACTTCCCAAGAATTGATTGGAAGAGACTCTTGGGTTAGTTCCCAGGTTGCCTCCTCCGGTTCGCGCTGGAACCAGTTTACGCGGGCGTCCGGGCGGCTTGGCCGGCGCGACTGAACAACAGAGATCAAGACGCAAGCAACGAGTGCATTTCCCCTGGTCCCCGTTGCGTAAACACCTCAATTTCGACTGACGACATCTACGAAATGAACATATAAGCTAATGAAACAGATTTCGGTATATTGGAAATGGAAAGGGATATATATACCTATCGCAAGCAGTGCGCCTCAGACTCGATCTGGGGTGGGGAGTCGTTGCCATCTGACCGTGTACTATAGTAGCAGGTAATCTTTACGGTGTCTGTAGTCTTCCTACCATTGAGAGAGTTACGATAGTAATTGCGTGAAGTTTATTATTATCGTAATCAGGCGATTAGTTGATTCCAGAGTGAGTTATTACCCGTTCGGCCACGTACAGCTTCAATGAAAAAAAAAGAAAAAAAAAAAAGAAGGAAAGGATGAATCCGATTCCGAACATACTATGTTATGATATTTAAACCCGGTGAGCTACCATCCCGCACAGACATCAGATATCGCAACGTATATTTTCGCCTATCTACCTACCTCCTAACCTCCCTGGGTACGAATAGGAGACATAAGTCTTTGAATATCATTATGGTATTATTTAATTATTTGGCTCTATCTTAGGCATGTAGGCATTTCATTTTAGATATAGATATCCAAAACCTTTACTGATCCAGGTAGACTGTTTTTAAAGGGTCTCTTGCTCCTCGAGCCCAAACTCCGTCTTCAACTCTGTTCTCAGCTCGATCTCCTTTTCAAAGAGAACCGCAAGAAATACAAGCCCCGAGAGCGGCACACCGATGAGAAACACCTTCTGGAGAGATAATGTAAAGACAGTCCTAATCTGCTGTCTCACAGGTTCCTCGAACGACTCGACGAAAGCTTTCGTCGCGCTTGCGTACGAATTCCCTGATGTTAACAATGCCCTAGCCCTTAGGTCCTCCACCACTGGCGCGTACGATGCGGTATAGCTGTTAAAGATAGCTGCCGGGATTGCTACGCCCCAAACATTCCCAAAACTTCGGATGAAGTTCCAACTTGCCGTAGCAGCCGCCTGGTCTTCTTCTTTGAGAGAAGCTTGAAAAGCAGGGAGCAACGTATTCGTTAGCATGCTACTTCCCAGTGCCGTTACGATGTTGATCCATATCCATCCCGCCGTGCTGGTGTTCTGGTCCATGATGCTGAGGAGACCTACCCCAAGAGTAAACATAGCCGAACCGATGATGTGGATAATCTTGTATCGACCCCATTTGGATAGCATTAGCAATGCGATAGCCGCCCCAGGTATCCCGACGAGACTATATACGAGCAATTCTACGCCAGACTGCGACGGTGAGGATAGTCGAACACCTTGGAAGTAGAGAGGAATGAAAAAGAACTGCCAGTAATTCTCAGCAGAGTTCAGAAAAGAGATGACATATACGATGAGAGCAGTACGATTGCCGAATAATCGAAGGGGCATGACTGGCTCGGCAACAAATGGCAAGCCCTCAAAAATCACGAATAGCACAAGACCGCCAAACCCGACCATCAGAGGTACTAAGATGTGCAATGACCTCCACGGAAACAATACATCCGCCCAGGTTAAAGCAATCAAGATAGACACCGTCGAAGCAATCAAAATCCCATTGCCAATATAATCGACCTGTCGGATCTTTTCGTAGGCTGTCGTGGACCTATCCCACTTAACTCGGAGGAATAAGAATAGGAGCATGAACGCTAAACCGCCAATTGGCAAGTTTATGTAAAACACCCATCTCCACGACGTGGTCTCGACGATAACACCGCCTAGAAATGGCCCTAGAGTCGTTCCGATACCATATATGGCTATGATGATTGCGATGAAGTTGCCCCGCTGTCTTAAGGGGACGAGGTCGGACACGATGACATCGATGATCATATTAATGCCTAACCGGCACACAGTCAGACTTCAAGCATAGGTAGAGGTAGGTAGTCAAATTAATCAACTGCTCCGAACGTACCTCCAGAACCCATCCCCTGGATTGCTCTGCCGGCGATTAGCATAGCCGAGTTTCTAGCACCACCACATATGCCGCTGCCAATGATATAGACGGCTACGATGGATAGAGCAAGGTGGCGTCGCCCAAAGAGATTCGACAGTTGCCCACATAGAGGCTGGACAGCTGCGCTTTGCTCCGAAATACCTGTTAGCAGCCTAGAACCAGGACGACCAGTTCATCCCGAGATTTCCTTTAGGTACCTCTTAACCTACCTGGTCAAAAAGAAGACATTGCTGATCCATACGTACTCTTGGCCAACGTGAAGCCTCTCGGCGATCGTAGGTAAGGCGGTGACGACGACAGTATTCTCAGCAGCAGAGAGCAGAGAGACGGTGCAGAGCGCGAAGATGATGGCCCAGAACCGAAAGCCTCTTTTAGGCTTCTCCTTGCGAACGTCTTCTGCGCCGGGATTTTGCGCATTGGCATCAACATTTGAAATTCTTGGATGCGATGCCTCATGGTCTAATTCGCCGGCTGTCGCGGCCGTATCTTTTTGCATTCTGATTTTGGTGGTATCCTAAAATTCTCCTGTCGTCGAGTTTGTTTGTTGAGGATCCCCCCCATTTTCGCCCACGAGCAATAGTCGCCATGATCTCTTTTAAAAGAAGTAGCATAGAGGGACGTTCAGAGCAAGAAGATGCAACAGTTCTCACTCGGAAGATTCTATCAATGATCGGGGTGGATGAGGTTATTATGGGGCTGAATAACTTCCGCTCGGAAGGTTTCATCGGCCTAGCCAGCCGCGTCGGAAGGTTTTCCATGCTAGATCGCCGCACCGTACCGGCATAGTAACCAATTAGAGAACATGGAGGCCGACTATTTCAGGCTCTTGGTAATCTCTAAGTCGGAAGTTTTTCCAAGCTTAGTATATCGCAGCTGTGTCAGGGGTACGTAGAAATCCTCCTGCTCGCAAAGATTTAGGTACCTGTTGCGAGCATGTCCATAAGAGGTATGTCCATACCCAAGGTAGCTTCATACAATATAGCACCTCATCATCGGCATGTGATACGAAGTCAACATATAGGTGAGCCGAAAAACTCATGCGTAGGGGTAGGATAGGGACTAGTCTACATGCTCGTGGAATAAACTACCGATTGGAATGCTATTTCTAAAGATTTATAAAAGCTTACCCCATGGCAACGCGTTCAAAGCGTGAAAGTAGTCGATGCTCGAAACCCAGCTCAGTTAATTAAGGTGCCAAGTGACAGTGTGTGTGCGCATTAGATCCGGGGTGACGATAATCCATATAGATGACGTCCTCTCCACTTAGCCGCTCATATTTGCCGACGGCATTGCCGTAGTTTCATTAGGTTTGTTTGTCCTCTGAGGCTCTGCCGAAGGTTGGTGGCTTCCCTGTCGCTATGTATGAATGGATGACTTGACAAGCTTCGAGAATGTTTCTTTGTTTTGTATAAGCGACATATCACTTATTGCTTCATTCATTTATGGCGTCGTTGAAGTAAGGACAATCGTGATTGGAATTGAAGCCGCCGTTGAGAAATTTCAAGACTTGGATTTTTAAAGCGAAACAAGTACCGAATTACGGATTACTCCAATATTTATTTATCGCGTGAACTAGGTAGCTTGTAAGTTCGGATCCGCATGGTTAATTTAATACGGCAACCAACATAAAGTCTCGAGTTTCTACTATCTTTCATTGTTGCATACCTCATCTAACAACCAAACATCCCCTATCAGACGTCATGGCCAATCCTGGGATGCTCTACGTTACCATGCAGCCCAAGCCGGGACTGTCTATACATCAGTTTCACGAGTGGTACAACAACGAGCATGGCCCGACGAGGCTCAGATTGCCCCAGATATTCTCCAATGGCCTCCGTTATCGGGCGGCAGACGGAAAGGAGCCTGAGTTTCTAGCCGTCTACGACGTCGTGTCTATGTCGCAGTTGGAGACTGATACCTACACGTCTCTACGCGCAAACAGATCACCTCGAGAGGCTGACACCATTGGTCAGGTAGATGTGAAGAGGTACTTTTGGGACCTCGTCTCTGTAACCCAGTCTCCGCTCTTCATCCCAATCGAGCAGTTAACAGACAAAGAAGCCGAGGGAATACTCCTGCTCTCATTGGAACTCGAGCTCAAGGACACGGCAGATGCCGAGATCCAAACCAAAATGTGGTTCAAGGAGCATGTATCCTCGGTATCGAAGTTGACTGGCTGGCTGCGATCGAGGGTCCTTAGGACGTCTAGCTTGGAATCTGGCTCACCAGTCTCCTTTATTGCACTCCACGAGTTCTCTAAGGCAGGGCGCGCAGCCGCAACTCCTCTGCTTACATCAGCACCTCTCGTATGGAGCGAAATCCAGGAGAACCATGCTACTGTTAACTCACAGCGACTGTATGAACTCTTCTATGTCTTCGGACCGGCGCCGCGCGATCTGTTCAACTTGTCACGACTCGAGCCCTCCACTCCCAAGTTCGTGTCTCCGGATCAGAGGACGGTAACCTCACCTGCTACAACGACGATTTTCTCCTATGCGACAGCTCCAGATGGGCTCAAGATCCCTTACCAGCTCGAAGGCAACCCGGATCCCAAAGCGCCAGTTATTGCTTTCTGCAATTCGCTACTCACCTCATTCCACATGTGGGATCCCTTCATCAACATCCTCAAGACACAGAGGCCACAGTATCGTATTCTACGCTATGACTTCCGCGGTCGACACACCATACCTTCCCCACCTGCTCCAGCAACCTTAGATACACTAGCAGATGATCTAAGTAGCCTCCTGGCTGCGCTGCGGATACCCAAGCTAGACACTCTGATCGGCGTATCTATGGGCGGAGCCACGACGCTGAAGTTCGCGCTGAAGTATCCAGAAAAGCTAGTGCGATTCATCGCCTGCGACTTCAACGCAGCATCTAGTCCCGCGAACACGGACGCGTGGAAGCAACGCATCGCTATCGCTGAAACGCCACTCGAGGATGGCGCTCCAGGTATCCAGAAACTAGCGACACAAACCGTCGAGCGATGGTTCCACCCCGCTACGATGGAGAAGCAGGATACCGTGCGCTGGATGGAGGATATGGTTGCCGGCAACGATCTCCAGGGTTTCAGGTACGGATGCCAGGCGCTGTGGGATTACGATATGAAAGCCCAGATGAAAGAGTGCCAGGTTCCCGCACTGCTGGTCGTTGGCGAGGGGGACGGAAAGGGGGCTCTAGTCAAGGCCATGGATAGCTTCAAGGGCCTTCTGGGAAAGGACGGCGCCGAGCTCGCTGTAGTACCCGAGGCTGGCCATCTTCCCATGTGCGAGAACCCAGGAGGCTTCTGGAAGGCTGTGGGGGTTGTCTTGTGAGGGTCTGGACTGCTCTATAGCTGTCTCGGTAATTGGTTTGTAACACAATGCCAAGCTACCTACCTTACTGCCTTGAAGTGATAGCTTTGCGTCTGTCCAGTGAGCTGCTAGCTGTTGTACGGGCTATGAATAGCTTTTAATCTAAAAACAAGTTTATTTGATCGGAAGATGCCGTTTATGATGATGAGACGAGCTGATCATGCCTATAGGAAGGATACACGTTGACGTTCAAGTGACTGCTTAGGTCTATGAGATAAGGAAGTAGGTAAAATATAATAACATAAAAGCTATCTTAAATTAGAAGCTTACTTACCTAAGGTACTCTCCATGTCTACTTATATTCCGAAGTCAACGGTATACTAGCTAAAGTTAGATGTATACGTATTTCAATGATACTATCTACCTGTTAGGTATATGCAAGTTGTTCGTATCTTAAAGTTGTTAACCCAGGATGGAGCAGTTATTGATACATACCTAGTTGGCAGGCAGCTTAGTACAAAGGTAACTAACTATAATTATACGAATACTACCTACCTTACAAAACTATAGTCACTTATTATACAGCTTAGAGTGGTAAGCATACCTGGCTAACCTTAGGTACCTTAGGAGGTACCTATGATAAATGTGGAAAGGTCATGATAATGGAGACAATTACTATAGGTAAATACCGGCTTAGCTATCAATCAGGCTCCTAACATTTAAGATTTTGGAATATAAAATGATTTAAGATAAATTTACGATTTGGGTGTGTGTGGAGAGGCTGGAGGACCTGCCGAAGCAAGCCAGTATATCGACCAAGGGAAACTAAAATTGTAAGTCACGATTGAAGGGCCGATGGACGGGTCTGGAATATCAATATTTCGAATTCGTAACGGCAGGGTGATAAGAATGTCATTTTAGAACCTGACTCTCTATTAGCCTATCGATCCTCCTTGGGATAGTAAGGTAGTATACACTCACTCAGCTAAGCGACCTGTTTCCTATTTAACTACCTATATAGGTAGGCATTGATGTGGATATTTCGCCGTAGACCTACTTATATTGGTGGAAATACTCCTAGTTAGACGTAAAAGTCCACGATGGTTGCACGGAGCGTGTCATTCAGCCCTGAATCCTCCTCGTCTTCCCCGTGAAGCGATCGTACTAACTTCACGCGACGAGTAGAGAAGAAAAAGATAGAAAAATGGGCAGGTCGAAGAGAGACGTTGTCAAACACGTGAGAGACAGGCAGGAAAGGTGTTCCGAAAATATTTCAAGATCTCCGGAGACTTTGACCCCCACGTTGGCGAGGATGGGCTCACGCCGCCGGCACGACGGAATGAGGTGAGCTGGGGACAAGGGGAGGCGTTGCCCGCATAGGGATAGCTTCGCGATGACGCAAGCCATGCGGAGTCCCCAATCTGAAAGCAACTTGGAATACTGGAGAGAGCATCTGTGCAACTCGTCCCGACAGCCGTTAGGGTTACGTCTAAGCATGCATACAGATATACCAGGTACCTTAGTCTTCTTCAATGTATTATTTGAACTATTTGAAAATTGACGATATCTGGTGGGCTGATCCTAACCCCCACGCCTATCATTCCGAATAACGCCACCTCGAGTTGCTGTTCTTCTTAACCTACCTCCGTTCTCCATCTATGCCTCACCTGCGGCTTCTTATGAACTATCCCAGGCTCCCGGTCTGGTAGTGACACACCGTGTCATTGGCATATCTGTCATTATAACGAGGTATGTAGCATTGCTAGAAGTGGTTCTCTCAGGCTGCAGTGCATTAGGATTTCCCGTGGGATGGATGAGCTTAATGACTGCAATATGGAATCGATAGTAGTGTTGCTTCGAATTTGAACGGATATATTACAGCTTAGACTAGTGGACTTAAGTATAGCTTATCTCCTGTAAAGTGGTATGGCTTTCGTCTTGGATCGGCATAACCGCGTACTGATAACTGAGCTGGGTAGACAACACTTTGCTTGATACGTATAGGTACCTATACTTACACGCTTAGATGTTATGCTCCATACTCGTAGGTAGTAGTAGTAGTAGTATTGAGGTAAATACGTAGCTCGAGCAATGTAGTATCGACTTTTCGTTGCCCTTTGGCTACCTAAAACATACATGCCGTTTGGGGAGAGGCATTGGGATACGTGTGTACTTCACTCCCGCCCCTCGATGGGTTGGAAAGCTGTTTTGTCAGCGAGCGATATTCTTACCAAGCCATTGAGAAGTGTCTCGAATGTTTCGAGGGAACCAGAACCGGGGACTCATGACTGCGTGATACCTCTTTACCACCAGGACGTTCGGCGAGCGCTTCTAGAATGTTGCCTCGCATCACGCTTAGTTTAGGTCAGGTAGGTACCTGTATACGACTACGGGAGAGATCTCTCGGCGTAACTATAACTGCAGGTGACTCTGCGTATTCGGGTTTATAGAAGTGCTTAAAAATGTCTCTGTATCTACGGGGAAGTACGAACGTCGTAACGTTACCCACGACCCAGCAGGTCGGAAGCCCTGGCAGAGTTGCCCTGCTTTTCCGCCCGCTTAGCATACTCGTAGCGTTTCCTGCGATATGATTACTAGATTCGGGCACTTGTGAAAAGAAAAAAAGGAATCCAAAGCTGCTTCAAGGTTGGGTTACGTGGCTGTATTAAGTAAAAAGATAAAAAGAAGCCCATGGCGAGGCTTCCGCCCAGGGGAAATAATGGCGCCTTTTTTATTTGCTTGTGATAATGTTGCAAGGACAGTCTCTTACAGGGGATGTTTCGGGATAAAATACCTATATATCTCCTAGCTGGGTGTTTGAACGGCACGTGGCCCGTGTCCCGGTATAATTCTCTTGCGAGCTCGCGAGAAATATCTATCGAGAATGAATTGAAGGTATGTAGGTACCAGGTAACATAAGGCGGGGAGGAGGGGGTAAGAGGTATGTAAATGGGGAGAAACGAAGAAAAATCATTCGGTCCCGTCTTGGTAAGTCGGGATTCCCTTTCCTTAATGGATCGCTTTGGGACATGGCTGAGCAAAAAGCTCATCTTGGATGGACTGGATGCATCATGCAAAGTAGATGAACCGGATGAGATTCGACGGGAAATTCAACAGTGTTTGAACTTCCAACCAATAGAAAGCCGCAGATAGGGGCTGACGGGCTGCCGGGGACGGAATAGACCGAGCAAGTTATAGTAGTGGTCTCGGAGAGTCGGAGAGGTCTGGGAGAAAATAAGATGTGGCTCTAGATTTCCTGTTATTTTCTCTTTTCGTCTCCTGGTTTGAAGTTAGTTTGCAGATAAGCACGCTTGTTTGCAGGATTTCAGGATGAACCTAGGGGCAATCTATCTAGGCATGTCGTTCGTTAATTCCTTGATTCAAGTGTCAGCTCTGATGGGCTAAAGCATTAGCTCCCAAGTGAGGCGGTCCGTCGACACAAGAAAAGTTTCTAAACAGTCCAGTGATTGTTTTGGGTGGGCTAGGCCCACGTTGGACCCTACTGGCCTAAGCTGGACCGCGGAGCTGCGTGCCGGCTCTTCAATCTAAAAGAGTACGCCGCATCCATGCCTGTTCGGCCCGGGCTGCCGCATGGGAGAAAACCCCTGACACTTTGGGGGGAACGAGGGGCAGCCAAGTCCGACATGGGGTAGAGAGAAGTGCATTCGTTAACCTGGTTAAAGCTTTTAGCTCTACACGCGTACATATACAATACATAATAGCAAGCCAATAGCATACTAGTAGGAGACCAGTGAGCAGACATATGGTACAGTATTTAGTCCCTGCTCGACCCCGCGGCACTGAAGGGTGGTCGAAAGAGAGAAAAACGGAATCTGAATGGCCGAGTCACAGCGCACTGGAGGGACAGAGGGATCACAAGACACGGGGGCACGCATAAGGTAAAAACTAAGGGCAAAGGGAAAAAAAAAAGGCTGAGCATGTCCAACGTAGATGTGGTACAGCGCACAGCCGCTGCACTCCCCTCACCATTCGAGAGCGCAATGGCTGCCGCTGCCGCTGCCGCTACCGCTACCACCGCTGGAGTTGGAGTTGGAGTTGGAACAGGGTCAGGCACAGGGACAGTCAACACAACCCCAAGTAGTGCCACAGTTGCAATGGCGTCGAATAAACCCGCCACTACAACATCCTCCCCTCCAACGTCGATAGCGGCAGCGACCTCGACGACGACAACAACAACAACGACAACAGCGACAACGGCACCACAAAAATCTTCGGGAATAGGTAAAATATCATTTCCGCCGCAGATAGGGGTAATTGGGATTAAAAGGACGAGAAACGGCGACCACAAAGAAGGCAGGAATTCCAAAAGCAGGCAGAGGCCTTTTACCAAGAGCATGGAGCCTCCCGTACTATCGTTTTACGGCACCCAGCCGGTGCCTCTGCCCTCGCGATTCGGCAGCCTCAAGAAGCGGCTCGTCGCGGGCCACGAATCCGCGCTGGAGGCGTCGTGGGGCCGGCTCCTCGCCGCTCTCCGCGACGAAATCACATATATCGAGGAGCACGGCTCCGGGCTGATCCCGTCGATCGACTTCGCCGACATGGACGACGCCGCCAAGGTCGCGCCGTTCGGGGCGCAGCTGAAGCGGCACGGCATCGGCGTGATCAAGGGCGTCGTGCCCTCCGCGGACGCGAGCGCCTGGGTCGCGGAGACCAAGAAGTACCTCGAGACGAAGCACGAGTACAAGCCGCCGCCGGCGCAGGACCCCACCTGCTTCGACTTCTTCTGGACCCCGGCGCAGGTGCGCTCGCGCGCGCACCCCCACGTGCTACAGGCGCAGCGCTTCGCCATGTCGCTGTGGAACGCGAATAACGACGACCGGCTCGCGACGAGGTTCCCCATCACGTATGCGGACCGCATCCGGATAGAGTCCGTGTCCAACGGGCACCTCACCGTGAACGGCGCTCTCGCCCCGACGCACGAGGACTCCTTGATCGCCGCCGCGGCCGCGACGTCCTCCGCGCAGATCGCGCAGATCGATAATGGGAGTCTGGAGCGCTGGGAGCAGGACGGCTACGGGCGCGGCGGTCTTTACGACGCCGTCTTCAGGGGCGACTGGGAATCCTACGATGCGTGGGATCCGGCGGGCCGCATCAACGCGACGTCCGATCTATACAACGGCGCGGGTGCATGTTCGATGCTGCGCTTATTCCAGGGCATCCTCGCGTTGACGGTAGTCGAGCCAGGGATGATTCGACTGCTGCCTTCGCCCAAGCTATCAACCGCTTACTTTCTTCTCCGGCCTTTCTTTTCACCAAAGAAGGGGCCACCTCCGCAAGGCGCCGGCGAAAAAGAGTGGAATGCGTACCTCGATGCGTCGAACTGGGCCCTCGATAAGGAGCAGTCGACAATAATACACGGCGCAGTCCCCGGCCACGCGCAACGTGTGACGGCGGCGTGGCATCCCCATTTGCAGCTCGACAAGAGTCTAGTGACGCCGCCCACATTGCAGGCTGGCGACTATATAATCTGGCACCCCGACCAAGCATACCAATTCTCCAACACCAATTACCGCTCCACCAGCCGGCCACAGACATCCTCCAGCGAGCCCGGAGCCGGCGATACGACCTCCATGCTCGTCTATACACCCGCAGCACCGCTAACCCAAACCAACGCCCTGTTCCTGGCTCGCCAGCGCAAAGCCTTCCTACGCGGCCACCCAGGCCCGGACTTCGACTCCACGGGCACGGGTCTCGGCAGCGAAGCGCCGCACACGGGGCGTCTCGGCGAGAAAGAAATCCGAGAAGTAGGGGGCGAGGAGGGGTTACAAGCCATGGGTCTTGCGCCGTGGAACTTGAGCAGTGGCAGCAGCAGCAAAGGCAGCAGTAGTAACAGTAGCAACAACAACAACAACAATAACCACAAGCATCGCGCGACTGCAGCAGCAGAAGCGGCGGCAGCGCCCAAGCGTAACGCAGAGGGAGAAATGGACGTCGACGCGCCGAGCCGGAGCAGCAGCCGGGACAGCCGGAGCAGCAGCACGAGCAGCAGCACGCACGCGGAGGCGGAAGTCGTGCGGCTGGCCAACATCATCCTGTTCCCGGACCGGTATGACTTCTACATGCCCACGCGCGCGAGCAGCCCCGCGCCCGCGGTAGGCCGTGGTAGTGGTGGTGGCGACCGGGGCGAGAAGGAGAGGGAGCGCGAGCGCGAGCGCGACAGGAGTAATAGGGAGCGGGAGAACTCGGACAGGGACAAGGATAGAGACAAGGGGAAGGATAGGGAGAAATAGTAACCAACCTTGGGTACTTTACCTTCCTGGGATAAAGTAAACAAGTGAGAATGCGGGCGGAGCGACGAGAAGAAGAAGAAGAAAAACAAGAATAAAGCTAAACAAGAGGGGTCAAGGCGCCGATGAATCGATAAATACCTGGAATGGGGCTGGAACCGAGGTTACTCAGGGGGTTGCTGCGATAGGCCTGGGTGATTCGCTGGTTACGCGTGCAAGCTTATAGACTTGTACTTTGCGAGGTGCTTGCTTATCGTTGCCATTTTCAAAGTTATATATATATATGTTGCGTCTATCATCCTCTTGTTCTTTTCTAAAGAGGCGTGCATCACGAGATACCTGATAGCTGAGATAGATGGGACAAGACAGAGAAACCGACGTCTATTCAAGTCGATTTAAATTGAGCCCAATGAATCCCGGGACACCTACAATCCATTGCTTTCTGAGAAATATTTAGGTATTCGTTGATTTGCAACTTATTTCATTATCATTATCATGTATATATCTCGTTAGCGAAAGCAGCGCCAACGTGCCCTAACTGCCTCGGAGGTACCTTAGGAGGTACCTAGGGTAGTCATCCAGATGGATCTCATTCTTACTCACCTCCATTCTCAAACGTATGATGTTAACCCTACTACCCATACACACAAAAGCCCGACCTTCCCTAAAACTCACTTGAACTCACAGAAATGTCTTTATCAGCATAAACTCGGAAGTACATTGCTTGGTGTGCTAAGCACTTCCGATCCCAAATCATTATCATAGAAGAACCACCATCGCCTTATCGTCTTATGGGAATTAAAGAGGTACTCCTCGCCGCGGGACTCGAGATTCCGCTGCAACGATCGCCGCTCCCATGGCAAATTCCTTTCGTTGAAGAGCGAATTCCAGCTCGGTCAGCACGCATTGTGCGGCAACTATCTTGAATGACTGGAAATCGTCCTTGTTTCTACCGAAGCTCTTCGGCTTGGTGATACCGACGTGGAGACAGGCAATACTCAGCTCAAGTGGTGTACTCTCGTGATGCCGGTTTTCAGAGCCATAGTCATCCAGATCTGCTCCACTATCGCTATCGTCATCGTCATCGTCATCGTCGCTGTCTCGATGGCCGACCTTTTTCTTGCGTATCATACTTTCAACCCATCTTGCGATTGCGTCGTAATCGTCTTTGAGACGAACCGATCGGTCACGCTGCCGGCGAGTCTGAGCGCCTGTCTTATTAAAGATGTACCCCGTAAACACCTCAAGCTCCGAAAGCCCTTTAGTAAAGTTATCGGAGTACTCCATAGTTGCAGTCCAAACCGCATCGTCGTACCTATGAAGTAAGGTAAGTTGTTGAGGCTATGAAAACTGCGCTATTTACTAGAAAGGATGTACTTACGCATCACGAATACGACGAGCTTCGTCCAAGGCTGCCTCCCAGTCGACATGTCCTAATTCATCGCATTTGTAGTTGATATACTGAAGCAGTTCCTCCCATACCGATGGGCCAGTAAGGCTTACAAATTGTTGGATGTCGGATCTCCAGATCTTTTTCTCGTCAATAGCGCGGTGCAAAATGCCGAGAATCTTATTAGAGGTATAATAGACGTGTCCAGGGCCGCTTTCGTCATCCTCGTCATCCAGTTCTGGGGCTTTCGCCGATTCGAACTCAATTTCCGTCTTGTCGACGATCTTCGCAGGAGGGGCAGGTGCCATACTGCAAAAGTCCACATTAGCGATTCAAATACCATTAAGTGAAGATACTACTTCGTTTCTCCAGGCTAGGCGATAATCTGTTCTTGTTGTTTTTTTTTAAAAAAAAAATACTTACAAGTCTGGGCGATACTTCGTTGTCGTCAAACGTCTGAGTTTGTTCATATCAATTGGAATGCCCGATTTGCTGTAATCTACACCGGTTGAATGCATTTCAGCAAGAAGTTTGCACTCTTCATCTACTGTGCCTGCATTCTTCCTATCGGCGAGAATCAAGTGCTTGGTAGCAATTACACCTAGCCTATGAATAATATTAGTCAAGGTACATAGCCAAAGAGTTGGGTCACGTTGCGGTCGACACAGGATCATGAAACTAATCTCAACTTACTGGTCGGTGGCCATAAACTCGACAAAAAAGTTTGTCATATCTTCCCATCTCACCTCTCGGTCAATGTTCAGGGGGGTAACCAAGGGGTAGTCTGCGGGAGCAAATTCCGCCTTTGATGAGTTGACAGCGAGCTCATCCCAGATGATGTTGTATATATCTCCATCGAGATCTCCGCCACTAAGTTGACTTGGAAGATCTCTCTTTCCTTTCTGGCTGAATACAACACAGTTCGAGAGCGATCGAAGAGGATGGTCATCCGGAGGTACCACCACTGTCCGTACCTGAATATCGCCGGGGTGGAGGGCAGGGGACCTTGTTATCAGTACCAGCCGGTTGTGCAGGTTTATATGAATACCGCGTTTTCTGTAAAGCTTTTCTTCCTCAAATGTGACAAAGATTTCATCCTCCTCCAAAAATCCGAACTCGTCCATAACGCCAAATAGTGTGGCCCCCTTTTCAACCGGAATCCGAGCTTTATGCTTGAGGAGGCGCACCTCCCTTAAGACAATCGTCTCAACAACAGAACACAGGAACTTGTCCTTCTTGTAGTCTATCCCAAGCTCATGAAGGCGACGAATGAATTTTGAGAAGTTGATCTGCTCTGCAACCTTTTGTCTTTTGAGGAATGTCACCGTATTGTGGATTTGGGCAGTAATCATGCGCAGTCTCTCGAGCTCGCGGTTTTGAACTTCAAGAAACCATTCCCTCGCGACGCCCATGTCCTCAAGGATCTTGATCATTTGACGATTGAGAACAAGAGGAATTGGTCTGTTCCCCATATCGCAGATCTCTAAATACCGGACATCTTTGCTTTCGAATTTGATCATGCTCGGCCTAATGCGCATGACCATCCCCTTAAGGGTATCGTCCAAAGAAAGCATTCCCTTAGCACCTGCCCACCTAATCTGGAAGCATGTTGTAGTGTTCCTATTTTTTGGCAGGGAAACGTGAATAGCTTCCATTAGTGATCTAGACAGTGTCCCGACCCCGTCGCTGAAAACCCGGTCTCCGTTCTTGGATTTTACATCAGATATAAACTCGATTCGTGCTCCGATACTTACAAGGTCAATAGAGAATGGTGTCTCGGAGAAAGCCTGGCCGATTCTGGCGGCGCATTTTGAGGGCGAGTAAATTTTGTTGAATCTCCCAAGTAACGAAATCACGCGGAAATAGTCTTGCGAGATGCCATCGTGGTCCGTGAAAGGGGCCATGAACCATACACTATGTGCTCTTAGGGATGAGTGGGAGAAGCCTAAGAATCTGTAATCGCGGCCTGCAATACGAATCCCTTCTAAGAGAATATGCTTGAACCGGTGCCAGACCAACTCAAGTGATACCTTGGAATTGAAGAATAGGTCCTGGCCATCTTCTTCGCAAAATTGAACACGGGCAAAGTAGCCAACATGATCAGGGAACTTCCGAAGTATTCGATTTTTTGCTTCTGGTTCTGGTCCAAGGAGAGTGATTCGAGTGGGAGTAACCTGCACTTTGTATACCATTACAAGACTCTGGCTCGCCCTCTCGGATATTAGCTCCTTCGCCGTACCGTAACGGATTTCCTTTTCGTTGCCCTCTAGGTATGACCAGATCTCGTCTGGGTTAAACGTGCTTGCCTCCACGCTTGGGCCAGGAAACGGTATCTGAGAAAACAACTTCTTGACCGCACGTGCAGAGATAGGGAACGACGCAGTTGTTGCTGATGCGTTATTGGCGTGACTTATTCCACTGGCACCGACGGTCTGTCGATAATTCCCGTGGAATTGGGAGCCCAAACTGCCTTTAGAGGAAGGGATACGAGCGGACTTGTGAAGGCGCTTGAGCAATATCTCGACCGTCTGGGGAAGGAGATAGCCATTTTGGACAAGGGCGTGGAATTGAAAAAGGATATCGAAAGGGATGAGTGAATTATTCTGGTATTCATCAAGTAGGGCATTGATTCTCCTCATCCCATCCATCATTGACGTCTGGCCGTACAAGACATTTGGCAAGTCGTGATACGAAATCTTGAGCTTCTCTTTTTGTTTGAGTCGCTGGAGCCTAGAGTTGAATTCAACTGGTGATACCTGAACACTGTACACGAGGCTTTGCCCCAGAATTGCGGCGTGGTCGGCGCTCGGATGTGGAAGATGGCTTAATCGCACCCTAGGGGCCCTTTTTGCCCCTGAATTGAGTTCAGAAACTCCCAATTTGCTCATGCGAGAGGAAAGTTCAAAGATAAGTTCAACCTCCCCAAGTTCGGCGTCGATTTGAAAGATTCGAGGTGCTTCCCAAAGCGTCAAGGTCAGGATAGGTATCCGAAGGACGCTGGAAACAACTATCTCGTCTATAGTGCGGTATGGAATCTCGACTCTAATAGCTTCATACAATATTATAAGTGAATCTCTTGCAAATCTGGCAACGCCTTTGGTGATTGGCCATTTGATGTCGGGACTGTAGGCGAGTCTGCCATTCAAATATTCGTAATGGCCGCATGAGAACTCGCGAAGCTCGAAGGAAACTTTCTTATCATTTGGGGACAGCTTTTCTTCCTCCGCTTGTAGTTTCTGATCTTGAGCTGTCTTGATCATAGCCTTCAGTAGAAATTCGTCTGGGGTGTGTTTACTAACCCTGCACCTGACAAAGTTTCCGAGGATCTTCAACTTTCCTCGTTCCCTCTGGTTGGCCATTCTGATAACGCCATGTTTCTTTAGAAATTTGGTGCCTTGATCGTTGTGCAGGAATGTAACAGTCCCAAAAGGCTTTCCGCGGTCCTTCCTACAAGTCCATTCCGTGATACACAGAGTATTGGTAATGATAGGAGTTAGTTGTGTAGTGAGGCCTTGGCCATCGAGACCTGAAGGGAGGTCTTGCATGTAGACCTCCATAGTGAATTCGCGTATGGTATGTCTCGAAGATGTGAAGGTGGAGAAAATTATAGTTTTGGATGTAGAAAAGGCAGAATGAATGACTACGGAAAATAAAGATGAGTTGAGAAAGTAATAGTTGCAGCGATACCTGTTATAGTGCTATGTAGCTTAGGGTAGTTCTGGGGTGGTTCTGGGGTGTAATGGTGGGTTTGATCGGTTAGCAGCGGACAGCTGCAGAATCCAATAGCAGTTCAGTTTAAATTTAATTGGCTGCTTGTGATGCCGAAATATCCCGCCTAAGGCAGGCTACAAGCTAAGGTGGTAGTACAAAGTGCGGGCAGCTTGAAATAATCTGAGACATACAAGATACTTTAGGTACCTAGGTAGCTTGGTGCACATTTCCATATACATGTGAGGCCGATCGGAGCTTCTATTCATGCCACCTTTTTTAGAAGATTGAGTGGTACTTAGGTCCTCACACTTGCACATGGAAGGTTGTTGTGCCGATTTGCATCATGCACGCTCCTCAAAAGTTACCTACCTTAGGTATGATATCAACTCACTGAATGAGGCCAAAGTCATGCTTACATCGGCGTTTGCTCAGTTGAAACACAGCAGCAAATTACTAAGAAACTATATTGTTCTCAAAGGGTGTATCTTAAAGTCGAGAGTCATTTTTGAGATGTGAATTTTGAAGAGTATGAGCTGTTTCACTATCCTGTATTGCCTCTCAAAGCTTATTATGATTGATAAAAATAACGCCCTTATATACGGTTATAAGCAGTCTTACTATTAGGCACTTACTACCTATAAGGATCAATGATACATTTGATAGGTATTTACGATACGCTAACTTTGTATAACGATTAGGTAGGTAGGTAGCACAGCTATAAATCTATCAGTCATACAAATCCAGCTGGTTACACTGAGCTTAGAATTGTTATTTAATGGGAATTGAATGCTATAAATATAATATCCTCCTGTCATTGGGGCTCCAGATGCCATCAATGGACTACAATTCCTTCCTTACCTTTACATATTGAGGTCCAAGTTTTAGAAAATAGGTACCTAGGCTCCATGCAAACACATCAGCATGGGGGAAAGTCATATGAATAAAGTCTAAGGTTTATACGATGCTTTCACCATTAAATCGTACCCCGAGGGTGAGGCTATCATGGCCAGTCGAGATGCTAACAAATGGTTAGCCTATGTGGGTAATTTTAGGATAAAACTACTCTATAATGTGCATAATGTGATGAAGCAGTCTCTGTCCGACATGCAGGCCTTCGTCACTTCAAACAGTTCGATATTTGGCTGGTGAAAGAGATGAGGATGGCCAGCTTGGGGTTCACCGACGCTGGGACTAGGTTCAAAGTAGACGAATCTTGTGCCAAGATACAATATAATGCAGAATCCCGTCAAACATGGGAATGTACAAGATGGGCTCTGAACTTCCAGCCCTTGATCTCCGGGTATTACAGGTAGGTTATTGGTTTAGTGCTAGTAGGAGTTTGGTTCCGCTCAAAATTGGTCTTATTTTTAGGTTATTTTCTAAGGAAGGAATATAGAGCTGCCAGTAGACCTAAGATGATGCATTGATATAAAGCAAGGTTGCTTCTATAGGAGAATAAGATAATGTGTGAAGATATCCATATAGTAAGGTCATACATACCTAGGAGGTAGGTAGGTATATCTATGTAGACACTACCTCGGGACCTTAGCCTTTTTCTGGTATGCAATAAGTACCATATACATGATATCGAAGTTGGCAAGGATGTAAGGGAACGTGAACCAATCATTGTTCCCGAATAGGAAATCTTTAGAAACCATCCCCGCCAATCATCAAGCATCTAATCAAACATCTACTTCTTCAACGTTCGACTTAAGGATTATACAGAACTCTATCTCCCTAAATTCAATCCAACGGTATCTATAGTCGGAGAACAGGCTAGAGTTATGGAACCACCAAAGAGTAAGCCAAAACGCAAGAGACCGCCCCCTCAGAATCCAATCGAGGCGGCAATCAAGACATGGTGTCATACTGGCGATTTAGCTCAACCTCAGCAACGGGATCATCTCGACGAACTGATTTCTCACGCACCGAAAAGATGGACGGTATATGAGCCAATGGTGTTACTTCCAGCTGGCTCTTTCGACACGGCCGTGTGGAAAAAGCTGCTTCCGGATCTATCCAATGAGCAAGTTGATGCCTTATGGATCCGGATCCTAGCAGAAATCTCGAAGAGGACTGGAGCAGCCTGCTTGACGCATCTAGCCGTGAACGAAGGGATTCCTGCTGCTCTCCGCCACGGCACACCCGAAGAACCAGGTTGCGGGGAACACGAAATGGGGGCTGATCATGCGCCAGAAAACATATTACGTAGCCCGACCGGCCTTCGTATCTTACATGGGGATTTCGGCCCCGCCCCTGCTGAAGATACAGCCCCGGATTTTGAGCGTGGATTCTGGGCCTCAACGAGGCAGAACGGCGTGTTCCAGACGTGGGCACCCCGATGGACCATGTTCAGCCGAGGGAACATTAAGGAGAAGGCGCGTCTGCTCAACTTTCGGGACAGAAAAGACGTAGAAGAGAGACAGTCGCAAGAGGACGCCTGGGCAGTTGACTTGTACGCGGGTATTGGGTACTTTACCTTCTCGTACGCCAAGCTAGGTATGCGGGTACTGTGCTGGGAGCTGAACCCATGGAGTGTGGAGGGCTTGCGCCGTGGCGCCGTGGGAAACGGCTGGTCAGTGCGGGTTGTGAAAGATGAACATGACCTCGCATTGCCAATGAAAGAAGTAGTAAGCGGAAGTGAGCAGATCATAGTCTTCCTAGAAGATAACAGACGTGCTGCGCAAAGAATTAGAGAGCTAAGCAAGTTGGATATATCCCATGTCAACTGTGGCTTATTGCCTACCAGTGATGCCTCTTGGAAAGACGCTTGGGAGATTGCAACGCGCAATAAAGCGGAAAAAGCGTGGCTTCACCTACATGAGAACGTAGGGGTGGCCGATATTGAGAAGCGCAAGGAAGATATCGAACAGTATTTTTCGGAATTAACAACCCACGATAACAGTGGCAGTTCCGCGCGCATAGAGCATACGGAGCTTGTTAAGACCTTTGCGCCGGGAGTTTGGCACTGCGTCTTCGACCTGTACATTACAAGGTCTAGCACCATAATATAAAGCGTATTATACAAGCAAACCACTTCCAACACACGTTCCAAGTCGTAAATTCGTGTATGCGTCCCCTAACGCGACTACCCCCCTTGCTGATTATGATTCAAACTCCAATGGGTATCAATTAAGTTTTTTAGTTGTTTTTCCTGAACTTGCTTGGAATATTATCCTCTACGATGGCCATCTTGTTTAACTTCTCAAGCCTTGCCTCCTCATCTTCTAACATCTCGTGCTTCTTAAAGTGCTCGATATCCTCGGGGTGTGTCAGGTCTTCTAATTTGGTATTCTCGTCATGATACTTTTCCCAGTGATGTATTTCATACTCGTACTCGTCGTCGCCATGATGTCCAGGCCCTGTTCCTACGTCTGGAAGTGTCTTCCCGGACTCGATGAAAGCAATGAACTCGTCACGCGTCACAATTCCATTCCTATTGGTATCGAGTAGCTGTAATAGCTCGCGCTGAATCTCGTCGCGACGGGATTGTGGAACGGCCTTGTTTGATTCGTCCATCAATCCGTATGTACGCAAGATCTCCTCGGCTTCCCATTGACCATCGGCGTCGTAATCGTGTAGAACGAAGAAGGACGAGGCGTCAAAGTCGCTAATATGGTGTTCCTCTACAGTCATTGTCAGATAAGATAGAGCAATTACCTGTTATACGGGTAGTAAGTAAGTGCATCATACCAGCCATGTGCTTGGTCATCCAATTGGCGTTCTGGTCGACCATTGGCTTCTGCGAACCTCCATGGTCACCGTGGCCGAGGACTTGACTGGCGAGACCAGCCACAGCTAATATCGTAGAACGCATTTTATCACTCGTTGTGGAAATTTATTAAGAATTGTACTGATGATTAAAGGGAATAAAGGGTCGCGACGTAGGAACGAGGGAGTACGAAGAGTTAGAAAGAGGAAGATGAAGAAAAGATGAAAAAGGACAACGAGGACAACAAGACAGCAAAACAACAAGACAGGCACGGGGAAGTTGCATCCGTAGGTCTAGGTCCAAGATAGTTAAGCTAAGGTGGATTAGGTACTAAGATAAGGGAAACTTGTGACCTCTGTTAGCCTGTTCTGCTCAGTGAGATCATCGATCCCCAGCTATGACCCTGCAGTTTTTCCTGCAAGGGCCAAACCCGCTAAGATTTAGTCTATCTGCCTATCTGCCTATCTGCCTATCTGGGCCGCATTTACGGTTTAGAGCAGTACCAGGTAAGTATTTCGTACCAAATACGGGGTTAGCAGGGGTTTATTTTAGTGATCGTCTTAGCACCTGCACCTACTAGGTAAGCTATAATGTAGGTACACTTAGGTACCTCCTACTAACCTCTCGTCCAGTCTTCATCATTTTGGATTCTTCAACTTTAAAACACCGTCTAAACGCGACCGACATTCGACCTGACTACGTTTGAGCTTACCTAGGTTAGGTACCTAAGGTAAAATTATAAGCCACTACTTTTTTACTTCCTCTTATCTTGATCTCGGCATCCTAAGATCAACTTCGACATGAGCCGCACTTTAGAACCGACTCTCCTTTCTCTATTACCTACATACTCTCAAGACTTACCTCAACCTCTCCTTGAGCTCGCGTCTTCTTTGCTTGCACAGTCTCGTCATAATGCCGGCGCACTCAGGGCTGAAGAAGAAGTAGCTCGGACTTACGCATGTGCTCACATTGCTTGCGAGCGCCTAAAGATAACCCTCGATCTTCCGCCGATCCAACCAAGACCTCCTGTTCCACCTCGAATATACAAGAGACTATATACTCACCTCAACAATGTCTTACCTGCGAATGCAGTGGGGCGGTCAGGGCGGGTGCGGACGCCGAGCTCAAAACTACGCGAATTGGGGACACTAGATAGCGCTCAACGGATTCCCTCTCGAGGTACGCCTACTAAGGAAGAATCGTTAGCCAAGTTCCGGTCTCCCACCACACTCAGGGTTAATAGTACCCCTACGAAGTCTTCAAGTAAGCCGCCGCCGATCCCCGCCAAGAGAAAAGCTGGAGGAAGCATGAGCGTACTGCCGGCTTGGATTCGACCGACTATTCAGTTTATGTGTAAAGAGCTGGATGAGGAAAGCATCGGACGAATCGTCTTGGCCGGTATGCAGACAATCGTCACTCCACACGGGAAACGAACGAAGGACGAATGGGTCAACGGGCACTTAACATCGTTGCTTGCGGCCGTATATTTTCTCGTTTCGTCCCAGATATATGTTTTGGAACAAGGCAAGGATTTAGACGATCCACAATACGCACGGATGCGAAAATCTATCCTCAATGTTATGGGGCGAGCGCAGGAGAACGTTAGCGTAGTAGGTATGGATGAAGACGAGCTTTGGATCGGATGGTCGGACATAAAGTCGAGAGATGTAGATGGTGCCGTTGCCAAAGTAGTCGAGAATAACTGGCAGGAAGAAGAGTGGTTCGCGGGCATTAAACATATAATCAAGGCGAAAAATACCAGTAAGGACGGCGAAGACGTGGAAATAGACGATGGAGATGAAGGGCAAGTCAGCGGAAAGCTTCATATCCAGAGGGGCGATACTATGCTTCAGAGCAAGTGGGATATGACTGATAAAAAGCGAGAGGAATATCGCGAGTGGAAAGATGAGATGATGCGCCGAATCGAGGAGTTTGAACATTCCCAAACATCCACGATAGATATCCACGCCACCGCATGATGATGTAACGAGTAATTCCAGGAGTTGAGAACCAGGTACTTGGTAGGTAATAAAAACTTCTACACTTATGTCCTCATCCAGGTTGCCTGTCTGAATCAACCCTCGAAATATTCCAGTCAGTTCATCTGTTTAATACCATATTATAAGACGAGAGGCTGTTCAGAACTTTAAGAATCCTGGTACGAATTTGACTATTTTTACCTATATACTTTTTACTAACTATCGACAGAGCATTAGTATATTCTCACACGTCAAAACGTCAATAACCTATTCTCCCTTCCTAGTCTTGTCCCCGTGGCCCATAGTATCTCGGACGGTTCCACCAACAGCCCCTTTATCGGTGAACTGGCGCCCAACTGCACCCTCCTTCGAGAATAGACCGGCGATCTTATGTATTGTACCACTGATCGCGCCTTCGGACTAGACGTTCAATAGGTGTCAGTGAATATCCACATAGTCACTTGCTCAATAACGGACTTGCGATATGGGATTGGAAAGAAGGGCTAATGTCCACATACCGAGGACTGATGGCCGGCGGAACCTTGGCTGTCGGATGCTGAGGCTTTAGTTGCCGAGTCCGAGTCTGGCTCCGGGCCTGCGTAATTCTCCGTGGCGGGGGATTTGTCGAACTTGGAGTGTCTCTCCTGTTTTCCTAGAAGATCTCCGCTGTTTTTCAGACCCGAATCGTTACCCCTATCACCGCTGCTATGTATGTTCTGCCCAACACTTCCGGGGTCGCCACCTCCCGCAGGCTTCTTCAGCGTTTCCGGCACGTCGGGTGTGTTATCGGCGGAGGATTTCAAGGACCCGAAGATACCTCTCCGTTCCTTGTTGCTGTGGCTCTTCCCCGGCATGATGGACTCCAGCACGCTGCCGCCGCCGTCTGTCCGGACGGCGTCTCGGTAGTTCTGCTGGCCTTCACGCGATTCATCATAATCCCGGCGTCCCGGGATCATCGTCTCTTCAACGCCGCCGTGTCGCCCGTCGTGGGTGAAGTCGTCTCGTAATCCCGAGCCTTGCTGCTGCTGCTGCTTCTTGGAGTCGCCTGGCTTGAGGACGTTCTTGATGCTGCCGAGAAGGGATTTGCCCTGGTTCTGGTCCGGGACCTGTTACCTCATGGTGAATTTCGTTAGTTGTGACTACTTTCAACGAGGTACCATACTTAAAGCTTATATGAGTTGATGGATTGATGGGAAGACATACGTATCCGGCTGCCGTCCCCTTAGGGTCCGGATCGTCGGATACATCGACGTTTTGCTGTCCCGCCTTTCCTCCGTAATGAAATCCGGGGATCGGGTTCCCGCCTGTGCCACCGGTCGACATGATTGCGAATTGATAGGTATTTGTAAGTCGGATTTTGCTTATTTTTGCTGCAGCAGATCTCGAATTATTGGTCAGAGAATTCTAATAATTGAAAAACATGATACCATTTCCTACTATCTAATCTATATAGCCGCCCCCGTTGAATTTTCAATAAGGGGGGACCCCATCGTTTTCACGTCATAGTGATGCATGCAATGCTAGTTAGAGACTTCGCCATTTTAACAGAAACCGTATTGATGCGCCGGGATGATGTAAATGGATAAAAGACGATTCATGGGTTCCCATAATTGCTTGACGAGGAGAGAGCATACGTCTAATCGAGATGCCGTTATACTTAAACATCGTACATCAAACTCTTTCGTTTAATCTTTTGATATTCTACGCCTCTTGGAAACGTATCAAGATTTTAAGCCTGCTTGGTACCCTTTAGGAGCACAAGCAGGAAAGGCCAATAGCAAAGCCTCACTCAGTTCCTCCATATCGACATCTACAAGAAGCCATGGTGCCCATCGTCAAAGTCTAGCAAATAATTCCTTCTTCGTCCAATCCTAGCGCAACATCTTCACCCCTGAGTGTCACACAACCATGGACGAGAACGGACAGATACCTAACTTCTACTTCGGCGCCAACGCCCTCGTCAGCCCTCCTGGCAATAATGTTGCCATTGGCTCGGTTTCTTACGATCATGACAGCGTCATGCGGGATATCCAGCCAATTACCAACCATTCTCCACTTGCGCTGTCAAGTGTAGAAAGGTAAGGTTTTTTTTTGCTGCTGATATATTGCTTGGCGGTGTTGCATGGCGGATGTGTAGTATTTCACTTTGCATCGAGTGTCACGACATATTCTCGAACACGACACAGCTTAACAAGCACGCCAAAGATTCTTCTCACAAATCACACGGCTACATCTGTGGAGCTCAATTCAGCCGACTGGACGCCCTCAAAAGACACGTTAACGCTAAGCTCAGGAACACCGCCTCGTATCCCTGCGAATACTGCAAGCGTCACCAGGGGGCCAATGGCTTTCACCGTCTCGACCACCTGGTCCAGCACTTGAAAGGGTTCCACAAATTTGATGTTGAGGATAAGCTACCGAAGAAGAGGACGGGCGGTCTCTCTATCACTGCTTCTTCTTCAGCTGCCTTTATTCCCGGGGGCGCAACCTTGACTGGCGCTGGAAACAGTAGCCTCGTTTCGATGCCTCAGGTCCCCCCTTTTCCCTGCACCGTCACCGGCTGCATCAAAGGGGGTGCAAACGGCTATGTTCGTGAGGTAGACCTGCTCGAGCACCAGAGCATGATGCATTCGTTTATGGTCCAGGGCGACATGCAGTTCCATCAGCAAGATGGTTTCTTCCAGTTCCAATTCTGATGCCGGGTACCAAGGCAATGGTTCTGCCTTCGGGGATATATTTGGACTTCTGAGATGCCACCTCTGGGGACTGGTTACAATAAACATACACATGCTTTCTGAGAAGTTATGAAGAGGATGGATTAGATAGGTAGCGATAGCAACACGACACTCTTTTTACCTGATAGTAACCCAAATATGACTTCATGGTATAAGGTAAATATGCTACTTGGACAACGTGCTAAATCTTAGTCTTATGGACCTATAACCAGCAATGATGGCGTGTAGTGTCAAAATGATAGGAATGTTAGGATGCTCCTCCCTCTATTGATAGAGAAACTGGTAAGACGTGAATGCGAACGGGATCTAAAAGGTAGAAGGAAATAGGGGGAAAGGGGTAAAATTCGGCTTCCATTTTACTAGCATCCTATTTTGATTATCGTCTCTACGAGACATTCCCTTTTTTAATACCTAGGTAGGTATATAGTATAAGTACCTAAATTCACCGGCAATACGGGACTATTATACAAAACCGACAACTTTCGAGGAGACAATTCATGTAAGTTGCTCATGATATACCGTTTCATAGCTCTCTACCTTTCAACAATACCAATTCTCAATAGAGCGTGCGCACGAGGTAACGGGAGTAACACAGAAATAACATTACAAATCCATTTCTACTTTCCTAGTTTATAATAGAACGAATTGCATCACGCATGGCTCTAGGCCAACCCATATGCCACCGCCAAACGCCGAGAGAACTGTATGAGCACCACCATTAAAGGTTCCGCATGGAACGGCTATCTTGTATTCTGAAAGTCCAAAACCATTCATATCGCACTCCTCGCCGCACTCAGACGGCGCTGTAGCCTCCCCGACTCCCGCTCCCTTGCACCGTGTTGAGCACCCTCCTAGTCCAGTCCTTCAGCAGGTACGGAATGTCGCGGATGGTGTCGCCGTGCGGGATGAGATCCCAACCTCGAGCCCCGTAGCGGTTGTAGTTGAGCCACGAACCGAAGATGAGATACGCCGCAGTTCCAAGGAATACGCTGGGTTTTATAATTAGTACGCTAGGAAAGGAACAACATCCAGGGTTGTGGAAAAGAAGGAATATGCACTTACATGATAACCAACCACGTAAAGAAACCCCAGTGCGAACTTGGCTCCTCTTCCGAGCCGTCGTTGTCCCTATTTTCGCAGGCATATTTAGATGACCAGGTCAACCGTAGGACGTCGATATTTCCATCCTGGGTCAGCGGTTCGTAACTAATAAATTTCAAACTCGGGTCGTTCTCAATGCCTATTTGGACTTCTTTAGGCGGCTCATTATCGCCGTCTCCGCCTCCGTCTCCGTTGCCATCGCCATCCCCACCATTTCCGTCACCGTCCTCAGCTCGAAATAGGAGAGGGTTCAACCGAGCCATAGCGGGTTCGGGGTTGGGGTTAGGCTCATATTTATCGTCGGCGGGATCGTATTCGCCTTCGGTTCCGTTTCGATCTTTGTCGCAGAGAAATTCTATGATAGCTCTCTGGTCTCGCCTCACGCCGCTATCCGTTCTGTCAAAACCGCCCTTCATCACCAGGAGCACGCCCTCTTTCTTCGAGTCCGAATTAGAGTCCGAGGTCTTGAGTCGTGTAACTTCGTGATCTAAGTCGCCTCCGCCAAAGTTTCGCAGATCACCGGCGATGGGGATGGCTTTATCGACATGGTCGTCTACGCGTTTGATGGCGCATACTAGAACGTAGGATAGAGGTTAATAGATGTGGCGGTTGGCTCGGATTATATGGGAAAAAACGATTGCTAGAAGCATACCTCGAGTTCCGTTAGGACATTCTTCGCCCTTCTTCGCACCTTTCTTCTTGCCCAACGATCGACAAATATCTACGGTATATGTCATGTTATGGACTTTCCCGTCCAAGATGCGACTCGTGACGATGGAGTGAGGGCCACCAAGAGGCTTGAGGTTGAATTTTTGCTTATCAGCAACGATCGTTCCGCAGTCGAGCATGGAGGCTGCCGGTAGAGGAGCTAGTGCTAAGGATAGAAGCAATACGGCATCTGCCGCATACATTGTTGGGATTTTCATGTTGTAGAAAGGGATCCGGCTGATGCGATCGGGTCCGTCGGTTACCGCAGATACGTATCAATGAAGAGATGATTAGGAAGGAGTTAAAGGTTCGATTTTGAGGTCTTTAGGCGGGTTGAATCAACTTGCGCGTGCAACCGTGACGGCGTAACGATGTGACAAAACGATAAAAATAAAAATAAAGAAAAAGGCACGAAGGGAAAAGTTGTGACTAATGATAAAATGTAAGAAGGTAGCATTAATCAAAAGTTAGATGGCTAAGCCTTATTCGCGATATAAATCTGACATGTCCAGATCGCTTTCGATGCACCGATGGTATGAGCTAAAGTGAAGTAGCGTCCACTTTTGGCTTGGAGAGCGGTACTTGAAGCTTGTTTGGGTTTGGGTTTGGCCTTTGCGGCTCGTCGTCATCGACGTACATAATAGGCGTACAGGCGTAACAGGGGTTTACAGCCTATTAGGTACAGGTACCTCCTCTTACCAAAGGTACCTAGGTACTGATGCTTACGTAAGTGGATATGTACCTAGCCTAAGCCTTAAGTATCTAGGTACCTACATTAGGTAATGCTAGGTACATCTCCAGATGCATCCCCTTCACGTGATACCCCTTCTTTCAAACCCTCCATCAGAATTATATTATAGCATGCTTACATCGTATGACTGTACCACTCATGGATCAGATAGACTGCAATCGCACTTATACCATTATCATATGAATTCATTTTGGCTTAACAATATACCTGAGACTAACTACCTCATATACTACAACAGTTGAAAGCCCGAGTTCAATACTTCAGAAGGGCGCATCGGCCGATACCAAGACAAAAATCGATTCCTACCCATCTAAAGGACCCCTTCCATCCAACATGTTGTGTTATTTGTGATCCCGTAGCAAACTAGCGAAATGGGTATAATGGGGAAAAAAAAACCTGACCCGCCTAGTCCGAACGGACACTCCAATAATGCTATGATTTCGACAATCACCTGCGCCCCCATTGCCGAGAAACGCCATATAATCCGCACAGGAGGGAAAAAAAAAAAGAAAAAAACACTCCATCCGACGCCCAACCAACCTGAGCCCCTCTGATTGTACAATTCCAATATGAACGTGGGAGTAGCCTTTTCGTTTCTCCACGTATCTCGGCCACAATCCCTTACTGCATCATCCCATTCATCCCATTCATACCGTTTGGCATACCGCCTTGCATACCGCCTTGCATTCCATTTTGCATGCTTTGAGCCATCTGCTGCCGCCGTTGCATAATATCACGCTGTAAACTTTCTTGTGCTTTCCTCAAGCAGTTTTGCTTAAATTGTTCGTGAAGATCAGCCGGTATATTCTGTGCGCCGCCAAATCTCTCAGCGAACTGCGCGATATTACCACGATAAAGATGTTGCTGTCTCTGCCGTATTTGCATGGCTAATGCGTTTTGCTGGCCCCCCGGATGTTGACCTTGCTGCTGCATGTGCATCTGTTGCATAGTAGCCATCTGTGCTGGAGTCATCCCGTTACTAGCGTTTATGAAATTCTGGTTGCCCATTTGTTGGTTTGGCAACTGGCCTTGCATCTGCTGATGTTGTTGTTGCTGCTGCTGCATGCTGTTGATCTGCTGCTGGTACCTTTGAGCGAGCTGGGCCTGCTGCACATGTTGAGCAGCGTTCAGCATATTGGGATTTTGCATGTTCATGGCCATCATCTGCTGGCGCATGAGCTGATTTTGTAACATCTGGTTATGCATTTGAGGGTTCTGTCCGTTAATCATTCCATTCTGCAGCGTCCCTTGCTGATAAGCAATCCGTTGGCGCTGCTGCTGCGCTATCTGGGCCGCCATTAATTGATTGGGAATATTCTGATTCATGTTTTGATTTCCCATATGCATTTGATTCATGTGTGAGCTTTGGGCCACCATGTTCGGGGGTGGGCTTGCTTGACTCAACCGGGGTGTAGGCATCGGTCGATTGATCGGAGTACCGTGAGACATTTGCGGTGTTGCGCTCGGCATGCGAGGCGTGTTCGACGGATGACTCTGCTGGCTACCTCTTGCTGACATGCTAACAGCCATTGGTACAGACATTGGCCCATGGCTCTGCACGACAGAAGACGGCCTTTGAGGGCTTGCGCCCATGCCAGAGTTGGTTTGCTGCATCGGCGCGTTTCCTACCATAGGGCTTGACAAGTTCTGCGGCGTGTTATGCCGAACAACTGGAGAGGAAACAGGTGCCTGAGAAACTTGCTGGGGGAACCTGTGCGCAGCTTGGGCAGACATGACATTATTGGGAAGTCCACTTTGTACAGGGTGCCCATGTGAGGATTGAGGCATTTGAGACATTTGAGGGTTAGGTGGGGATTGTGCAGCCTGAGCCTGAGCCTGAGCCTGAGCCTGAGCCTGAGCTTGAGCCTGAGCCTGAGCCTGAGCCTGAGCCTGAGCCTGGGCTTGGGCTTGGGCTTGCTGCTGGGCTTGAGCCTGGGCTTGCTGCTGGGCTATAGCTCGACGCTGGGCTTCTTGTTGTTGCTGCTGCCGTATTTGCGCGAGCCGCTGAGCTTCTTCGTGGCGTAATTTATCTTGTTCTGCTTGCTGCCGTTTTAGTAAAGCAGCATGCTCCTGCTTTTGGATTTGAAGCTTGCGTTCGTTCTCCGCCTGTTGAATCTTTTCCTGTTCTTTCTTAGCCTCATGCGCACTCTTAATATCGGCAAGAACCTTAAATCTTTCGAAACGAGGCTCAAAAGTAGCCGCGCCGGATTGTCCATCACCATCGGCGCCATCTGCACCAGTCTGAGCACCACCTGTATTAGCGGAGCGGCGCTCGTCATATGTAAGCATGTATTTTTCTTGCTCCGCGGCCAATGCTTCATCAGCGGCCCTTTCAGCGACCGTGCGCTTCCGAGCCTTTGGCTGAGGAGGCGAATCAGAGTGTCTCGGATCAGCCATGCTCTTAAGCAAGAACGCAACAGCATCTTCTTTATTCTTGGGTACATCTAAGTGTAAAGGAGCTGAGGTTGCCAGTAATATCTGGGCTTCTGCAGCGTATATATTACTTCCGTCTAGTTCCATCTTTTCTCGTTTGACTCTCTTAGCCGGCGGTGCCATGCTCGCCGCGGTTGGGGTTGGAGGCACAGCGGATATTGGAGTAGGAGGCAAGCCGTTGGGATCACTGCCGGCCTTCGCATCTCCAGATCCACGTGGCGTACAAGCCTTGATCATTAAGTCCATGTGTAAACTTTGTGGGGTTGGGTGGAGGACGACTGTAAAGATCTTTACTTCGGCTTGGGCCTTGCCTTTCTGGCCATCAGTAGGAGCTGGTGGAGCTGGCATGTTCTCTCTATCACTGGAGTCGTCATGCGCGGGGTTCGCGTCAGCCTCTTGGAGTCCATTCTCGGCGCTCTCCTTAGGGAATGGAACATAGGGAGAAGGTGTGATATATGGGTTATAGTTATGAATCGAGGACGGCTTCTCCGACGTAGTTTTAGAAGCTGGGCGCGCAATGTCCTTGACCTGGGCGGCAGTCTTATGATCGTGGACTTGTACAATTAGGCAACCCTCGTAGAAAGGAACACCAGCTTCATTAAGATCTTGCAGAATGTCGTGAGGTACTGTTCGGTTTCTAACGTGATCTAGAAAGGCTCTCATTGGAGACTTGTACGGGAAAACGCTATCTTGCATATCAAATCGAAAATGCGCAGGGTGTAAATGTATGATAAGCGACGGAGGTTGTCCGGAATATTTCTTTAGAATATAGGAGTCCGTAACAACTACACAGAAGTTAGCAGAGTATGCTATGGTATTATATGCAGCTATAGATGAAGTAGGAAGATGCGCACCGTCCGGGCGTGGTTCGAACAACTTATGTAAGGATACATCAGGAGCAAAGGTACCCGATCTTAGAGAGGTATTATTTTTCTGATTACGTGCCGTAATTTGATTAGATGTGTCGCGTCTCGAACGGGCTACTCCAGGTCGATGGGTAGTCCCATTAGTACCGTTCATAGTGGTCGAATTCGATGCCTGTTGCTGTTTGGCGATGGCAGGCGGAGGGCGCTTAGAGGTCATATTTGGAGATGGAGAGGATTGTGATGAAGAAACGCCATTCGTCTGGATGCCGGGTGGACGTTTAATCTTAGGAGTCGGTTGCGGAGGGGGGGCGGCGAGGACCGGAGGCATGATGGTGGGGATGTAGAACCCTGCGCACTCCGAAGCGGCTATATAGCGCCCGATCAGTAGCGGCTAGGGACTAAGAATCGGATTGAGTTGTCTTCTTCTATGGACATTGATTGCGACGTGATTTCGACGTTGTTGGTTTCCTTGATGATTTTTGGATGCGCGCGCGACGGAGTTCCAAATTTGACAAAATGCCGATCGTCCCACCAAATTTTGAATTACATTGAATGATAGATGCTTCAATAAAATGCGATGACGATGGATGATACGACGCATCCAGGAAAAGAGTTTCGATAATAGAAGGACAAGATTGTGGTTGAATGCTTTGTGAGGGTTGAAACGTACGTTACGTGTTGGTGAAGGAAAAGAAGTTGGAACTTCGACTCTACCTTTAAATCGCTAAGTTGAATTGAGCCTCATCAGCCGCATTGAAGGTTTAACCTCCAGTCATTTTGGAAGCCAAGGGTGGCCACAGAATAAGCCACATTTAGGGAGTACCTAGGTACATACCTACCTTACCTAAGGCATTGAACCAGGTTGGATGTACCGTACGGTCCGTACCTACCTACCTTAGGTACCTAGGTACATTACCTATATTGCAAGGACTTGGGTAGTACCGTGCTACCTACCTAACCTCCTAAGGAGGTACCTAAATAAGTCATGAGGTTAGGTAGGTTACCTACTACCTAGGTAGGTATACATAATACGATAGCATCCTCATAACACGCCTTCAAGTCTAGCAGCTCCCTCAAAATACATCCCTAATTTATTACTCCTACCAAAGCACAACTAACCCAAGGATATAGAAGGGGGTAAAATCATACATCTACCGTGGCATAACCCAGAGTCAATATTCCGTCCAAATATTCGTCAAGAAAAATCACCAGTTCATACATGCTATTCTCATCACCATTCGTAGAAGTGACCCTATCAAAATCTCACTCCTTACCTTGCACCCGACGCGCCCAATCGTCGCCAACTCTTAGGCTGTCCACCACCACAACCCCCCTTCCTCGTCCTACTCGTTCCTCCCGCTGCCACCACGGGTCGTCCTTCTTATCTTTCTCCGGCTTTTCGGCCTCCGAGTCACTATCCGCAAGTCCACCATGGCCACCATCGGCTCCAACAACAAGAATAACGTCGTACTTGAGCCAGGTCTGCAGTTGAGTAATTACGACCCCATTATCTCCGGCCAGAGATTCTTGCAGATAGATGACCTCGGGTTGCAGGTGACGAAGAATATGGATGTGACCGTTAGGAGAAGTGAACGGTAGAATCATCGCCTCCTTTTCCACCAAGGTTGAAGCCTGCGAATACATCAAATTAAAGGGCGTACTGGTCGTACCGGAGCTTAAACTGGATCACAAGGTCAGCACATACAAGGCAAGTACTTAATGTGATGTGAAGCTACGCACGTTGGGCTTTTAGCCTCATCTCCTGGGGTTTGGCTCTGTTCGTTCGCAATATTCGAAAATGACGAACTCAGAGAAGCGGGAGGATGATTGCCGGACGACGCTTCAAGGGCGGAATCCTTGAGGCCGGGTGCGTATATCAAGACGAACAGCTTAATCTTAGAGAAGTCAACGTTCCGAGGTATATGAGAAAGAATGGACTGTAGTCAAGTTAGCAGGTGAGTATGCAGTTATTAGGACAAGGTTGCATCATACAGCATGCTCGTGGAAGCCATCCGCATCAAGATCATCTATATTCGTGTCCGCCGATACCACGATTGCGACCGTCTTCCGTCGTTTAGTAGAGTCCCTGGTCTGCGGTGGGGCGGGCTTTTCTTTTTGGGCCTCGGCTTCTTCCGACCAAGTTTCATGGTCGGCATATGCGTTTTTGTCATCCTCACGTATAGCAGCTAATGCACTACCAACGGCGGCACCAACCCCCGCAACTCCCGCTGCCACTGTCCTACTTGCGCTGGAGAAGAATTGCTGGGGGCTTGGGGTACGTCGCGAGCCCCATCCGGTAGAGACGCCACTAGCCTCCGGGTGTATTTCTCCCACTCCGTAGCTTATGTCGTCGGGCCGGATAGCAGGACGCGAGTCTCTTCCGGTCGCGCCGTATGGGGGATTCTCGCCGTAGTCGGCATTTTCGTAGTCAAGATCGACCGGCTCAGCGTCGCTCTCCTCGTCTTCGCGTTCGTTACTCCGTTGGCTCCATGCCCAAGCGGCGACACCGACAGTCGCGACGGTAAGGGTAACGACGATAGGAACCCAATGGCCCCAGAGACCCCTTCGACGGGAGGAATCGTACGACGACGACATTTATTCAAATAGGATCATCGCAAGGTCGTGGACTGCATACCATGCGCTGAGCGGTGGAGTAAGCAATATACTACGACTCGAGAGATAGAGCCGCGATTCGACAAGTTTTTAAAAGTTTGCTGCAATTACGTCGATTTAGGTACCTTAGGTATAAATCACATATAGGTAAGGCCGAATACGTTAGGTACCTAAGGAAGCTTTAACAATAGATGATTCAATGTTTGAATGGAAATGGGGAAAAGGTTTAAGGTTGAAAGTGCTACGGATTACTTGGTACAATACGTACAGCCCTCGAAAAATGGCGGGCTGGGAAAGCCAGTAAACACATTAACACACCTAACCTAATAGGAATGAGCAGAGGAGAGAACAGGGGTTTTGAGGGGGGCTACGTGTAAGAACGCCTTCTGTAGCAGCTAAAAGCGGTGGCAATGGCCTTGGGTACCTTACTGTACAATAGGTACCTACCCTCTGATAGGAGTAGATAGGTAACCGCAACCTCCAGATTTTAATTGGTGGTACATAACAATCTTGCTTGACCTTAGGTACTAAATGTAGCGTGTAGCTTATGGTTTACAATATGCTATCTAAGTAATTATCTTAGGTTAAGTATGTATGTTGTCAACTTTGCAACATTGATGAGTTGCAGTATCTTTGAGCAAAACTGCCCGATTACGACGTGGACCGAGGTGGCTGGTCGTAGCTTTTTTTTTCTCCTTTCTCAGCTCCTGAGCTGCTGAATCCCCCTGTAAGAGTTGATTGGTAGATCGGGATACGGCTAAGCTAACTGTTTTGATTGGTTGGAAGGGAAACGCTTCACCTGGAGCTGACCGAACTACTACTATGTAAACTTGGGGAGAGTGGGTCCAGGTGTTATCGATAAGATACGTAGATAAATGTCGCATGCAGATAAGAGCTATCGCTCTAACGCTCTAACGTTACCTTATGTTACCTGGATAGGCATTTTCAATAATTGAAATCGTTATTTTCATATCGCAAAGTGACTCAAACTTATTGATGAGCAGCACATAAATTTTCATCATTCTTTCTCACAGTCAGTCTATCTCCATTTTCATTGGGTCTACCGAGTAAGATAACTCTCCTATAAAGGATAAAATGATTTCAAAATTACTCATACTAACAATTTTCTAGACTACCACATCTCATCAACCCCTCCATCAGGCCTCGGTCTCGGCTGGGCCTACTCGAAATGCCCCACGCCGTATCGATGCCTGCCACGGGCCTTCAGGCCCTCATCCTATGCGGCCCGGGGTCCTCATTCCCTACCTTCACATCAAATCCGGATGAAAATCCTAAAGCCTTATTACCTATTGCCAACCGGCCGATGGTCTGGTACCCCATTGATTTTTGCTATCGCACGGGGATCACAAGTAAGCATATTCATGTCACGCATAGTTCATCGAAGATGCGAAGCAGTATAAGTCCATGATACTTGGATTTATATTTTGAGCCCCGGCTGTATCCTGTATCTAGAAACCGTACTAACATCAGTCAGGCATTACTCTGGTTTGCCCTCCTTCTGCTGCTGACGCTATTACCACGGCGCTGAACACAAACCCTTTCCTCACAGCCTTACCTCACCCGCGCCCGGATCTTGTGGCACCCAACGGGCTTGACCAGAACACAGGAACCGCAGAGATCCTAAGACTTCCTGAGATCCGAGAGCTTATCACATCTGACTTTGTCGTATTGCCATGTGATCTAGTATGTGAGTTAGGCGGCGATAAGCTTTTGCAAGCATGGATGGTCAAAGCAGCGAGTCTTCCTGATCTTCTTAGTGATGGTGAGCCTCCGAACTGTAATGGCGGTTTAGGGGTATGGTACGAGACGAAAACGATCAACCCCATCAAGGGCGAGGAAACCGATTTTATCGTAACTGCGCCATTAGCCACGCCTACCGTACCCACGCCAAAGGACTCGCTGCTACCTCACCTGTCCTATTTAACCTACGCTATGCCAAAGGATTCCCTCAACGACCTTGTGGACGAGAAAAAGAACTTCCCGATCCGCCATGGATTATTGCGCAGCCATCCTAAACTCAGAATGCTGACAACCCACCGGGACGCACACATTTACATTCTACCAAAGTGGATTCTGAACTTCATCGAAGAAAACGAGCGTTTGGAAACACTTGGAGAAGACGTCATTGGTTGGTGGGCGAAAACAAATTGGGAGACGGGGCTGTTCCGCAAACTAGGGATGAAAAAAGTCATTGGGGGCTACACCGAGGAGTCGGGCATAGATAGGTCACCACGTGGAAACGAATCTGCGGCAGATGCCAGCCTTATCGAGTCCCCATGGAGAGCACGCGAATCGTACGAGACATCTCCCCCTGCAGACTTCCGGGGCAGACAACATGACGGACTATTAGCTAAGCCGAAGGAGGCTGCCGTCCCGCCGATTCTAGCCTACATCCATCCTGCTCGTGCGGATGCTCCACTGCTCCGTCGGGTAGACACAGCCCAGCTTCTCCTCGCCATATCACTGCAGCTGGCAAAGCTTCCTTCCGTGGAGGAAACCGGCCCTGAGGTGGCATCGGCATTTGCTCATGCGAGAAAGGTTGCCTATCCCGAAGGTGTTAAACCTCGGACAACCATAACTAGACAGGACTGCTTAATTGCCGATAATGTAATGGTGGAAGAAAAGACGTCCATCAAGGAGAGCGTCATTGGAGCAAACTGTCAGATTAAGGAAGGTGCCAAGTTGTTTCAGTGTCTGCTCATGGACGGTGTGGTGGTAGGCAAAGGCTGTAAATTGACTCGCTGCATTCTAGGCAAGAGAAGCGAGGTCGGGGAGGGTTCAACGCTTACGGACTGTGAAGTGCAGGAGAACCTGTTGGTGGAGCCTAGAAGTAAGTTGTTCGAACCCTTCTTATCCTGGTTTTCCACCCTCTGTCCGCTAACCAGGCGGTGTGATATTATCAACTAACATCATCACAGCTGAGGATAAGGACAGCAAACTCATGAGCTCCTCCGGGCTAGAAGCTAGCGAGCAGGAGATGCAGGAGGCATTGGACGGCATTGAGGAAAGTGACCAGGATAGCACCGTGTTGGGATAAACAAATTAAGAAATTACCGCGACCCAGGCTACCGGTAGCCAATGCGGTGGGGAATGCAATGTGCAGCAATGTCCCACACAGATTCTAACTTACCACTACCCCATCTGGCCATTCATGGTCAGCTTATAACCGCCCTGTTTGCTATAAGAGGATGGCATCACAGCAGTATCTGAGATGAAAGCTGTGGCGAGGCTTTAGATATGTTCGCTAGCCTCGATATGTTGGTGTATCTACCGAGAAAATGCAGGAGGGTTTCCTTTAGAAGGAGATATTATAGACTTGTCACATGTTGGAGCTTGTTGGGACTAGTTTTATCTAGGTTGGCATGGGCGGTCGTTTAAAAAAAAAACACCCAACTGGGTGTTCACATGCAATGTCAAAATTTGAGTGGTCATATATCCAGGTTTACCTATGCCCCTTTTTCTCGACCCCAAACCCACTGCAGCGATCATACCCTAGCACCCCTACGACCCCTACGAGAACCTCTAAACATCTCTAGGCCTCAATAAAAATAGAGAATTCTCACATCTCACTCGGAATACTCCAATATAGGAGCCACTGTGGGATATCCAAAGTTGCCGCCCAAGGTTGCTCATTCTTCGGATTTGGGTAACCTAACGGCCACGTGAGGGGTTATTCTGCCATCGATGCTGCACTGCTGTTGGTGGATTGCCGATCGAGATGCAGTCTATTCCAAGACGGTGTGCTACTATGCTTCTAGGAACATGAATATTGCATTAATACCTACCGTCGGCAGATATGTTGTGCAACGTCGTATCAAGCGTGGGCAGTGTTGAATGAATAAGCCTTGGGCTCTATTTCACAATATTCCCTAAAAGTACCTAGATGGTCTATATGGCTGTTCATTCAATCCGTGCCTAACCGGGATTTGCTGACAGGACAGATAAGGGGTATACTAGGGTACCTACATGATGTATATATGGTACTTGTACAGATATCCGGGTCTACATATCATCTCTGGAGTTCGTTGCCAGTACGTTATCTCGGAATCTAATAAGATCTTGCTTTTACCATTGTGGAACGAGGCACTACATATGGCCCCCACGTGCTCAGACTATGAGGCGGTTCGCCGACGACATCTATTAACAATGATGATTAATAGGGTCCAACAGCGCTTAGACTCACTAGGGCCTAAGACTCACAAGTCAATTACCAGGCGGACAGGTGATGCCACGAGATTTACCATGCAGGTATTCTGCCGTAGCTTTGGTAGCAAACATACTACCTAGTTCATGTTTGGGGAAAATCATAAGTACATCATTCCTACTATGGCATCGACTAACGTTTATTCAGCCGGTACGGTATCGCTAGGCTCTTAACAGGAAAGAAAGAGAAAAAAGAAAAAAGAAAAGGCCGCTTGCCGATCACAGCAAAAGGTATGCGTTCAATCTGTCTCTGTACGGAGCATATAATCCGTAAGCGCTAAAGAATTGTCATAAATCACCCCAGAGTAACGAGCTTCCGTAAGTGCCTAAATTCGTATAGAGGAAACCCAAGGGTTTGCTTCTACTCTTCAGTTAAAGACTCCGAAGCCGATCAGTTGCGTAAGGCAGGTATCTAACAAGCCTCACAACACACGTACTCTACAATTCGACACCCCTATTCGACTATGTTAATACGAACTTATATAAAATCGCTTTAATAAGAGCATACCTTAATTGGAAAACATCAGTTGAATTAGAGTACTATTTCCTCATAAAACTCATTGTTAGTACCTAAGGTATCTGAGGTAGTGATTAACCAAGACAAATTGCTATTGGTACCTTTCCAAGGCCGTAAGAATGGATATAAATTGGGCTAGGAGGTAGGTATGTATGCCTACCTCCTTAGGGGGTACATACATGATACGGCAGCATCTTCTTTGTTCTCCAAGGACTTAAAAAAAACACTACTTCCACCTAACATACATAGATTAGCGGCACACTCACTTACCTAGTATCCGCTTTCCAAACCCTCTGCTGCAGGACGCCATAAAGGATCTTGCCACGGAACTTGAAGATCCCGGAGTTTTCTATGTAGGTAGGTAAGTAAACGACCTGTCAGCTAAACTAATTCAAGCCTAACCAGTTGCATTTCTAACAATTCCAAATACCTACCCCAATTGCGTAATCTACAATGCTCAATCGCTTATTTTACGACACATCGTTGGCTTAATGGGGGTGGTGAATAATAGGAATCGCAGAGCCTCCCGGTAAGCTATCAGTGTACGTTACCGGACAGTAGGTCGCTTCTAAGACTACCTCCGAGGTGACTATTATTGCAAAGTCCAGCTCATAGGTGGGTACGGAGTTGAGATGTCTACCTGTCACCCCAAAGTAATAAGATATTGAGATGCAGTTTAAATTAAGTAGTTCTCTTGATTTCAAGGCGGGATTTGCCATTTAAGCTCGTTATTTTAGTGACTATTAAACGACAGAGACCGAATAATCTTGAATCTGACTTTTCTAAATCAAGTACTATTATTCATTCAAGTAACTTGCTCTCCATACGAGCTCGAACTTCCTACCGACCTAGTAGCGACAATACTTAGTAATCTCTCTGCTTTGATGTTAAGGGTATAATACCCTTTTCGTTTTATAAAGGTACCTAGGTATGTATTGACTACGAACATGTTCATGCTCTTCATCATTCTAGCTTTAACTATAGAAAACCTGAAGCAAGCATCTCTTGTAAGATATATTAACTGGTGAATATTTAAGGAGTCATTCATTATCCCTTATGTTGATAAAAACTCAAGTAAAACTTCTGTACGATTTGATCCTTTCCATTTTCGCCATCCTCCTTTTGTCAACAATCTTTTAGCAGACGACTGCGGTGAAGAATATTTAGGCACTATATTGTATCGTCCGTATGTTAGATCGTTATTGAAATAGATAGCTGTTAATAAATGGTGTAAAATGATACTAACAAGACACCTTTCATCGTTGCCACTCTTTTGGATGGAGCGGGCATTGTCCTTCGCTCATAGGTACGCGATCCTGGACAATTTGGAAACCTCCATCATTGTAACTAACGTTCTTCTTCAGGTGATCACATTTCGGATATTGTGGACACTTTACTTCAGTTTCTTTCGATACGCAATTATAATCGCAGTTGAAGTACTGAACAATTAACGTGCACATAGTTGCCTTGCCGGAACGTCTGGCTCAGGGATGCGTTTTTGTAAGTGAGAATCAACTAGAGGTGCCGTATTTCTACCCGTGTCGATTTTTCAGGGGATGTAATGTATCTGAAGCAAGTATGACTTGATATTCGGATGGCAGATATGTTCTGCTGGTTGAAGTATGGTAAAGACGCAAAAGATAAATACTTCGAGTTTATTTCCTGAGTTAGTCGACTTCTGCGAGTAAACTCTCGTCTTATATATCTAGAGGCTACCTCGTATTACTTGTCAAGCGGGTATCCTACCTCCCATTGAATTCTACAGACTCCCAATATTGCACAGCGGTAAAAGCCACGATGTTGCCTACGATCGCGCGCTGAGTTTTTCAACTACGCTAACGATATCCCAAAGGAGCAGTCGGTGTTTACAATAATATGATTCATCAGAAAAAAAAATCATACCATGTCTATTAGAGGTAGTTACATAAACTATGTGCCGTGATCCTAAAGTGTTGTCGATGTGCGGCTGCGAATGACGATGTCCTATTACCCATTGAATAGCCAAAATTAGCAGGTAAGGCCGGATGCATAGTAGATACATACATAATACTAGGTAATAAAAACCCATCTAGATTATCAATCGCCGACCGTTTTAGCTTTCGATCCAATAGGGGAGATGTGATACGGTGGGTGGCGCGGATGAGGCGACACATACGAGGCATTGAAATCTGGTAGGAGGTACCTACCTAGGTAGGTGGTAGTTATAGTATCTTTTGCTTTAACTGGTACACGGCATATTAAGGTGAACAAGCCGTTTTTTTTTTCTTTCTTTAGTTCGCTTTGTGTTAGGAGCCGATAGAATGGATCTCGAGGGTCGAGGTTTGAACCTAGACGCAATGCTTAGAAAGCAAATCGACCAGACTGCTTCAGCTCTACATAGTATTCACGCCCGAGAAGATAACAAGTACCTACTATGTAATAAAGGATTCATAGTTACTAGCGGGCTTTATCCTGAAAAATGTTTGCTTGGTACTGTATGATGTTAAGCTCGTATAGTGAACACGTGGGAACCTGGCTTGCAACAGCGCGTGGTAGGAGGAGGCCATTTTCGAATGAGGAATATGTTCGGTCCCGATGTGTATATTATTGTCCGAGGCGGAGCGGCGTGGCTATTTTCACAAACTTGTCTCGATGTCTGTCTCGTCGTCTCGTCGTTTTTGAACCATCAAAGTCGATATAGACTCTTAAGAGGTACATTACCTCCTACCTACCTCCTACATGGATAGGAAAACCTGACATCCTGCAATGACATGTGTTAAACTCAAACTGAGAGCGACCGCGATCTAGGGAGAAGTAATTGAGAAGTGATTCTATAATTCTGAGTTACGGATAATGGTGTTCACTAGAAGCGGACGAGATCTGCTAAAACCGACCTGACACCGCCGAAAGGGCCTTTTCTGGAGACGGGATAGGTGTGGAAGGTAGGTAGGTACTAGCATAAACGGGTCGAGACCGTGTCTGAGTCCGTTCCATTTTCGGTTGTGGAGGTAAACATGAATGGGTGTGGTGTCGCAAGCCACAACAGGCATGAGGATTTGAAGATGGAAATCAGAAATTCGATGTGTCGTAAATTCGACAGCGCCATGCAGTCAACACTCAAAACCACGTAAGATTAAACACCCCGAGAGCTTGTTGGGGACATGTCTGTACAATACGAAGTACCGTAAACCAACCTGCCGAAGCCATGGTCCAGTCATTGAACATTATGAGGTCTTTTTGTTCCTTTCCCTTTTCCCTTTTTTTTTCCTCCTGAAAATATACTGCTCATATACACGAACCCACGCAATGCAATACCGTATGGGCCGTGTGCCGTATTGTATTTTACATATTTGCTCTACTAATCAAACCCCTGATAGGGCTTAGCTGGCATTGGCACTTTGTCTTTTCATTCATGATATCGTACCTAACCAGGTTGCGCCTCTTCTTCACACGGTACTCAGCCGAGGGCCGAGGGGCAGCCGGGCCGATAAATGGTAACAACACTTTCGCCTTACTATTAGTACTACCTTGTATTTACACCCGTCGCTTTCTAAGACATCTAGGTACTAAGGTCAGTACGCGGTTTTAAGTCCGATGAAGTGACCGTTACAATGCCCCGAAGTGTAAACAGGACTCAAGGGTAAACCGTTGCAAATTCAAGATCTCCCTTGTCAAACTCTCATTGCATGGAATAAATTGTACTCATTTGTGAAATGCTCACAATTACAATGTGTCGTACATACAAGTGTTCTTTTTTTTTTTCTTTTCTTTTTTAACCCCGTTCTGCCTTATGTAAATGTCGGGGAAGTTCTATCGACCAGGATCACACCCGACAGTCCGCTTTACTTCTAACAGTAACGCTATGTAGATCAATGGTGGAGCTCATGGCAGAGTGATTTCCGGGATGAACCTCGTATGCATGGGAAGGTCATACATAATAAGGCAGACAGGATAGTAGGTAAGGTTAAAGTACCTGACTTAAGATGCCGACGGCCTACTTACTAACACGGGAAGCATGGGGTTCTCCAGAGGATTGATTGCCTCATTTCTTGGACAGCCTGGGGATTAGGCCAGGAAGTCCAAGGCCCTTCCAGAACATTGGCCCAATAAATCGATCAACCATGCGTCTTCGAGCTGCAGCCTTTCTACTTAACATAACGAACCAATTGCAGCGAATGAGCATGTCCCTTTAGGTAGACACGGTAAGTTAAACAGTCCGAATCCGAGTCCTGAGCTGCTACCTTCGACGTGACCTGCTGGATTGAGAGTAGATTGGCGATAGCGCGTCTATTGATACAATTAATCGTGACTAGTCGTTTAACAGGGAGATAGGCGTGTTGTGCGTCGCGTATTGATAGCGTATTGTAGTAGATATCTTACATTCCTTGGGTTAGAGGTAGTCAACTATATCCATCCTTACTATCATACGCTTTGGCGACAATCAAATTCTTTGAGACACCCATCTTCAGGAACGAACCTGTTCCTGCTTTAAGCCGAAACCAGTTTCTTGCCCCTGCGTTGTGCCCCTGCGTAGGGGGGGCCCTGTTCGAGGCTCGTAGGGCAGCGCCGTTAGATAGCCATGGCGCAGCTAGCCATCAGCAAGACTTTCGGTTTTAATGGCACCTACTTCTTGAAGTTTCGAAATCACGCCTAGAACAGAGATAACTACGATCATCGCCAGGAACGCAGAGTTAAGAAGTTAACTGGATCAGGAACAGGGAGAGCTAAGATCCCTTTACAGGGCCGAATAGGAACACAGACGATCGTTTAGCTCTACTTGGATATCAAAATCTCGAAATGGTGAATTTTTTCAGATAGCTGAACATCCCCCCCCTTTCGCCGGTACTAGCGAAGTCGAACAGTTCCATGTCGCGAGTTGCCAAGTTATTCTTCCTTAGCTAGGAGGCAACTATCTACTTCACCTGAGCTTCATTTCCGCAATCCCATCATCTGCCCAGTCAATGTCTGGAGTTTATTGCTTAATTGTCGTTAGTCGACTAAAAAACGCCATTGTCTCAACTGGCTTGTCCGACGAACCTCAGTGACAAACTACGATGCGGGGCTGTATGTGTCATTCCTTAAGCTCCATTCCATATAGTGAAGACAAGTTCTACCTAGCATTACGTGCTGATGGTGGGCTAGAGAAAAAAAGGAAGTAATAGTATCACTATAGTAGGTACCTTAGGATAGCCACCTTTCGGCCGATTGATTATCCACATCGTGGCCTACAGTCGTATGTGCCACTTCAAGCCATGCTCATGCAAGATTGATATGTTCTGTGGACTTTTGTGGCTTCAGTGCTTGATCTAGATAGAATCACTTGACCGCTTTGGGTGATTGCTACACTGCTAGCTTTTCTGTTTGTCGCCCATTGTGCTGCATTTGTTTTTCTAAAATTACTTCATAGGGGGGGCTAGCCGAGGGACCAATATCCAAACAAATTGGCTAACAGGTCATGCGTGTTGGTTGTTATTTTCCCAGGTTTCCCAGGATTCGTTGTTACAAGCTTGACCCAAGGACTCGGGCCCTAATGTAAAAGAGTCGACTTGTCAACCCAACCGAGGGGGCTTTGCGACAGATGCGAGCAATTACAAGCAATTAGAGTCAATGACTAAAATAGGCCTATCTTCAAGTTGAGTGTAGTGGCTTGAAGACAACGACGTACTATCTGCCCATCCTTTCCCCATGTACTGGCGTTTCTAGACAGACGCCTCTGCTGATACGCGTTTCCATTCCTATCTCCAACGTTTCCTGCCATCCATAGGTACCCTGGCGGGGAGATATCTAAGTATATTGGCCGAGCTATCCTAACTTAGTATTTGCTTTGCTACCTAGTGCTCTCCAAAAGGGATACCTCTCTCTAATTGGAACAGCACTTACCTTTGTCACTCATATAACTATTTATCTATCCCCTCATTCCTCGACTACTCCCTAGAGCTTTCCATCTATCACATCTGTCAAAGAGTTCAAGCGTCGACATCATCTCTCGTTGCGGAACATAGTCACTTTAGGATCACGACCCTTGCTCCCGAGCAAATTTTTTCTTCTTCTTTCAGATATCTGCAACGATGGATATGCACCATATGAATATGAAGGTGGGCTTTAACAACGAGTACCACCTTGAAGGCCATGCTGTCTCCTGCGGTTCTTCAGCTGGTAGCTTCTCCTCTGCGTCGACTTCAAGTTCCCTGCCCGAGCCGTTCACACCAACTTCCGGTCGATCCACCCCTGGAATTCGCTCTCTATCGATGGACCACGATGCTGTTGCTTATCCAACTCCTGGTGGTTTCGACTTGACTCCGCCATCGTCCGCGTTTGGTGGTTATTTCCCCCCAGATGCGAAGGCGGATATGCACAGATACATGCACTACCACAGTGCTTCGCCCAGTCCTAGTAGGAAGTCTAGTATGCAGTCGCAGTCTATTGATTTTGAATACGCTCCGATTCTCCCTGCCTCGTACGCTTCACTTCCAGGTCAAGATCACGGTATTGAACACGCCAATTCTCAATCTATGGGACATTACTCTTTCGGGGAATATGCGACACCACCACACTTTCCTGTGTCCACGAACACCTATCATCTGGATAATTCTACATGTGATGCGTCCTCGATGTGGGCATGGAGTGGACATAGTCCGGTGTCATTCTTTGGAAGAGGCCACCCTTCAGCGTCTCCTTCGCCCTCTCAGTCTCTCTCTATACGAGAACGAAACGCCTTGACACCGTCGTATCTCGCCAGTCACGGAAAAAGGCGAGTCGGTGTGCATAAGGTACAACAAAAGACTTCAGCACTACAAAAGGCGCAGGACCGCCACGGCCTTAGGATAGAAAGAATCGCGGCCGCCACTTACAAGTGTGATTATCCAAACTGTACGAAGGGACCGTTTAAGAGGCAGGAGCATCTTAAGAGGCACAAAGACACGTATGTGATTTTTATTCCCTATTTGAAAGCTATGGACATATCGCTAATAAGCTGACTAGTAAACATGCCGAGAACATGGAACTTATTCTAACATCCTGTCGGTTCTGTGACAAGCCATTCAACCGCAAGGATAACTACCGGCAACACCTGAAGCTACACACGCTGAAGAATCGGACAACCCGCCGTACTGACTACTTCCCCGAAGCTCAAGCTCTGCTAGACGAGGAGGTGAACAAGACCAAGCAACGCGGCCAGCTGAAGAAGAAGGACGCAACTTTCAAAAATGAGGACCACTGAGTTAGGAATTGATACCCACGAATACGAGTTTGGTTTCTATATATCTTAGGTCCAGAATCCTTTGGCAACGAGGCAGCAAGATTGACGAGCCAGCTTTTAGGTCAAATGCAAGGCTTGTCAGAATAACCCGGAAAAGGTGTACGGCGTCAACACATGGGGACTAATATTTCTCTTTTTGTTCTGCATTATCAGGGGCGTTAGGGGAAGAACAGATGTTCTTGGAAACCAGTTCTTGTATATTGTCTAGTTTCTTTTGCTCTATGTCGCTAGAGCACAACACTACGGATTTGGCTTTTTGCTTCAGTATCAAAACGGTTGGCCTACGGGCTATAACTTTGTACACTATTGGTTATTGGTACTCCATAGGGCGAGTTTGTGGGAAAAGCTAGCGTAGTATATGTATTTCATTTGGAGCTCGGATCATTCTCCCCAGCCTTTCATCTCCAGAATTCTACGATCATATTAGGAATAGAGTCACTGATAGAAATATTCCGACAGGCATTATTTGGTCAAAAATAAGAACCAAGCAAATTTCCTACCCCACAAAGATTCATACATTACAGGTAGACTGGTGAATGTGTCCCGCTCCAAATCGTGTAGGCTAGGTAGATATGGCATGTCCGATGTATACGGCCGAGACAGTTAGCAGCTGCCTTCAAAATAAGCTCAAAATTGCCAATTACCTACGCTTTATTGTGCACTAAGGTACCTGATATTATTATCTACTTGATCAGATTCTATTCCTATAGCCATGAACGCCTTGTTAAAAAAGTCCTATATTTACTGTTATTGACTACAATAAACGTTGACAAATCCGGGCGTGCTTAGTAGGATTTAGTTCGGAAACATTCGCAATAATAGTGATCATAATATGAATCTCAAATAAGCGCGTCGTATCATAACAGGTCCTATAAACCACACATGAACGTCGGTTATGCAAAGTAACAGGCAACATGCCTATGGTGCGCATGAGGAGGCAGTCACAATTTGATTCATCTATCTATGTGATTGGCCGCGAGGCTATGAGAAAATACAACCTAACTTTACCGCCACCAACTGCATGGCATGAGATATATTTAAAAGCGATTGTAGTACCAGACCAGACCAGACCCTGTTCCCAGATCCTGACCAATACCCTCAGTAAAATCTACTTTAAATGATCGCCGACCTTTAGTATTCCCCTAATGAGATGGCAAAAAGGTAGTCTACACTTCACATCACTTGGGCGTACTGACGTATACGACTCAGGGCATATAGAATTAAGTAGATCTAAAAGGCGCCTACTCTTCAGCGGTTCTCTATCGGCGGAAATATGGCGGAAACCTGTGTTTTCCAAAGTAAAACACCGGAAATGAGCTTCTCCGCGAAGAGGGTGGGCGGGACATGTAAGCTACAGGCTGATCATTTGACAATCATTCCGAGTCAAAAGCAGGGACCTATTTACTCCTTTTGGAGATACAGCCTCAGAGTAGAGTGATGCATTAATACCAGAGAAGAGTAGTGAAAAGGGGGGTCCAAGTACCTACCTACATTAGCCAGTCATTTGAAGATTTATGATATACATGAGGCCACCTTTAAGTAGAACCATAATCCAAGTCCTATAATCAAGACCACGTTGCTCTGCAGTAGCCTACCCAGCTGGATGGATACGAATCAGGATAAAAAATTAGGCGAATATGGCACAACTAACAGCATATCGGTACTTATCTGTGCTTTACTCTCGAGAGATGGTGGTTGGACAAGTCAGAACGAGGCATTATTACCTCATACATACCTACCTACTACCTACCTCCTATGTGGGTGGGTTGGGGCACAACCCAAACATCTGGTTCGGCCCTAGCACTAAGAACTCCATAAGGTTTTGATATTATGAGATTATTAGATTCCTGAATACCATACCAGTACTACTACCATAAACCGAAAGAGCATGAAGAGCCATGATTTTTATCTAACAACACGTAGAAGGGAATATAGGCCAGTAGTATCACCGTCATTACTTACATATAGGCAGTTGTATTGTCTAGTAACTTACGGTCTTTGATTGTGTTTAAGCTTGTAAGATCGTTCTTTTTATTTAGTCTTTCGTATCTACCTAGAGTACCTATACAACTACCATTCCTTTTCTGGTAGATTATCAGGTTAGCCCCGGGCGGCAATTTAGTCAAAGACCTAAACTCTGGATACGCGTGAGCCTTGGGCTCGAGGATACAGAGAGAGAGGTATGTATGTAGTACGATGGCTGGTGTACAAGGTTGATACTCCGCTACCCAACAATAGCAACCCCTCTCCTTTAGCAAACATTTTCCATACGGAGATTAGTTCGGAACCGAAGATACATTTCTGTCTAAGTTTCCTAGAATTGCGGTGACTTTCTATTCATAGGTATCCAGCATCTACTGCTTGGTATATTTGTCAGCACCACTCTTCGAATTAGAAATGCCGCGCTTCTCGTGTTTCCAAGTAGCCTTAACTTTAGTTCCTCTCCAATCTCGTCGCCACCTAGTGTAAGCTAAGGTTTGTACGGCGGCTAACTCCTTTTTGTGGTAAAACTGAAATAAGACCCCAACGCTTATTATCCAATTATCTAGCCGGTTCTTGAGTTAGTATATGTAAATCTATGCGTTGTGATTACAATGTACCATGGCCAGACATGGAAATGACCAAGCATGGGAATCGGACTGTTATCCTACACAAACCAGCTCAGCCCAGCGCAGATACATACCAGGTAGGTACCTTAGGTATCAATGATGAAGGCAGAAAGCAGTACGTACCGCTTGTCGACGACCTAGGATATGGCATCGTGTGACCTTGTGAAATAGTCATCTAAAAATGAGATTCGGTTCATCAATCCACTGCCATGGCCAATGGGCCTTTCTATGAAACGGATCCATAGGTTAGGTATATGCCTTATGCAGATATAATGTATTCTGCAGGGTACAGCGCCGAAGATAAAATATCGTTGTTCCTATTGCGCTTGATATCGGCGTTGATACATCGTCGGGATTTGCTATGATGAAGAATTAACTGTTAACTGGGGCCGGGTGGAGCAGTAGGATGGGAAGATGAGTGAAACTTATCATTATCTTATTGTCATCCCAACAAGTCATCTATTGACAGTTTTGATATTTTAGAGATGCAATTTAATATCCCCACATAATAGGGGCTAGACATAGTACGTAGTCCTAGAAATCGTCTTGTCATGGAAGGAGGTGCAATCAATATCGTTGATTTGAATGTCTCTGGGATACCATTATAGATACCTAGGTACCTACTGCCTATACATTTTTGAAGGGTGTGAGCCTATTACTACTACATCTTGCTGTTGAAGCTAAAGCCAAGGTTCCACGAAGTTGGGTAACCTATAATACTACATGGAGTCATCTCCTGAAACCAACAATTCAGATAGATTATAGGCAATTGAGGGTCGAAACCTAAAGCTCTAAGAACCATAGTAAGTATAACATCTGCCTAATGCCTACATGGATAGGTGTTGTGTTGTAGCAATAGAAAGACGTACCTAGGGCATGAAGGAAGAACAGGGACCCATCGGGGATGATGAAGTCGCCACATGCCTTCGTCGGGAATACATGAATTACACCTTGGGTGTGTTAGGTACCTACCTACCTAATACCTCTCGAAGGTCAGTTCCCCGACGGGCCGAGATTCGGACTTCGGGTTAAGAACAAAAGCAAGAAAAGATACATCGCAGTATTGCCCAAAATATGAGTGCCACTTAAAACAATGACATAATTGACATCGCGTATAGGTATTATTGTGGCGTATTGTACTAAAACGCCTCCCCCAGGGTGTCTCGGCTGTTGAAAACGAGTTAGAGGGTCTTAAGAATATGTGCCACATGAATCAGTCTTGATAGATGGTTTTATATGTGTTGCGAAAAAGCTCCGAGAGGTAAACAATTTTGTGGCAGGTGAAAATATCTTCGGTGGAGAACTCCTCACAAGTCTGTAACCGATATATACATAGAATAGTGACGCTACAAACGTACTTGAACCACTGGGGCAACTCTGTAGGTTATCTACGCGACTGGATATTATAAAGTAGATTAAATGTATGTGAGAGTATTAGGTACCTAATGAAAGACATGATTGACTGCCTTTTACTCCAATTCTCCTTGAATTGGTCGAAAGTGTCTAGTAGACTAAGGGATATACTCTATCAATCCAACATCACAGCTTACCTTAGGTCGATTTTAAACCTATATCACGGCAAAACTTGCCAACTTTTTAGGAACTTAGCAAATCTGTCAGAGAGGTATACATATATTATCTACCTAACCTGACATAAAACTCAAATAGATACCTTACTAGACTAGACCTTTAAATATTGACAAGTTCTATGCCCGATAACTATTCGATGTGAAGAAACGTTTAACAAGTTTAGCTAGATTACCTAGCAGAGCTACCTCCTATCTACCTAGGTAGGTAGGTAACTTGAGTACCTCAGTAGATGATTATGCTTAAGGTCCAGTTTAGATATAGGTATTCCGCGGAGAAAACATTTAATGGAGTTTCAGATGAAGTGAAACATCAAGCCATTATATCACTTGATTAACAGATTCACTTCTGCAAGGACGTTAGATACATTATGCTAAGTGCCTGCCTAAGTGCTTTAGGTGCTTATATGTCTCTTGATGAGACAACAAGAGCCAAGTCACTATGCTTAAGAAGACGCTACCTAACTTAGGTGACACTTACACCTATAGCACTGCGAATACTCTCAAGTGAAAGTTTTCAAGGAATATTGAGGCTTGACTGGAGGTTACTGTTACTCCTATTCTATCTATCTTTAAAGATAGTTTCAAGTTTTTCTCATGGTCCTTAGAATTGGTTTCTCTCATTCAGATGTTAATAAGAATATTAATGTATTAATGTACGCCTGAATTCAAGCAACGGATAGAAGATGAGATCATAAAGGGGTACATAGGTACCTAAGGTTAGGAGGTACCTACCGAAAAAGTCCATCTTTCGTGTTATTCGCCAATCAGAGCGATCGGTTCTTCATGCGGTGGCCCCACTTTTGACAGGTTAGGTTAGGTACCTGGGTACATGGGTTTAACCGTTAAGTAATCCGTATCTCTAATGTAGTACCCACTTAAGAGGGGCTTATCTTATCAGGATTATTTACTTCAATGCCGTCGAGTCATTCTTCTTTCCATGAAAACGAGGGGCAGATCAACTCTTCAACATCCATCTAATCAAGCTTCGCATAAATCTGCTATCGTACTACTAAAATCACAACAGCGAGGATCGAATAGTCGCAGCCATGGCGGATCTAGCGGAAAGCACTGCCAAGCTGCAGCTTGATGAGGAGACAGGGGAGATGGTCTCCAAGGCAGAGTTGAAGAAACGGTTGAAGAAGCGCGAAAAGGCGAAGGCTAAGGAGGCTGCAAGGAGCGACGTGAAGAACGACGAGAAACCAAAGCCAGCACCGAAGCCCAAAGATACAGCAGAAGAACCCGCAATCGATCCAAACAACATGTTCAAGACAGGCTTCCTCGACGAAGTCTTCAAGATAAGACCCATGAAACCTGTCTTTACTCGTTTCCCCCCTGAGCCCAACGGTTTTCTCCATATAGGACACGCAAAGGCCATCGCAGTGAACTTTGGCTTCGCCAGATACCATGGAGGCCAGTGCTATCTTCGGTAAGCTAGCCAAGCACCGTCGAAGCAGGAAAATATCGCTGTGTGACTTACCTCGTTCGATCGACAGTTACGACGACACGAATCCCGAAGCCGAGGAACAAGTTTACTTCGATGCTATTCTAGAAATGGTGGAGTGGCTCGGTTTCAAGCCTTACAAGATCACCTATTCGTCCGACAACTTCCAGAAGCTTTATGATCTCGCCGAGAAGCTGATAGAGCTCGAAAAGGCCTACGTCTGCCACTGTAGCGATACCGAGATTAAACTCCAGCGTGGCGGCGAAAAGGGAACTGCCGGGCCTCGCTATCGTTGTAAGCATGCCGAACAGTCTGTCGAGGAGAATTTAAAGAAATTTAGAGACATGAGAGATGGACAGTACAAGCCTCAGGAGGCGTTCCTTAGGATGAAGCAAGGTTTGTCTGCTAGTTGCAATGAATTCCAGTTTCGTTTCAAGCTAACAAATCTCCAGAGTGAGATAATTACGAAAAAAAAAAATAACACCAACGTGTACGGGAACTGATTTTCAATAGCATTACGGATGGTAACCCCCAAATGTGGGACTTAGCAGCTTATCGAGTCCTTGATGTAAGTCTCACCCTGCCATCAACTGGTTACTCAGGAGTTTATAAGTAATCCTGGCTGGTGGCTTAACCTTGTATGTTACTTTTCGTAATTATTGACTTATAACTCGTAGAAACCGCATTACCGCACTGGGGATACCTGGAAGATCTACCCAACCTACGACTTCACGCACTGCCTGTGCGATTCATTTGAGGGCATCGTAAGTACCTGGAAGAGGATGTTAGAGACGAGTTTAGTTGCTTACGTACTACTTAGACTCATTCTCTATGTACTACGGAATTTGGTATGTGATCTCGTCCCACAGATATATGTTTGGAGTTTCTTGATGTAAAGCTTTTGCGGCCACTGACGATTGTCAACAAAGTCCAAAGCCGAGTCAGCTACGAGTGGCTCAATAAGACACTCGGTGTATACGAACCGATGCAAAGGTGCGTCTGATCCACGACGCCATTTTACTTAAAGTATTTTTTGGTGGATTCACTGACACGTCCATGCAGAGAATATGGTAGATTGTCAATCTCCGGGACAATCCTTTCGAAACGTAAAATTTTGAAACTTGTAACAGAGAAGATTGTACGAGGGTGGAATGATCCCCGTCTTTATACGTTAATCGGCATCAAGCGTAGAGGTGTTCCACCCGGTGCTATTCTGGAGTTTATCAACGAGCTCGGCGTGACCACTGCGAACTCAATCATCGAGATCAAGCGTTTCGAGCAAGCCATCAGGAAGTATCTAGAACGAACGGTGCCGCGGCTGATGCTCATTCTGGATCCTATCCCAGTAGTTATCGAAGATGCCGACGACCTCGATGGAAAGGGTCTTACGTTCCCCTTTAGTCCGAAAGACCCCAAGATGGGCTCCCACGATGTCACATTTAGCAAGACTATTTACATCGACCGCTCAGATTTTAGAGAGGATGCAGACCCGTCATTCTTCCGCCTTGCTCCCGGAAAGGTGAGGGGCTATTCGAAGTCTCCGCAGAATTTTGCCAATGCTGACCCGAAATACAGACTGTCGGACTTCTCCAAGTACCGTATCCGATAAAGGCAGTATCGTTTACAAAAGACGACGCAACTGGAAAGGTGACGGAAATCCGAGCTGTATTTGATAAGGAGACGAAGAAACCAAAGGCGTATATTCAGTGGGTTCCAACCGAGGCAGCTGGTACTCGAAAAGCGGAAGTCAGAATATACAACTCCTTATTTAAGTCTAACAACCCGAATGAGGCACCGGGAGGATTCTTAAACGACATCAACCCTGAGAGCGAGGTGATCTATCCGAACGCGTTGGTCGAGTCTGGATTCGATGAAATTAAGAGAAGAGCACCGTGGCCAGAAGCGGCAGGTGAAAGCGAGCTTGGTAAGGGAGGACCTGAGAGCGTCCGTTTCCAGGCAATGCGCATCGCATACTTCGCGATGGACTCTGACTCTACGGACGACCACATCATTCTCAACAGAATCGTAGCGCTGAAGGAGGATGCCGGAAAGAGCTGAATTGGTTTTTAGCGATAAATGAATCTTGATACCTAGAGGGGAGGAAAGCGGGGGGTTGTGAACGGGGATATGAATAGGAATAGGTAGTAGATCGGTGGTAGCGCGCCTAGCTCTTATATAGGAATGCGAATGCGTAATAAAGCTCAACCGTGTTGGTCAGCCGTGTTAATCAGTGCGTCCATGTGGTAGATGGACGCATGTGTTAAGTTGGGTACATGTACTACACAAATGACGCCTGCCAAGCGGGTGGTGTTGAGAGTTTTGTGGCGGTGCAAACTGGATTACATGTAACCTCCTATACATATAAGCCCTTCTAATGCGCTTCAACTCAACAACATTTTCCGTACATGTTTCTATCGGGTTCTTATCATGGAGACTCTTCCGTCATACAAACGTGCAACCACTGCTCCGGACTTGTTGGATCTAGTCGCTGCATACATTCCCGTCGTAGATTGGCCTCGATGTTGTTTAGTAGATCGTCGATTTTATCGCCAGTTTGCGCCCCGGCTCTGGCAAGATCCCTTAGTGACTATAAGACAGCTTGGACTACACCCGAACGACGGTAAGTCCGACGACTTCTCTAAATGATAAATACCTCCTATCTATTTCACACAACTATATGGACAACAGGGTACCTTATATCTGTTTTACTAAGACTTCAAGTTCAGACTTGACCTGGTATCGCCGGTTCATAAATAGACACATGAAATCTGCAAGGATTCAAACTCGATATCATGTTCGCTCCTTGGATTTTCGGAATTTCGCATCGCGCGCATCCGGGCTGTACTCTTCAGAAGCTAGCGAACGAGCCATCTCAGCAAGCTTTAAGCATCTTCCAGAGCTGTTTCCAGGCCTGGTATGCCTACTCGTGGACGGGCACCCCGAGCTTAACCCAGAGCCTCTGGCTGTTGCAACTCGCACGTCTTCACAGTCTTTACAGCTACTTGGCCTAGCTCGCTGTCCACATGAACTTACGCCTACATTCTTTAATTCCAACCTTTTCAGGGGTCTAGTTTACTTGGACATATCCTTTACCCCGGGATCAGTAAAGTCGGCAATCTTGTCGTCACTAAACCCTGGTACACTACCAGGGCTCCGCGTACTGAAGGTCGCAGGCAGGGAAATAGACAATCCAACCGCCAACTTGCTATTTCAAACTTTCCGTCGTCAACTGTGGAGTCTTGACCTAAGTAACAACAAAATTGGGGATGAACTAATCGATAACATTGTAGAGCATTGCATTTCTCCTTCTACATTTCATACAGACTCTCACTTCGATACCGAAGGAAGATTAGTCTTACCGAAGGATATTGGCAGTCAAAGATATGGACCCTTTGAGTTTATCGAGGAGTCCGAGAGAAGTAAACACGCGAGGGATTTGGAGAGATATCTTTCAGATTCCCCTTTTTATTCCCAAAGAGCGGACCAAACGGAGCTACAAGAATGGCAAGACATTCGTCCCGACGGACTCACACCGCTCAGAGATGATAATACGAATACAGCGAAGAAATTGGTATTGAGCGAATCCTTGTCGACTACAACCGGCAGTTTGGATTCCAGGAGAATTGGCCTTACGCATCTATATTTAAATGGGAACAAGTTCACAATCTACGGTATTGAGCGCCTTATAAGAATATCTCGAGGGCATCTTGAACATTTTGAGTGTGATTCATGCCTTTGCACGCCAACAAATTCCGAAGCTAGCCATAGCTTCAAGAGTGTGAGGATTCTAGGCTTCCCAGGCTCCGCGGCCCTGTTTCGACCGGTGGTTTCCTCTGCAATGCGGTCCCTCCGAGTTCATCATTCTCTCGTAACTCGGGTTCCATCAGTTTCTCTGGACGGACTAACGTCAGCGTCTGCATTACGCCTTGCGGAAGAACAATTATTCAAAAACATCTGTCGCGCCTATCCTATAGGCTTAGCTCCTGATACGAACCCGCGTATTACCTCTCTAACACTAACGCATATCCCAGCGCATTCTACAGGTCCGGTAATTGAACAATTGATTCGGTTTCTAGAGCTTGCATGTGTGCAACAAAAGGCTGTCAGACATGCTGGGACCCTATTTGATGGCCGTAAGCCGTCAGTTCTAAAAGGACTCCGACATATCAGACTTGAGCTGGAACCCAAGTTCTCAGAGAGCAATAATATCATAACAAGTAGCGACGTAGACTTTGATAAAATTCTCGATCCCGGCGAAGAAAACTTTAATGAAGAGAGCACATCGAGCTTCTTTGACGACGACGTGACGTTCGGAATTACATCAAGAAGTGCACCAAAGAAGACACAAACACGACCGAATAAAGCGTCTGCCAGCGCAGACGAATACCCACGATGGACTTCGGGGCGATTGAAGTCACCTCCTTATTCAGACGTCAGCTCCGAGTACGTAACCTGCCATGTCGACGCCGCTGACTCGTGGAGCGGTAACTTCTACTCGGTCCCCGTTTGGATCGGACCAGGACATATCGGCCCGCACGCGGCTGTTAACGAGTACATGTGGAACGTGCAAGACCCAAACCTCCGTACCAACATCGGGCCTGCGACGCCGAATCACATCGCCGCGGGAGTGCCGCCGATGACTTATATCTTCTACGCAGCGTGGGAGGCCATGATATTTCCTAAGAGCAGCGCTATCCGCGAAGCAGCGAAGAGTTCTACCGGATTTAGAGATGTAGCAGGGGCCATAAAGGAGTATCGTCTACGCACGAAAGGTACGGAAGAGCATTGGGATGGTAAGCTTGAACTAATGCGATCGGGGTGACATACCTACTACGACATACGAAGACTTTTCCGTGATATCTTTATTAGGATTGAAACGTTTCCAAGGGGTTGGGATCTTTACTCGACTTTATCTTATTCCTACGATATGCTTAGATACCCTCATAGCATCGGAATTAGGTACCTCCTAGATACCTTATAAGGGAAATTTGTCCAAACATGTTTTTTCTCTCTTTTTTTTTTGGTACATGAAACAAAGTGACTCTCTGGGTATAAACGTACAAATCAAGGACCTACTTAGGTAGATATTCATCAAGCCAATTTACCGGGTACAAACGGATGCCCTGCGCTTAGCCCACCGTCGACTGCCCACGCTTGGCCATTTACATAGCTAGACTCATCGCTACCGAGAAAAAGGGCAACACGAGCGATCTCGTCGGCAGTACCGCCGCGCTTCAACGGATTCAACTGGCCAATCTTCTTCTCGGTACCGCGGGCCCGCGCGGCTTCGAACGTCTGGGCCGTCATCCCCGTTTCGATCAGTCCGGGACAAATAGCGTTAACGCGGATGCCCGTGCCGGCTAGCTGATAGGCGATGGTCTGGGCTAGCGAGATAACGGCCGCCTTGGACGCCGCGTAGGGTGTTGTTCCCGCATTGGACCGCAATCCGGCCACCGACGCCGTGCCGATAATGCTCCCCGACGACACGGGCTTCGAGGGCGAGGTCTTTTGCATCGCGGGGGCGGCGTACTTGGCGGCGAGGAACACGCTGGAAGGTTAGCAATGTAAGCACGTGTCTAGGTAACTATCGAATATAGATAGGTACTCATGTAGGTAGGTAGGTAGGTAGCTAAGCTGGTCTATGTGATTGATCATGGGTAAAGTGTCGTCGCAGAGTAGACAAACCTACCTAGCAACGTTGGTGTCGAAGACACGCATGAATTCGTCCTTGGTCACATCCGAGAACAGCGCATAGCGGCCCACGACGCCCGCGTTCGCGAAGAAGACGTCCAACCTGCCGTACGTGCTTATCGCGTGGTCCACGACCTCTCGAACCGCCGCCTCGTCCGCCGCGTCGAACGTGCGCGCGTGCACGTCGACCCCGGGGTACACGGCTTCGATCTCGCGCTTGTGCGCCGCGAGGTGCGTGCCGTCGAAGTCGCACAGGTACACGGCCCTGGCGCCGTTCTCGGCGAACTGGTGGGCGCTCGCGCGGCCGATTCCCAGGAGCGAATTCGCGCCCGTGATGATGACGACCTTCCCTTGGGTACGGGGGCCCGCGGACTTGCCGGCGGGTTTCTTTATTGCGGGGAGTGCGTCGGGAGACGACGACGAGGACGGGGGCGACGACGCGAAGATCTGGTTTCCCAGAGCTTGGATCCGTCGTTTCGCGGTGTCGGACATGGTCGCTAACAAGTATAAAAGGAGAGAATTAATTAATCAACTAATTAATTATCAACGCGATACTTAAAATCATTCTATTTCAACGTCAAATGCTTGTGCGCTTCGCCATTGTTGCTCGAAGTTCTTGATCGGGAGTCTTAAACCGTATAGGAGGTAGGTACCTAGTTCTTAGGATTAAGGAGCCGAGGTACAGTACCTAGGTACCTCTAATATTGATTGCAGTAGCGCGTGTTACCCCAACTCTTGTCCCCTCCCTTACCCCAGGTACCTACCAGGTATCCACTGTATTTAGTAGCTTGCTCCACAGGAAAGTACCCGCGTACCCAATGTACCTAATGTAACAACCTGAAGCTATAAACCTCAGTGACTCTCTCCTCTATGAGAACTCATTACGTGAACAAAACACCAATATTTCAAAAGTACGTGTAATAGGTACCTAACCTAATGGATCAAAGGCAGTCACTGCCTAAGGACTGACCCTGAAATTGCAGGCACGGAAGTTTTGAGATACCTTTATCTTCAACCTTTTCGTCTTTTCCCCTTAAAACTTCATCACTCCCCCTTAATGCGAATCGGATCCCGAATCCACATACTCAATCACAATCACTTATCCTTTAATAATGACACCTATATTAACATAAACCTACCTAAGGTAACTTCGCCAACATGACAATCCTACGATATTTCCATAGCAAGCTTATTCTTGCCGTTGCCTGCCTCATTGCCATTTTAATTACTTTGACGCGCCTCAACAAATGGTCATTACATAGTTCCTCTCTCGGAATCCCGCCCCTTCCACTTACTCAGAGCCCTAACCACACTAACTTGTCCGTTTCTAATGGCGCTACAACGTTCGCCGCCTTGACAATGCTGTCTCCTACAATATCCTACGGTTCATCGTGCAATCATTTTCCGAATACATCTGATATCCTTGTTGTCGTCAAGACCGGTGCTACAGAGTCATACTCAAAGATCCCTACGCAACTCATTACCGTCCTGAGATGTCTCCCGGACTTTCTGATTTTCTCCGATATGGAGCAGGACATTGCCGGCCACCACGTCCGCGACAGCTTAGACTCTGTAATTGATGAGGCAAAGGAGAGGAATTCTGACTTTGATCTCTACCGCAGGCAGAAAGCTTGTGTTATCGATCAGCATAGCTGTAACTTCAAGGGCAAACAAAACCTCAAGTTTGAGGGTTGGAGACTAGATAAGTACAAGAATGTTCATATCGCAGAGAAGACATATCACTTACGCCCAAATTATGACTGGTATCTCTTCATCGATGCTGACACTTATGTGCTCTGGAATAACCTCGCCCAATGGCTACGAATTCTAGGGGATCCTTCCAAGCAGCATTATGTCGGTAGCGTAGCGCTTCTGAATGACTTCGCCTTCGCGCACGGTGGTAGCGGATACGTCCTATCACAGGCAACCATGAGAGACCTTGCCGTAAATCACCCTGGTATCGCTAATCAGTACGATATGAAGGCGACCAAATCATGCTGTGGCGACTATGTGTTAGGCGTCGCCTTGAATGAGACACTCGGTATTGGAGTCAAGCAAGCTGTGAGAATTCTCGCTCTAATTTCTAATTATCTTACACTTCTGACTGATTACAAGAAGCTAACATAAATACAGTGGCCGACTATCAACGGTGAGAAACCGTATACTATTCCTTACGGACCCCGTGAATGGTGCCACCCCATTGTAACCATGCACCATATGGACCCGGAAGAGATCTCCTCGTTCTAGGATTTCGAGAAGCGTTTCTACCAGTCCCGAGGCGTGCCGCGTCCCGTCATGCGGTTCAAGGATATCTTTGAGGAGTTTGTGGCGCCGAAGTTCATGGCCAGGCGCGACGACTGGGATAACCTAAGCGAGGACGTGCTATACCTGGACCCAAACCGCAGCGGACGCTATCCGAAGTGGCAGCAGGATAGCGCCAAGAAGCCGCATAAGCAGATACGTGCCTCAGCTGTTGAGCAAGACGCGTACAAGTCGTTCGAGCACTGCCGCAAGCTTTGCCACAGCATCCACGACTGCTTCCAGTTCTCGTACCGTGCTGGAGCCTGCACGTACAATAAGTCGTTTCGCCTTGGTAAACCAGCCCCGAAGACGAGCACGGAGGAAGACAGGTGGGTCAGCGGCTGGAATATCGAACGCATTCGCCCTTGGGTGGAGGGGCAGGCACCATGCGGAGAGCCTGTCTGGCCCAAGTTGTAACAAGTATGAGCGCATCAGAACACGTAGAGTCAATACGCCAGGCATAGACTCTTTTCGGAAAGTGAAAATTGTTGAGATATATTGGTAATTCTCGAGGAGGGATCAGAGATTCACCTTTAAACATGAGTTTAAGGGGCGCGTAAATTTCGGTGCTCTTATTAACCAGATATGCTTGCTACCGGGTAGCCTTTGTATTTTCGCATTCTGAAGTGGTAGGTAGTTCTCACTTTGTCCAATACAAGAAGATAGGTACCTCCTACTCATTTATCATCACGCTACGTTAGGTCTAACGCCTTATATCATACACAATAACAACGTAGTTTAGATACACCTCATCTCCTTTTCGTCCATTTCCTCCTTTACCTTGGGGAGATAGCACTTAACGAATTCTTCAAACCTGCATTTAGTCATCCATACACGTATCCTATCAGCACAGTTGAGTCGCCTAAACCATCGAGTTTCCCTGACGATCTAGTCCCTCCCGTACACGCGGTCCGCTAATGCCCTTCTCGCCGGGAACGTCAGTGCTACCGTCCTCGATACCCACGTCGGTGGTGCCCGAGTCCGAGGCTACGGGGGCTTCGCCGGGGGCATTAAGGTTAGAAGGTAAGTAGGTAGGTACTTGGAGAGAACAGAAGAAATGAGAAAAAGAATATATATATATATAAAGCACATATGGTTCTCGAATGCGATTTTGATAATAATCGAGTGTAGCGGAGAGACGCTAGGTCAAGAGCTAGGAAGGAAATCGAGAAAATTGGAATGTAGGTATAGGTACTGTACTTTGAGCCTCCCTTTTAAATGTCTCGTTAGCGGTTTTGTTTTGGCTGGGAGTCTTAGAGGGCGCCATGTTTTCTCGTATTTGTACAATGTCGTTAGATATGCTTTATGTATACTATATTGTTTGAGAGTATGAATACTTGTTTGGTTTATATCACTAAAATGACCTTTTTTAAAAAATAAATAAATAAATAAATAAATAAATAAATAAATAAATAAATAAATAAATAAATAAATAAATAAATAAATAAATAAATAAATAAATAAATAAAATAGAAAAATACACAACATCGAAGGAAAATATCAGTGAATAGAGTCGCCTGTGCGATATGGCTGTTTAACATGAAGTCTGTCCCCCCGGGATTACGCCAAAGCCAGCCATGTGTCAGTGCCGTTAGTTGATGTCATCCAGCTAGGGGTAGCCGATGAGATACGGTACATTTCTCCCTATACGACTGGGGAGCATCTTTCACTCCCTATACTTTAAGCCCTCTCTGTCTCAAATTGTGATAACGTTCTTGTAGTCGAAATTGCCCATGATAAGATAGATTTTACACATATACATTAAGTTAGGTATCTATTTACATTGTTGAACTGATATACTGCCTTAGGTAGGTAGGTACTTAGGTAGATGGTACGCAGTGAAGATAACCGGCTTATTATCACAGAGGATTTCGTTGCGTCCTAGATATTTTTATATGCAAGTACGTATCTCATCTCATAGACTATCATCATGTATGGATATGCCTGGCGGGACTGTCCTTAAACGCATAAGATCACCTATCTCTACATTTGAGACGGGTTACCTCGGGCTTAATTGGTTCTTATATAAAAAACTTCTCGTTCTCATATGCTCCTTTGTCTTTTACTAGGATATATTGACCGAGTATCCAATACTCCGCGCAATATCTGGCGACTTAACGCGCAATATCTACCCAGAACAAAACGCAATTTCGCAACCCCTCTCCTCCCCCGAAAGGCATCCCTTCCCTTAAAGCTTTTTATACCCCATACCCACCAGATCGCGCCCAACGGTGGACGGAAATGCCAAAAGAAATGAACACCCATGACGGGAACTAAAAATATCTATGCAATAAATAAAAATAGGCAGAGGGCCGTGGTATCTGAAAGTTCGCTTTTGCGTCTAAAACAAAAGACGGCCCAGTCCTATATCTCCCGTTACAATATTGTCCGCGAAGCTTACCTACCTTACATAAGATAAAAAATAATATAGGATGATAAGACATAAATAGTATAAGAAGACGTAGTAACGGGAGAGGCATGTGTGTATAGATGTGAGTCTCCTTCATCCTTTCTACCCCTAAATTTTGCCACCATCCCCCCATCTTCCTAACGTATAGCACTTACAGCACTAGCTTGCTGTATATACCTATGTATATATAGGTAAGTAGTCACAATGGTAAACGTCATGACATCGTCGAGTCCCCCGGAAATAACCATGTGCTATCACCGGGAAAGTAGTCGCCGAACCAGCTCAACATCTCGGTGCTCTCGAAGCTTGTAAGATGCTGCCCGATATCTGTCTCGTTATCGTAGGTTAGCAGGCGCAGGTCCGATGCCCCGCCAGGCCCTAGGTACGAGTACCCGCTGGAAGCGAGCCCGCTGCCACTCTGCGCAAAGTTTGATGGCCCGCTTTCCGAGGCGTTCGATGATTGCCCTCCGATGTTGGTCTGACTCTGCGTGCTGCTAGCTGGTGAGCCATTAGTAGGGTAACTACTAGTGCCCGATTGGTCGTAACTTGTTGAATGCTGCGATGGCGGCGTAAACAACGTTGGCGGGACACTCATGGAAACCTTATTATGGTCATCTTGAGCAGATAGGCTCTCGTACCTCAGAAGAGACGGCTTGTTTTGAGCCGACGCACCACCCGAGACCCGGCGATGGTGGCTAATCGAATGCCGCAGGGCTGAAGTATTTGGTTGAGGGTATGCGGGATGGTAAATAGATGTGGTAGCCTCCGGGAGGCTCTGGCGTATAGGGTCATAAATCATGTTCCCGGGTGGCGTAGGTGCAGAAGTTGGCGCAGCAGATGTGGGAGCAGTCGTGGAGATTACTTGCGAGGGCATAATACTACCAGGGTTGACGGGATTCTGGAACAAAAGCGTCAAACTAGAGTTAGGAGAGTTTGTCGTACCAGTTAACGACCATGCGAGCGGAGGACCATTTTCAGGTATTGGCGAAGCAGGATAATCTATTTGTTTCGCGACTCTACTAAGAACGCTAGACTGGCGATACCGCCTGGCGCTCTCGTACTCTTCGATTGTGTACGTCTCGCAATCCCATTGACCATCCAACTTCTGGTCCAGGGCAGTGAGAATATATCGGACACCACCCCAGTACGCGTGCATCTGCTTCAGGGCTTTGTAGCACGCTTGATAGTTCTGGTTCGCAGCAGAGGCGAGGAGCAGATGTCTCGAAGCTGGACCCGAGTCCACCACAGCCGAGCCACTTTTATTTGTCTGACCTCTGGGCTCGGGGGGCGGGGTTGCGTCCCTCGAGCCAGGTTGTGACGAACTGGCTCTCGATTCTCTGAGAAATGCGCACGCTGCAATATAAATGGGCTGCGAAGTAAAGGGATTGCCGATGAAACATTTCGGGTCGAGTAATTCGGCAAAGGCGAGGATATCGGCTATCGTCTTAGCACTGGACATAGAAAGTTCCCGACTGTGCGTCTTCAACTGGTGCGTTCGGTTAATGGTACCCTCCTTCGTCAGCAACGTTGGCTGGTGCAGGACAATGATCAACGCATGGAACCAGAAGTGTAGAAGGATAAAAGTTGTCCCTTGACCATTCTTCACATGAGCTTGGAAGTTGTTAGCGTCGAACCGGAGACGCGGGTCCGTTCTTTGATGGAGCCTTGTGAGTTCGATTTCCATTTGGGCAAGCTTATTCATTTTATCTTGCGTGAGGTCTTGAGCATGTGTGATATTATTAAGAACGTCTGAGACTCGGCCATAGAGGTTAATAATCTGCAACAGCGACGCGTTCGGATCAGGCCAACCGGAGACGGGATCGACAGAGGACTTTGGAAGCTGTAAATCAAAGTCGTCATCTCGAAGGGAAACCGGTCGACCGGTGCCAGAGGAGATGGCACGGTCGAGGAAGAATACTGCCCAAAACGTGTCAATACGTTCCTGTTCAACTTCCTTTTGCTCTTCCGGGCTAAGGACAGTACCGTCTGCGCCCTGCTGATTCTGCTGGGAATAATCGTCGCTCGACTTCCTACTGTAACCCCGGGTATACCAAGCGTCTTTCTCGCCTCGATATCGCACACCGTCTTCCTTACATAGACCTAAGTCGATCGCCATACGAATTGCTATTCCTAAATACATCCACAGCGCGCTGTCCTGGTCAGCACCGAAACCGTCATACGCCATTAATAGGCAAGCTTGAACAGCCGAAACTGTCGGACACGGGAAAGTGTCAACGGTGGCGGCCTTAGCTCGCTGAGCATAGATATAGCCATACTCCGATTTGGCTAACTTGCCATCGTTCCATTTTCGAAATAGGGGATGGTCAGAAAACCGTGCTGCAAGGGCACATACGGCATCTACCAATATCGGTTCTACTCGCTTCTCCTGAACCAACTTAGGAAATTTGTCGCGCCGTAAAAATGGGTAATTACTCCCTACATGAACGAAGAAGGTATCAATTAGTTGGAGGATCAGAGGATGTACGTCGTTCGTGTCGTTGGGATCGTAAACAGGCATATCATCCAAGTGGGCGAGTTCGATGTCTGGCTGCATGGAATTTATTATCCCGGAGAATGTCGAACTTGCGCCGCTGGGTGAAGTAGCTGATATAGAGCTTCGTCGTCGATCTCGTACTTTTACTACCATCTGCTTAAAGCCCGGAACTATAGCGGTAGGACCGAAGTAACGAAAGTATGGAACCCGGTGGCTCTCGTTGTGGAATTGTACCGGCGAATGGGCAGCCTCGCTGAAGCCACCTTCGGTCGAGAAAGAGGGATTTCGCGGATTCGGCGGTCGGCCCATTGGTTCGATGCGCGGTGTTGGTCGCGAACTTGGCTCTTCCCAGTCTATATTTTCCGACTTGAGTTGCACATTAGAGTTTGCACGATCTTGAGCGGGCTCAGACGTGCGGCTAGAAGACTTGGGAGAATCGTCGTCTATATCGAAGTGCTTAATCCCACCTCGACTGTTTTTCCACTGTTTGCGATCAAGTTCCGAGCCCTCATCACCGTATTCATCTTCATCAGGACCGCCATCTTTCTTGCCGCTTTTCTCGAGGCCGTCCGAGTATCCCAAACAGTCATGCCCGTTCTTGGTGCATGTCGAACAAGTAGGATGTTCGCCGGCGCACCTTGTTTTACGTCTGCGACAAGTGAGGCATCTGCCGTTGTGAAATGAGTGTCAGTTGAGATGTTCGCGATATCAACCCTTCCTGAAGCCGGAACTGAACTAGTGGTGGACCTGCGGGATACCTGTAAAGATCGCGAGGGAGAACGAAAGGAAAAGAACCAAAAGAAAAGAGTCGTCAATTACCCCGGACGTAATCTACGGTTCAGTCCCTTCTCCATATCCGCCCATATCGGACAAAGGAATTCAACGATACTTACGCAGCGTTTATCCTTCTCCTCTTGGTTGGTGGTTGACCTTGGTTATTGACGAAGCGAATCTGCTTAGGTGCCGGCAGCGGATCGGGTCCGTTGCTATTAAGAAGAGTCACCATGATGATGATGGTTAGTGGACTCGGAGCCGGGATGGTAATGACGGTAACAGGAGACGGTAACAAGTAACAATTATGGTTGGATTGGAATAAAGATAATAAAAATAGTACCCGTAAACTTTATGAGTAGAAGTGTACCTAAGTTAGGTTAAGAAACGCCAAGCTAGAGAGGAAGGCGAAACTCTCAGGTCGCGGGCAACCCAATGCTCGACGTAAAATATTCTAGATATCCATGAGCGCGAGCGTGCTCTTATTTTTTATTTTTTATTTTTTTGTGGATGCTTTTCGTATCTTTCACTCTCACGCGCACACATATATTAATGGTGGGGTTCGTGTCTCTTTTTTTTTTTTCTTTTGTTTTTTCCTCTCCTTCTGCCAATGACTTATTCCACTACTGTATTGGCTGTGGCGCTGTACGAAGTAAGACAGGAAAAAAGGAGTTCGGGTTCGCTAAGTAAAAAAGAAAGAAACAAAACGTGATGCTCTTAGAGACTAGGAACTAGGAGCCAGGAGATGAACTGAGAAGTAGTAGTAGCTTTGGGGCCTAAGAGCCTTGGGGTCCGGGGCCTAGAAAGTCTGGGGGGAAAGGGGGGCCTTGTTAGCGTAGAAGCGCAGGAGCCCTCCGTTGCGGACTTAGGGTCGTACAAAAAAGTACCTAAGTACTCAAGTAAGTGCCCCGTATAGTACCTCTATTGTACCTAATAGATCACGGAACCTTTTAGCAAAGGAAACGACGAACCAACAGAAGGATTGAGCTAGTTATTACGTTTGTCCTCTTCTTCTTTTCTTTCCCTCAGTTGTTTTTCGCTTGCATAGTTCTGATTTTCTTAGTCAGATGCGATTGTACCTCAGCTAAATGCAACCGAGTGGTGAATGGACAAAGATGCGCGGATTAGTTGGCTATCACACCACGAATGTGTGGACGGTAAAGGCGACGACGATGGCGAGCGGCTGAAGACGAATCCTCTAAAGGGTCCAGCTCGACAATCATCGCTGCTTCTAGTACTCTCTCACCAATCAACTCACCCCCAAAGTCATAATCAACCCAAGAAAAAAAAAAGGTCTAAAATAAAGCCGAAAACTGGTAAAATCTAAGTCGGTGTAAGTGATGATGGCACGGCAGGAAAAAGCTCGCAAGGTAATGCGTACGTAGCCGGACTGCCGGGAATAATCGAAATTTGTGGACGCGGTGTGATTTTAAAGAGACCAAGTGCATGAGAAGGATTGAATATACGAATATGAATAAGCCAAATACGTACGTTCGGTATGTATGTATTGTACGTGAGCTATGGTAGGTTGATACCAAGTCGTGTTGTTTTATTTTTGTTTTTGTTGTTTTTCGGAAACAGAGTCTATCGAATTTTGAGAGATCGCCGATAAATAAGAAGACCAGGAAATAAAGATCGATTTAATGGGGTGGGAATGCGGAAAATATCAATGAGCTACAAGTAGGTAATGTATGGTAGGCTTGCTGGTTTGCTGCTGACTGGCTAGGCTGGGCTGGGCTGGGGAGATGTCGCTAAGAATATTAATTAATAAAACATGACAGGATGAGAGAGCTAAGATGTGACAGATGGATAGCGGTCGTGATCGACTTCGAGATTTGCGGGACCGCGGGGTATAACAGACACGACGTAGTCCGTGTGAATCTTTTTGTACCTGACCTACCTAAATACCTAGGGTACCTTCCATGTTATCAGGTTAAGGGAACAATGGAACCGGTCTTGTTTCGTGGTATTAAATACCCATAACTACAGAATATCAATTGTTACTAAAATACAACTACTTATTTATATTAGGGGCTTACTTTGAGTTTATCTATAAGTTTGTTTACCTCTAGTTAGGTAGTTATATTTACCGTAAGAGGTAAGTACCTAAGTAAGGTAGGCTATTTAGTTGACAGGTATATTTCGGTATAATTATTTATAATAGATAAACGTCCTTAACGTATTTACTTGTTTATGAATATGAATGTATTACCCCAGACTTGAGAGATGGTGTTACCCCTCTAAATAATCAAGGTGATAAAGGGAGCAAGTAGGAAAAAAAAGGGCGCCCCCTCTTATACCCCAGACGCCGCTAATCGGATACTAAGACCATCTCGTCATCAATTACGTCCCCCCTCCTTGTATTACATCTAGGTATTTATCCCATAGAAAGGTTGGAACTAGGTAAGCGTACGTATTACTATGACAATCAATTAACTCTCTTCTCATCCACATAACATTATATTATTATCATTAAAACGTAACATACGTGCGCGCCGTTTCGTGGGTGGCATCGAAGCTATCCGGATATGATTCTGCATCTCTCTAGAGAATGCTGCAGCGTCTTCTTGCACGTCTGGGTATAGTGACTTCGAAATCTGCTACCATCCGTTAAAATTGGTTGGATCGCCAACCCTGATTGATTTGACACATAAGCAGTACCCCCCTAATCCATCACACGGCAGATCGGTAGAAGTGTGAGGGATGCTACCCTCGACTAGCCATAAGCTGGTTAGACCTGCGAATCAACTATCGTAAATATTAATATCGATAGAGGGGAGGGAAATCCGCTGGGTATGGTGGCGCCATTGTAAAAGACGGCTCACGCATTGGACCACGCAAGGGATAGGAATATGTGAGAAATGTAAAGATATTATAGGTAATGCAGCACTTGTAGTATTCGAATTGATACTTTAGGTAGGCATTGATATCAGATGGAACAGCATCTTGTCCTCCCCTTAGTTTAAGGAAAATTTTAGTTCCTGCCAGCACATTGTCCCACGCAAAACGCCGGCACACGGTCTAAAGGTCCGGGGCATTATCTCCAGAGACAAAAGCCCGCACGGAGAATAGGCTAAAAATGCTGTGGACGGTAACGAACCCCTACAAAATTTCATGAGAGCCTTGAGATCCTTCTCTTCCCTCTTCCGTCCGATCAGTATAGGATGTTGGTTACACAATTCCGCGTAGATATCTGCACCCAACCACTCTGAAGCACTTAGATGAGTTGTCCCTCTGCTCCTACGAGGTAGTTTCACATGCTATAGCGAGGCCATGTACCTGTCATGGCACAGCTTCCTTCTAGACGCTCGACTGGTTACGACTCTTGCAGCATGACCTACATTCATCTATCAAATTGATAGCATGAAATGAAAAGTTGCCACCGATAAGGGGACGATGCCTACTCAATAGTAGTCGATCATATCAACGGCATCCATGTCCTGCAGCGCCGTTGCAACCCCATCTGGAATGTTTGCTGCGCTTTGGTGTCAGCCAAAAACAATGCTAACTCCCATCTCAGCGCTAATCTTCCTCCACAGATCGGAATCTTCTACGCTGGAGGGATCGTCCTTCATATCATCCAATCTTTTCCAGACTTCTTGAACGATATTCCAGGCCTGGCCTATGTTGGTCATACCTTGGCGCTGGTCAATTCCGAAAAACGCCTTCTGGGCGAGTGCTCTATCTTCTGCGGTTATAGCCTCACATGCAGCTACAAACAAAGGCCATAGCAACGCCCCCATAGGCCCTCCATGGGTGACTGTTCCGACGCAATGTATAAGTGCTATGTGAGCGTGCTTCTGCACTACCTCGCGGCGTGGCGAGTACTTATATATAGTACGATATAGATATACAAATGCGCTATGACGGTAGGCTAAGGAGTTGTGAAAAGTGGATTGGAGGCGCTGTTGCTCTGGAATCTCTTCTCTATCGCCGGAGCCTCTTAACACATCATTTTCAACGACAAAATGGGGAGGAAGACACGGTTCCCATTGGGCTAGAGCGGTTTCGATAGCCTGTGAAGTGGTTTCGAATTCCATTCTGAGGACAGCGCTTTTAGAAGTTTGGTTTGTTAGGCATGCATTCTCGATATCGTTCTTAAGAGAGAGAAGATTGGATAGGCGGTGCATAATAGGCCATAAAGTAGTAGCCATCCCGAGTAAGCTATCGACGTTGCTGAGGGGAGACACTGCCGGTGCATTCGGAGGAGGGAATGGTATGAGGCAGCCAGCGGCCGGGGCCGTGGAAAGAGGGGCAGATCCTAGAGAGAGTGCCGTAATAACATCGTAGAACCGGAACGCCTTTGTTTTGTCAGTAAAGTTGAGACCTTGGATACCCGATGGCCATGACCTACACGTTCTAGGAAAAGACCGGCAGGCGTAGACTCTCCCGAGGAGGAAGACATAATAGTTAGTGCGCCCTTAAGATGTCCGTCTACTATATTCGTCCGTCCGCGCTGGACAAGCTGCAAAGTTTATAAGCTGATGCGCTGTGAAGACATAAAAAATGTAAAGGACCATGCCACTCACTACTTCGTAGTACACCAAGAGCATGATCGCTGCAAGCAGTTCGGTCTTATCGACCTTCCCTTCCTGTTCTATTAGCCTGGCCAAGCCCTGGATAGCTCGGTTGTGAAAATACAGCGACTTCTCCGATGTTGCAATTCCACGATACTCTAAATGGGCACTTGCTAATGCGTATACAGCATTCATAATAGGAGCGCTTCTATGGGAGAGCGGTAAGACCAGTTGTTGGAATGGATTGCCGGACTCCTCCCGGAAGACTATTAAATGCGATAGTACATTGCAGAAGTGGTCAACCAGTGCACGCCGGTTAGGGCGGTCCGAAAACTCCGAAAACACTGGCAGAACAAACTCGAGCGTTGGGGAACCGACAGGACACGGAGCGATCATGGCTAGATCTGGCTGAAAAGATCGCGCCTGAGAGACCACATTGATACTTGAGTTCCTCCGTATAATCTCTTGCACTTGATCTCCATCATCTGCGCCATCGTATTCGTAAACCGTTGGGCTAGTGCCGACCGGGAACAATTCATTTTCGCTCAAGCTCATTGGAGACATGTCTTTAAACTTGGCATCTATAGGGCTGAGACAATCAGCCTCAGAAAACCTATCGATCGTATCCTCTCGCCAGTGGTCATGATCTAGAGTCGATTCACTCGCTCGCCCATAGTCTTGTGTAAATCCAGAGTGAGAGGGGTCTTTCTTCCTTCGTTGGCGCGGTCGTACCGCCTCGTACGTGCATTGAAGGTCCTTTTCGATACATCTTGCGCATCGCGGTCGTTTCTCGTCGCATTTCTTCTTCTATCCTCCCGTAAAAACAAATTAGAAAACCTCTTCGACAAGGTCTACAGTATACCAGTAATAAATGATAACCATACTTTCTCCTTGCTGTACTCGTACCGAAAAATTAGCGGTTTCGTTGATGGGTACGTTAAGAGATTGAGAGTCGGACATCACGTACCAAAAGGTGCAACCTGTAAATTCGCTGTCAACTTGAAGCTCCACGAAGACAGGGAATCAAACAGAGAAACAGATTACAGAATTTGAACTCACCTGCTCTGGAGCGCCTTTTTGGCACCTTTGGAGGTGCAACTCTGGTATATAGCAACATATCGCCAATAAGCAACACGCTACACTATAAATCCTTCATATTTTGACATGGTTTTTCGTGGTTTGTCATAATACCCTCCCCCGCGCAAACTCGTTACCCTTCAGATCCGATGGTGCTCAAGCCAGAACGGCTGAGCTATTGATATATCTTCTATATATCCAACAATCCAAGATCAGAGATACCAGGTAGCAAAAGAGTAGATCACAGGATTGATTCGACTCCCGACAAGCCGACAAGAGGAGATTGTGGATAGAAAAGAATGGGGTAAAAAGGAGCGACACCCTAGATTCATAGTCCGATCTCAGTTTTTGGCCATCATCGTGACGTTGTGGAGAAAAAAAAAAAGAAAAAAAAGGCAGGTCCACGGCCGATTCAAGAAGGATGGTGACCGGAGACAGGTTCCAAAAAGGGTAGAAGTGAACGCATTTGACAATTGGAGTCCCTGGGGATTCCGGAAATGAAGTCTAGAACTACATATGTAATTGTATTGTATCAGAAGCGCCAGGACTAGTGCAGTACCCGTAACAGATCCGAGTTCTAAACAGGTCAGGGCTGCCAGGATGGACCGGGATGAAAACCCCGTCACGAAGCAAGTGTGGAGAAGAAGTTGGCGATCGACAAAGTCAGCTTGCGGGGTTGTAACGGTATCGACACGGCAGCACGGGGTACCTACATATTAAAGAGATAAGTTACCCCTTTCGCTTGATTTATCGATTCATCCTTGGGATGAACTCGGTGCCAACTGAAGACGAAGCCAAGACCTGTTACATGATAGTCCCAACTAGGAAGAGAGAAGATTAGAGGACAAGGTCAAGCCTAAACTCGGCGGAGGCGCGAATTGAGCCTCACTTATTATCCTGAATTAAATAAACGCCCTTGTCGTGTCGACACGTATACCTGGCGTACAGTACAGAACTTATTCACCTTGTATTCTGCGTGCGAGTTCTGATGACAGGTACCCAAGGTATCTGCAGGAGCTAAAATACGGGGTGACTAATTTATCACGAGATTCGAAATCGGATTGATGGAAGAGATTTGGAACTGTTGGAACTAATAACGCTGTTACCATCGTAGTGTAAGTTGGAACAAGTCGTCCTATTTCTTTCCTATGGGGTTTGATAACAGGTAACAGACCATATAAAATATAGTACAGAATCTTCGCGGCGAAAAGAGCATTATTTAATTGGTTGATGCTTGTCTCTATTGATAGGTAAATATAGAAATAAAAACTACATACCGTACCAGGTAGGTACCTATTCTTACCGCGGTGCTTTCGTTCGGTCGTACAGGTGAAGAAGAGGTTTAAAAAAAAAAAAAAAAAAAAAAAGAGGCTAACCTAGGGGATTTCCCCTCCATCAATGCAGCGGATGCCCGCATGTGCTTTCCATGATGATTCCATGTTCAAGCCATTGTACGACCATGCAGGCGTTGGAATTTTGCCTACATGTAAGAGGTAGGCTATACTGTACTGTTACCTCTGTGCAAACACCAAGCCATCAGCCCTAGTATTAAATGATCATCTGCAAGTTAAAGACCACATCTGAGACCAATCTAAGACCAGATATTCCCGATGTCTTCAGCCGCGCGAAAGTCGATAGGCTTTAATTATTCGGAATACGCTCCAACAAACTACTATGCAATAATTGGTACATATGTGTATCATGAATGTCATTCACCAAAACTACCCACCATAACGGCTATAGCCATTCAACGCGCGAACGAGCAGACACCCGCAACACGCAAGTCCTTTTCTTCCTAAGGTAGGCAGAGGAAGTCGTGCTTCGTGCTTCGTGCTAGGTCGGACGTACTAGAAATAGCGGAAATCTATATTTTCTTACTCTATAACTCTGCACCCAATCACGAGCGTCCCGGAACCGACCCCTCCCCTCCTCACGGTGAAGATGTGCTGTTATTGGGGGCGAACCATGCAGCTGGGGAAGCTGACGTTGCATCTACGAGACACACCCGTAAAGCTGAATGGCGGGTTCGCCATCTGCAGCTGATAGAAGTTGGAAAACCCCCTCCCTTCCTTTTTTCTTTGCTGCAGGTCAGCGGCCAAGACACCACAGTCAATATGTTATCATCTCTTCCTCAGATTCCCATCTCGACATGTCCATTCCTCTTAACCCTTGTCGTCCCAGGAAGCGCATCGTGTCGATTTACCCCCGTCCTACTATGTAGGTCCCGCACTTAGCATGTCTATTACCATAGTCTGATGGAGCCATCGCGATATTGTTGGTAGGCTTAAGGGGTACTATTTTTGAGAGGTTGCTAGCTTCAAAGCCAGCTAAGCCAGCATCCGAGTAGCGCTTACGTACCGTACCGTCTATCAGCGGATCCATCATCGGATCTTTTTTTCTCGCCAACGTGGTGCTGTGCTAACAGAGCCTCACCTTCGCATTTTCATTTATTCTCCGCCTCCCATTTTCAGTCATATATTCGTGTGGCTTTCTTTTAGTTACGGAATAGAGACACCCTCGTACGCGAGTCATAATCTCTCGCATGAATAAAGCTTAGACATGCTTATATGAGTCCCCTTGAGGTGCTACGAGAAGAGCGGCCAAGCGCTAGGACTCCAAATCCGGCAACGTCTTACGTATCTGAGAATTGGTTTGGGGTATATAGTGGTGGATATCGTCAAATGCGGAAGGCCTCAAAATGGGGAACCTTCGAAGAAGCTCCGTGGCCTGCATTGGGTTCGCGGTGTTGGCAGTTCTAGCACCCAAAACAAGTGCCGTGCACGACAATGGATATCAGATGCACGTGCTGAAGAAAAACCATAACGTCCTTCGTCACCCCAAACGCGAGGCTGTCTGTCAACAATCCGGCTTCACGTTATGTCCCCAATCAGCGGACGGCGGGTGCTGTCCTGAAAATTATGCCTGTGCTGTATCGTCCTGTTATGCCGCAACAGCTGGACCTACATCTGCATGCGGAAAAACGGGATACTACGTCTGTCCACTGACTGCTGGAGCAGGTAAGCCAACCAGTCCTGAGCAATCTGCAATATAATCTTATAGATATTAACATCCTTACTTAGGTGCCTGTTGTCCTGTGGGTTATCTTTGTGGGAGCAGCACCCAGGACTGTCTCCCACCTGCCGGGTCATCATACTCGCAGTCGTGTCCCTCATCATGGTTCGGTTGTGCGTCTTCTCTTGGATACGGCTGTTGCCCAGACGGGATGGTCTGCGGTACCGCTACATGTTATGGGACCTCTCTAAAAACGCTCCCGGTAAGCGAAACGGTAACCACCACTGACTCAAAGGGGTATACTATTACGACAGTAGTCACGAGCTCTTCGGTTATATCTCCAGGTCCAGATCCATCTGATACCTCATCTGCTACAGTTGCCGGTGTGCCAAAATTGATTCCCAGTACTGTCTCCAAGTTACCGTCTATTGAAACGGGTAGCAGTGGTGGCAGTAGCGAAAGCAGCGGGAATGGCCTCAGTCAAGCTCAGATCGGCGGTATAGTTGGGGGTGCTATCGTTCTACTCGCTGTCGTAATCATCATTGCCGCCATTATCCTCTGGCGACTCAAACGGACAGAGAAAGCTGTCGAAGCCGCAGCTAAATCCAGACGCGAGAACTCCAATTCCGACCCGCGCTCACAGAAATCGGGCTATGGGCAAATATCAGTCTCGGAAGTCGACGGTACGGATGTGGATTCATTTATACGAACCCGGAACGCCCACTTCCGGTCTCGATCGGACTCGTCGACCGCCGGCGAGCAATCACGTTCAGAAACGCCGAATTACTATGGTTCCAACGCCTCGGCGACGCCGCCCTCTTGGCCAGGGCATTCTGCCCAGTCTCCGGGGATTGACGCATTAGATGGTCGCCAGTCAAGGTCAAGTCCAGATTCTTACGGTGCACATCACGATAACGCATTCTCTCCCCAGCGGCCCAGCGTCGACTCCGAGGCTCATCGTACACACGTGCGCCAATGGAGCGACGTAAGCGAGCTAGACGGCAGTGTCGTCAGCGCTCACGGCGTATCGGAATTAGGCAGTCCGGACGCCCTCGAAGCCGCAAGACGGCGGTCTAACAGTTCAACACGCCCCCCTAAAGTTCAGGTCAGACGGTCGAGCGACCCGTCCGGCAGTTCGCGAGGAGCGCGCGGCGAGGGCGCAACGCAAGGGGTGGCTTCTCTAGGAACTCTGAACGAGATCAGCGAACTGCACGGATACTACGGATCTCCAGATCTTGCGGTTGGGCAAACTGCCGCGAGGTTGAACAAGAAGGGATCTACTATTAGCTCTTCGCCGGGACACGATACCTAAAAATACTGTATTTCGGTGCTGTTTTATATTGTCGAAATCATAATGACGCCACGGTGAATGGCTTGCTTGCAGGTCCATAAGATACGCACATGATGAATGTATACTGTCGTTAGGCGTGCATTGACTAAGGGCCTAAATTGGAGGATGGTTTACGAATATTTTTATTTTTCTACCGTATTTTGGTGCGATGGGCTCATACGGCGTGTATTGGTTATACCCACACAATCCTGTTATTCTTTTGTATGCACCCTACCTAGGTATATAACCTCGGAACCGACACTAGGCGCTGTAGGAAAATTGGCTCATTTATGATACTAGGCTTGGGAATTAGCATGGCGTATGCATATGGGACATTCTCTCAGGAACTAGGCTCGTCTCAGGCGAGCAAGTTTTAATGTTTATCACATAGACGCAAATCCAGATTCGCAAACACTAACACGCATGTTGCAAGAGCTATTTATATTGAAGAGCTAGTTTGTGCCACGCCCGGTAGCTGTATAATTCCTTAAAGCCACGAACTGGAATTCAACACAGGCTTGCTTCATGATACCTTCTTCCCCTGTCATGGGATTCATTATTGCCTCCCTGGCACACTGTAACAGCTAGTCTTCAAATACTCTAAATAGAGAGTATAAGGGGTATCTATGACTCAATCTCGGTGTGGGCAATCTTCTCGTCGCCGATCACACCAGCCTCGTTGCCGCTCTCCTCGTCAGCGCCGTGCTGGCGCGTGAGCCCAACCTCGGTCGTCGAAAACGCATCCGCGGGGTCTCTATACGCGGGGACAAAGTTGACGGCGAGAGCATAGGATAAGGCTGCGACGAAGAAGCACAAGGGGACGACCATGGCGAACGCAGTCTGGTGCGCGTCGGCCGCAACACCTGTCAACGGGGGCACGGCCGCACCGCCCATAACTCCCGCAACAATCCAACCAGAGCCGCGCTTCGTGTGACGGCCTAGTCCGCGCATGCCCAATGCGATGATTGTTGGGAAACAGATGGATTCGAAGAAAAACGTCACGTATAGCATCGACATACCTGTCCAGCCGCCTTGCGTGATAGAGGGCGCGGTGAACACGATACACAAAGTCAGGAATGCCAGGAATACCCAGCGCGGACGGATAAATCGCATCAAGAACGCGCCGAAGAAGCGGCCGACAGCGAAACCGCCCTGAGCACCAGCAAGAAAGCGGGAAGCAGTAGCATCGTCGGCATGGGGTTGGGTATCGCGTACGTAGTTGATGAAGTAACTAGCGAGGGCTATTTGGGCACCAGTGTAGCAGAATTGAGCAAAGGCGGCGTGGAAGAGGCGATACTGCTTCCAAAATGGCTTGTCGTCAGCATTGGCGTGCGTCTCGGTGGCTTGGAATGCCATATCGGCGTCGGTAATCTCGGGGATATCGGAGAGAAAAAAGGCGAAGGCGAGCACGAATACGAAGATAGCAATGGCAATGTATACCCATTGCACGTTTCGCAGAGCCGTTACGTCGTCAAACGTGAAGAAGACGTACGAGCCCAATACGGGAGCTACCACGGTACCGATAGCGTTGAAGGCTTGGGATATGTTGATGCGCATCTCTGCGTATCGAGGGGGACCGCAAACTTGCCGTATATGTCAGTATAATTACCTACCATCGTTTACGTAGAGATAAAACCTACCGGTGATATACGGGTTCGCAGCGGTCTCTAGAGAACCGAGACCATTGCCGATAACGAATATAGCCATGCAAAACCCAGCGAAGGATTTAGCCTGGATACATGGAAAGGCGATTAACGCGCCGATACCTATAGCACTCCCAGTTAGTCGACACAAGCTCGCACTGGTAGGTATGTAACAGGCAGTCCACGTACCGTATAGACAAAGACCCCAGATAAATGTAGCCCGATAACCATAGTGGCGCAGGATCCAGTTGGCATGGCCGAGGGACGCGAGGGGATAAGCGCTGCGCCAGACGATTAGCAACTATTTCGCACCTATACTCCCATTCGAGATATACGTACCCAAAATATGCGGCCTGTAGACCAGACGAACGCGACTTGGTAATACCAAGTGTGTTTTGGAAGTGTTTGTTGAGCGTATCGAGCAAGCCTAGATAGTTACAACAAGTTAGCCAGAACCCTACGCGTCGTCGCAAATCATTGTATTGTAGATGGCCACCATTTTCATCAATTGTCGCGCAAGGTCGTTGGTACATACCATAGCTGAATCCCCAGAGGAAAAATAGAACCGTGACAAGACAGATCGGGTAGAGCGACTCTCGTAGAGTCAGTTCGGCCGCTTTGGTGCGCTTGTCATCTCTAGCCCGAAGAGAGCGACGCTTGAGAAACTCCTTGAACCCCATCTTGACAAAGCGCGAACCTGTATATATGATGAAGCTCAAGATCAAGATACCTTGACAAGGCTCTACTTAGTCACGGGTGTCACGGTGAGAGTTGTGTGTAGTAGTATCTCTTAAGCCAAAAACTCGGGGGATTGTTTCTCAACAGAGGGCGACCACAGGACTATTTAAGGTACCTAATAGGAATAGGGTACCTGGTAGGTAGGATTCAACAAAACCTAGGAAAGTCGCCTCGCAGGGTTTCCAAGTCTTTTTTTACCACGCCGCTCAAGGCGGTCACGGTCGAGCGTTGGGTGCGGTGCGGTGCGGTGCGATACCTTGATACCTTCTCCTCCTCACCACTGCCACTGGATTTTGTCGCATTCCACCCCTGGTAATTTACGAAGCTAAGGAATCCGGGGGTCAGAAATGTGGAGAGAAACCTAAACCCCCCTTTTTTGGAGTTGTGTGGAGTTGTGGAGTGTGGAGAGGCCGCAATTAGCCCGAGGCCCGAAGTCCTTTTGTAGTATAGTCGCGTTGAGGACCTCCAGTAGAAGAGGCAGGGCAGATATGAGGTACCTTATGTAGGAGGTAGGTAGGTAGGTAGGCAGTAGGGTAGGTGCGTATGGTTTCTTTTAAGATAGGTAAGTTCGTCATGATAGGTAGTTGTTACAAGGTAAGGTAGTTAGAGGTGTTCGTCGCTCCTTTATGCAGATCGCATCGTCTTATTGGCCAATGGTCCTGCCATGTCTTATGCCGTACAACCCAATTCTTTAAACTTACCTATATCCCTGGAAATTCTTCTGCCAAGCTTCCAAGGACCTTACCGTCCAAAACGAGACCCCCTCTAAAGTAAGGCTAATAGCAATTGCGACAACACGTCTCCAGTTATGCGACCAACCCGGGCAACTTACCTAGTACATAATAGATCTTAGGTATCTATATACCCTCACCTAATAATGCCTCACCTAATGGAGACATTTCCTATCACGGATAATCTGATAATAGCTGCATGTATCAAGATAATTTAGTTTCTTGACAATGGATATAAACTCCACTTCATCGGTCATACGCATGCAGAAGACAGAAGGAAGCAAGCGTCATAAACAAGCAGTAATACCGCCGGAAGTTCCACTAACATGCTACTAGTCCTCTAGTTATCGCAGCGTGAAACTACACCAACGACGTCGGCATCCCCGATATTCTTCGTACTCCCCTACACGGAATGGTCCCGTTGGTCACATGAAGGTCCATGAGAGAAGCTTCTTGGCTTGCGCTGACCTGGGAGTCTGGGACGACCATCCAAGGTACAGCACGGGAACATCCGTCAAAGTTTACCTATCACTATGCAAGTACGTAACATCTGCATTCAGCTCGACACATAATTACCTAACCTAATTAGAGCCTTCTTCTGAGGTATGATATAGTCCCTAGAGCTCGAATTCAAAATAGAGCTCAGCAGCGCAGCTTTTTTTCATACAGATATATTTGACTATAAAAGCCGCCATCATATTATACATAGCAAGAATCCTTCACCGTATAAGGAATACTCGCATTTGAGGTAGTTAATTGGAACACATCGTACGTAGAATGAGCAAAAAAGGAATTAATAAATCCTCAACTGTATGAAAATTTTCAACCTTGGTAAAGCAATTAATATAAGGTATGAATGTTTGCTAGGTAAATGACGAAGCCTTCCGCTGCATTAAATGACGTTTCAAGTTAATGCCAAAGGAAGAATTCTTCACAATAAATTACGGCTGCATTAGAAAAGTCCAGCTCTTTACCTACTCCATTGCAGATACCTTGTATATAGGTACCAGGTAAGGTATGGAAAATATACTTTGCTATAATAATCCATACCGTAATGGGACTTTGGTTTATTTACTACTCCGCTTCGCGAGGTAACTATCATGATTCTACAGTACATGTATAAATTTAAACGAAATAATTAGGTAACTATATTACTAAACTTAAATAAGTTGCTCAACAAGTCAAGCTTGGCTAGTTGAGACAATGCCTACCATATATTGCCTGGCATCCCCTGAAAAGTAGATCAGTCATTAGTCTCTGACTATAACCACCCGATTAACACTTAGAACTTGCCAAGGTACGGTAAACTAACTATTATTGCACAAAGAAGGCAAGAGGGAAACGGTGAGAGATCCCTCATCCAGCTATCTCATATACATGTCGGTGACCCGCCGAGGGGTCCACGTGGTCATCCCGTGACAAAAGTCGTTGATCAGGGGTAGTAAAATATGAGAAGAATTGGATCTGAATGTTGCTTAACGGTCACTTGTATATCTGTAAGGGCTTACATCTAGCCTGCCTAGTACTGCAATACGTTGAGTCCCTTATTTATTAGTTGTAATTCAGGAGGTTTAACTGATAGTATCGGTTAAAAGAGGTTGTTTTACATCCTAGTACTGTATTTATTTTTATAGATATTATAGGTAGAAGGATAAATGAAACCGTTGTTAGTTATAAGATAATGCTATAATTCTATAGAGTTGACTAGTTGGAAAAATTACGATGTAAATGAAATACCCTGTCGCCATATCTGTACGCTGTAACGCCCTAAGGCCACAAGTTTTACCAAACAACACGCTTTTTATACCCATCCACTTCCAAAATGTCCGAGAAATTCCAAAGTTATATCAGTGACATCATAGCCCCTAAAGCTGGCGCATTCCTGTCGGCTCTATTTGATCTCCAAGCTGGCCAGCTTTTCCTCTCTCCATTGCCATAAGCCTGCCCACGTAGCGCCGGAGCCGACAACGAACTGGCCTGCTATCACGGCCACGCCGGCCTTGACCGCTTCGGCGGTCTTGATATACCCGAGCCGGCGTAGATCCCAAATCGAGTACAGATTGCTGCATACGAACGACGTCACGGCGATGGCCATGTCGTACTTGAAGAAAGTAGCTACCCCTGCGCCGAGGCTCAAGTTCCACGATGGTGCGAAGGGATTCGGCAGGCCAAAGAAAGTCTTGGCGATCGAGATACCCGGATGCATCCAGGCATACAACAGGGTACCGGTGTGTGCGGTAGCTTGCACGGCAAACGCGTACGTATACACAGACTTGAGAATAGGCACGTCCGTAGTTTCGTACCGGTCATATCGGTGCTCCTCTTCGTACTCCTCCGCAGACTTCTTACCCTGTTGCCATCGTTCGAGGCCTCTGGAGAAGGCGCTGGTTAGGGCGTTGAATAGCGGCGGTGCAAATTGCCATAATGCGAGTAAGTTCTGCCAACGTCCAAAATTGGGAATAGGCGAGAGGGCGAGTACCGTCGGGAGCACGTAGCCAAGAGTGATTGCGGGAACCAGCGACTTAGCTACGCTGACGGGTACGGCACGACCAGTAGAAAACTCGTGCGTGAATGAGCTGCTCAGAATGGCGTGTGCCGGGCCTATGCGGCCGATACCTATGAGCTGCATGCCTACCGAATACGCGGATGGCAGAGCGAGGGGGGTCCCTTGATTCCCCGCGCGGTGACCCTCGATGGAGTATATCAGAAGTGGCGAGATGAGCTGTGAAAGGAAGTTCACAAGATGTAATTTGGAAGACGGGTCTTTATCCATCAACGGTATTGCCAGGACCGACGTGTATATGTTGAGAATATGCGAAGCACTGTTCTCCCCAAACCATCGCATGGTCACAGGAGCCCTGTCTATCCATTCTTTGATATCTGGGAGGGGAAGTCGCCAGGCTTTAGTAGTGACAAGTAAAGCGAAAACCATTCCTCCGACCAATATATTTCGCACAGCTGATACATTCTTAGCCACAGGTGCGACTGGCAACTCGTCGCTGAAAGGGATAGCTCGCGGTCGCTTAGGAACCGGGAGCCTCCTCACGGTTGCAGCCCCTGAATAGATTTTGGCCAGCTGAACTAAGCTATCTTCCATACCGGATAATGGGGCTACGACTCTTAAGAGGAATTTCGATAATATGGGTTTTTCGTGGGAGAAAATCGTCTGGATACTATGTGACGTATCGACAACGAAGTGCGCTCGTTCCTGTCTAGAATCTTGCATCTCTGAGAAGATCTTTTCAGCTTCCTTCCCCGATAGCCCGTTCAGGGTTCCGCCTCGATCATCTTTCATCCGTAGCAGGGCGTTGATAAGTTCAGCGCAAGATTCAATAGCGCCATTGGCACCTTGGCCGCCAATAGGGTCGGGCTGGGACATGGGATTACACGATTAGAAGTCGTCTAGCCGCACGTGTGGAAGAGAGGTATCTTACCTTGTGAACAGAGTCTCCTATTGCGACGATCCTATCGAAGAACCATTTCTTCAAAACGTATTCGTGTAACGGCGTCAATGTCGACGTCAGGCGCTTGTTATATATTTGGCCGAAGGTGATTTGCTCAGTAATATGTACGTTGGCATTCTCTCTAATGAATTCTTCTTCGTCCTTTTCGGTGTACCTAGGTATTTCTTTCCCGTATTTCGTCTGCGGTAACTTGTCGAATAAGAACCAGTACACTCGGTCTTCAGGTCCCGAAACGACAAGCTGAGACTGATGTCGTCCTGCCACACGATGTTGCTCGCCTGCAGCCCAGTTGTCAACATGCTGAGCAATGCCGAAGCTACACCTATAATGGCAAGGAATGTTATCTAGTTCCTTTTCGTCGAAGGATCCTGGCCGAATCTTGTTGCCGAGACTAATCATGCTGGATCGAACAGCGCTATGAACGCCATCCGCACCTACGAGAATAGTCCCGTCGAACGTGGAACCGTCCGCGCATGTAACTCTGACACCTCCATCTGTCAAGCTCGCGGTAGCGAACTTCTTGCTCGGCAATACCCGGTCTTTGTGCTGGAGATGATCGTAAAGAATCTGCAAAAGCTGCTGTCTATCAAAGAAGAGTAGTCCATAGCCATGTCTGCAACAATAATTAGTATTATTCTTTCCATACGTCTCAATATACTTACCGTCTTACAAGCTCTCCACTTAGGTCATATTGGGTGTCCAAGACATTGCCGCTTCCATCTCGTACGTACGCCTTTTCGTGGCGATGTCCGCCTTGTAATAGCTCGAATAAGCGAAGAATGTCTTCGTAGCATCCCAACTGATCAAGTATTCGCAAACCGTTGGGAAACAATCCAATACTCGCACCCACTTGCGGCGCAATTTCTGAATGAGATTCTAAGATGATGTAGTTCAAGTCGAACTTCTCCAGCATATTAGCAAGGGTAAGGCCGGCTATGCCACCCCCGACGATAATAACCTTAAACTCTTTATCAGTTTCCATGGCAACGACGTTGAGATGCTGTGAGTTCACAAGACAGTAAGATTCAAATAGATGGGTTCGTAGAATGACTATAAATATAACTTTAGGTGGTAGGTACTTAATATAACGCCCGGCTGCGTAACGGGAATGGGGAGTTTTGAGTTATCCGTGAACAAGATTACCGTGCGTCTCGGGCCACTCAGGATTCCGATCGTACCCATATCGGGAGATGAACGGGACCCAGATACGGAATATTGGGGAGCTATTCTTGGCACTCGCTCTGACCTATTTATTATCATACTATATACCTTACATGATAAAGCTACTATAGTCCGTTCGTCTATGGAAGCCCTCGGGATTAAAAGAGCGCCGAAATCAGCTCCCGAAATCCGAGATAATAAACAACTTTGAATATCAAACACGGGCGGAGCTATACCTAGTTCAACACTCTTTGTCTCAACTGCTGTCAGGGATATGTGCATGACTAACCCAAGCGTTAGCATGGAGCTAAAGTTAGCTCCAAGAGGTAGCTCCGGATACTCCGGATAATAGCTCCGGGCGCCCGTCAACATCCATGCGGCGTTATGGCGAGAGAGGGTCAGCGATGGCAAAAGAGCAGTACATATAAGGGCGCGAGGCGCCCTCGTAGATGCTTAGAAAGTCAAGCGTTAATAGATCACTATACTATATTGCTACTGTCTCTAGGATTTACTCTGTGTATGACAACCATCACGGGATCTCTCTGACAACTGCCTACCTAAGGTAAGCTATAGGAACGCGAACATCATTGTCTATCGAAACCATATTATGAACTACCGCAAAACAGTACGGTAGATAAAAACGACACGCAATCCTACCTTAGGTTAGGTAGCTTTCATGCTAGTAATACCAACCCTTACGTTATGAATATGACCTTTTTAATTGTTATAATTTTGATGTAGTGCCTAATACCCGTCCCTCATGGAAGTGGGTATGGGGAAGTTCGCGGAGCATAAGCCATTGCCCTTACATACTTGGGGAGCTGGTTCGCGACCAAGATTATTATGTTTATAAAAAACCGGCCATCCGCCTAAGGTACAACCGGTGAAGGTTGCGCACGAAGAGATAGAATTAGACGTCGCACTGGATAGGTTATACGCCTATCTTCCGGTCGTGATGCCCTTTAGGTCTGCCCGAGCGGCCCGACAAATCTCCTCTATCCGAGTATATAACCCCTCGTCTTCTTTTTTCCACCTCCCGCCGTTCGGAAAAATCGCTTGCCGCAGCAGGTTAACCCAGGGTATCAATGGTTGATAAAATGTAGTAAAATGTTTCGACGATTTGTTGGAAAATACATCTTGCTCAGATATAGTGCCAAGCTTCATCGTAGCCAACTCCTCAGCATCCATAAAATTCCATTTATCGAACTCCGAAACTGGCCTCCCCTTGCCTGGACCTTCGTAATGGATGCATATCCAGAATAGCACCCAGAAGAAGGACTCAAGGTCGTGCATAAAAGAGTGCTGCTCGCCTAGGAGTGCACCGATAGCCATAAATGCTCTTGTACCCGTCATTCCTTGCGCACCGGATGCGTCTTCTCGTTGCTTGTACACGGCAAGGTCAAGGTCGATCAAGAATGCAGACCACGAGGGATTTTCCGGGTCTTCGTTTATCATCAAGTTGTTGATCGAAATGTCCTGGTGAAGCAAGCCAGCTAGCTGCAGCAAAGACTTGTGTCCCTGAATGCACCTACCCCATGCGTCAAGGAGGACTTCAAGGGAGCTTGCTTCGTAAATAGGTTTTCCATAATCACTAACAATAACACGTCGATGAATTCGATTGGGCGGGAGATTACTGCCGGCCTTGGTCGGGGATGCAGAACATGATCGTTTACTGGCCGGCAGAGGAGCGCCGGTCTGACTGGATGACCGCTTCGTGCCGGCTGCGCTGCTACTCCGGCCCTTCTGCAAATCAGTTACTGCAATCGTGGTCGGAAAAGGGACGGAGTGTCTAGGTCGGTAATTCCGCGCCTCCGTGACGTTCATCCCGCCACGAACGTTATCCTAGACATCATCTACCTAGCCGCGTACATACACTGTTTCGTGGTGGTAGTACCGGGCCACGTTCACCACCTGTTTGTTGGTTACGTCCTGAAGCAGTTCGCCTTCCTCATCACGTTCCACATACTGCCAGGAATCCTTGATGACGAGTGGTGTTCGCGGGTCTTCTTTGCGATGAGCTTTCCAACAGGTCGTTGCGCGGCCGGCGACGCAAGATATCCGCTTAATCTCAATACATCGCTGGCCATCAATAAAACGAATAGCAGGGCCAAATCCAAGGTCTTCTTCCGTCATCCAGAGAAACCCAAGAATGGTGGCTACAAATTGTAGCGGATCCTCGTGGATGTCGAATCGTTCGGATGCGATGCCGCCAAGGCGGTCAAATTCCCAAACCCTCATGATCGAGCCACAGAGGGTAAAGCCCAGAACGAAACGACGAGTATCTTGGGCGGCGAGAACCTCCCTGGCATACCTCCTCAAGTCAAGCCATGCTTTGGAGGCCGTATCGGCGGAAAGGTTGCTCTTGAGCTCTCCAGGTATGAGGATTTGCGACCAATGGCAAAGAGAATCTTGGATGGCATTGGGGTTGCTGACGAAGCCGACGTCCAGCTTGCGTTCTGCCGTGGAGCCCTGGATAGGCTTGTTGGGCTGTGCCAACGGTCGTCGACGCGCTGGGCTCGGCTTAATAGCTTCTGCGAATGTTGCCAACCTGTCGATTACGTCCGCAAACCAGACCAAAACACCATCTTGATTCGCGTCTTCCGGCCATCCGCGCCATCGTCCATCGAAAATAGGATTGTCACCTTCTCTGCATCTCTGGAAGACGGCTTCGGACGCTGCCTTGAGGCCTGCGACGCGTCCAAAATATGTTTCGCGGAATTGGGGGAGCCCGACATAGAGAGGACCAAGCTCCAACTTAAGGATCCTATCCACATCTTGTCGATACTCGGACGAGTTTGCGAAGCTGCCCGTGTTATGGAGCCATGGCGTTTGTAGGAAGGAAGATGCGATCGGCTGGGGAGGGGTGGATTCGGTAACGACTTTGTAAACCTAGTTCCAGATGAGGGCGTCGTCGGGATTGTCGGCAAGGGCTACTTTCAGCAAAGGCTTGATGCAGTTAAGATCGAAATCCTCAGAGTTGACGGCAGAGATGAGGGCAGAGATGGGTCTTAGGATGTCATCTTGAACAGTGCCACGGCCTGTCCTCGGAAAGAGACGGCTTGAAGCAAGAAGACTCGCTAAAGAGTAAAGAAGCGAAGCGCTAAGAGCCCGAAAGTCTGTTCAGCCGTTAGGGAAGCTGCATCAAGAGCTCATATTTACTACCTAGGTATGCATACTATGCCCTTACCTTGCTGGCTAAGTTGATCAAGGGCGTCTATCGCATATGAGATACCACGATCTTCGCATATCGACTGGAATAATTCGCGAAAGGCATCAAGACCTTTCCCAATAGGATGCGTCTGGATGATGTCTGATAGCGGAGGTCTAGCTGTCATGGTAGGATAAATGGATGGGGGTGATGGAAAAGTGGAAAAGGGGAAAAGACCAAATTGGGTCAAAGAAAGTCAGAAAGTCGCGTTTCGCTGATTAGGTACATACCTGGTACCTAGGTACCTAGGTTAGGTAGTCACAGGTACCCCGGGCCTAAGGTCCAGGGACAGGTACGGTACCTACTATGTAGGTACCCATTACGCCGGGTTCGGACGATTTCATTAGTTCGAACACATGCCCTCGGGCTTTAGACGGCAAACTCCCAAGATATCCTCAAAGTTCTAACAACACCATTACATATGTCATCTTGCCTTGTAGATACCTACCTATTCTCGTACTCTTAGTACAAATAGCGTAGGTAGGCGCGATAGAAATCGACCAAGCATCGAAACTAGAATAGGTACTCCAACAATACCTTGGAGCCGCTCTTGCAGAAGTCCGCAAATCCGTACATCATTTACGTGTTCTCGGGGCAAGGCTCTATCGCAGGTTGTGTCAGATATAGGATTTCAAGCTGTCTTTTGATTATGTTATATTTTAGATATGATATGATGTCTAACGCCAGGTACCTAATCGGATAACTTTTCATCTTTTTAGAGCATAGGGGTAAGTTGGTATGTTTATAGTGAATTAGCGCCTGAACGAAGCAAATCTCCACAGACTCAACCCCCTTTTCGACGTTTTAAACTCCATCACAGGTTCTCATGTTCACTTACCTACCCTTAACTGATCTCATAGTTGCACTTCATGCATTTTCTCAACAAGATACAGAAACGATGAGGATCTCATTAAAATGCGCCTCGTCAGCCTGCACTCCCGATTGAATACGCCCATTAGACAGTTAACGTAGATCGCATCGTGGTCACGTGTATGATGCTCATCCTGAGTCAATAACAATCAAATTTCCACCATGCTTCTGATCCTTCTGGCTCACGACGATATCATAGCAGCCAGCCACTTTTTGTGATGAAACTTACCACGATGAAGCACGGCAGCTCCTCAAATATAAATATGGCGGAAGCACCTGATAATCATGATAGGTACCCCAGCAATAGATAGACATAACTGAGAACAAAAGCTTCACATGCTATTTGAAGTTTCAAACACGACATCTACTACTAATACTATTGCTACCACTGCCGAATCACAGGCCAGAAACGAGATGGGTTCCTTAAACTACCCCCTACCGCGCGGTCTCCACGCCATCCCGCCCGAGTCCCTAGACACGCGGCCCGACGCCGAAGTGGACCGCGACATCTCGCGCCCGAAACCCGTCTCCGGCGAGAAAAACGTCTGGTTCTTCTGGCACGCGGGCTACGGCGCGATGCACCCGTACACGAAGCGCAACGTGCGCGCCTGGCACCGCCGCCTGGCGAAGCGCGGCTGGACCGTGCGCGTGCTCGACCGCGCGCCCGGCTCGCCCTGCAACGTAGCCAACTTCCTCGACGTCTCGGACCCGCGCGCGTTCCCGCGCGCTTTCGCCGACGGCGCCGTCCGCGGCCGCTACGCCGCGCAGCACGTGTCCGACCTCGTGCGCTGGCCGCTGCTGCTGCGGTACGGCGGCGTGTACGCCGACGTGGGGCTCCTGCAGATCGGCGACCTGGACCGGCTGTGGAACGAGACGGTGGCCGACCCCGCCTCGCCGTTCGAGGTGCTGTCGTACAACGTGAACGGCGGCCTGGCGAACTATTTCCTCGCGTGCCGCGCGGGCAACCCGTTTTTCGAGAGGTGCCATCGGCTGTTTCTCGCGCTCTGGGCCGAAGACGGCGGGAAGACGAGCACCGACGGGATGCACGCCAGCCCGCTGCTCAAGGGCGCCCCGCTCATGAGCAGCTCGGCTACGATCCAGGAGGACGGGAACACGATTGGGCCGGACAAGGTGCAGAAGATGTTAAGCGACTATATCGTCCAGGGCCAGGCGACGCTGATGGTTATGGGTCTGGTTGACGACGAGGATGGGTGGGACGGGCCTCGATACGCTGCGGACCATATATACGCGATAGACTATATGGTAGGATCTCAGCTGATTAATGAGTTTACCAATTGGGATGGCAAGAAGGCCTTCGAACTGATGTCACTTCCCCTCCCGAAGGACGGCGAGATAGAGAGCGCCGAGCAGAAGCAGGCCCGAGAGATCGTGGAAGCTTGCCTGCAGAAGAGCTTTGGGTTTAAGCTCGCCCACGGTTTAATTATAAGGGTATTTAGATATACTCTGGGTTCGTTATGGAGAGATCACGAGGGCTCGGATGATGTACCGGGAACGTACGCACATTGGTTGAGACATGCGACTACTTACTGGAACCAAGACGAACTACCTCCCGCTCTGAGGTTTCCAGTCATAGAGCCTTTCAAGAGGGGCCCCTTATTAAGGGAGGAATAACTTGAATATAGAAAAGAAGAGTCGCAATATTAGCATCCAACGCGTTTATACCCGGCCTTTAGATGTTGCGAAACGTCTCATAGATTAGCTGTAAATAATAGAATTATATAATCTAGCCATTGCGTGTATGCTCTAAGCGTGTACGCATTTGTTACCTTTATTCAAGTTGATCTTAGTTGGTACATCATCAATAGTAAGAAGTAGTATATTTTTCAGGCGAGGTACTTGGAAATTAATTAGATAACCAACAGTTACGCATATGAACAGTATCACGTAGGAATTGTACTTTGTGGGAATAAGTCAAAATTGATAGGACTTTGTTTGGGTTGCCGTCTGCAAATATAATACTGGGAATCTCCGCCTTGAAACTCACTAATCACTTCGTACGCGCCAACGCCGTCCCTGACCATGTTCATCTTTACATTAGGTACTTAGATAGGTATTTATGCCTTAGGGATAAGGTGGATTACCGTATCCGCCTCCCCATTGCTGTTGTCCGTAAGATGAATATCCTTGAGGGGGCGGCGGCGCTCCGTATCCCTGAGGGGGGTAACCTTGCGAAGGCTGTGATGCGCCATAATACGATGCAGCTTCTCCTTGAGGTGGTGCTCCGTAACCCTGTGGAGGATAATGTTGTTGGCCGTAGGCAGGGTAGTGAGCGGGAGGCGGGCCGCCGTAGCTCTGATGGGGAGGTTGGTGCGGCGAATATCCATAACCCGGGCTCGGTGCCGGATGTCCTTGAGAATGCGGGGATGTTGGGCGGCTCGATCCATAAACTGGTTCTGGACCTAGTGTGTTACCGGCTCCCATGGCATTTAGATCTCTTGTAGCGCACTGCGACCACAGCGATCCGGAAGGCGTGCCATGGCCCAGCTGCTCCATAAGTCCGCCGTCGAAGATGCCGCCGCCGTGTGAATGACCCTTCTGCCCCGACAAGACGTGGTTCTTGCCGTTACGCACGGATTCAGAACCTAAAATCCGGTCGAGATCGTGGCGACGTGGGTGCTCGTCAGCCCATTTGCGCACGGTGTTGAACATTTCGCGTTGGATCTCGATATGCTCGTCTCGGAGGGCTGGGTGGTGAAAAGCGCGTAAGAGGTCATTTACAACTTCGTCTACCGGCACGCCAGGATTATCCCAAGCATAGAGAACTCGCCTAGAGATGTGTTAAAGTGTGACTTGTAATACGTATCACGAACCTAGAGGATATACTTACGGGACCACGTATTTCAGGATGGTGGCAGCGACTCTCCCGGCGCACGGGTTCAAGACGTTTGTGAAATGATCCTTGGAAAGCATAGAATGGGTTGGGTCGGTACAATGGGGATTTTTCCACGGCTCAAGCTGCGAATTGGCGCTGGCGCTGATGACGCCCGAGGAGCCATCCTTTAGCACCTTGGTAACAGCGTTGATGATGGGCCTTATGAAGGGTGCTAGCAGACCGAGGACAAACGCGGTGAGTGTCTCGCTAATGTGCTCGAGGAGGCTCTCTAGACCGGGAATCTTAGCTATGCCCCTGTTGATCGCCTTGACGATCTTGTCGCGGAATTCCAAAATGGGGTAAATCTGTTTGGAAACCTTGACGGGGTCAAAGTTTTCACTCATCCCGGGAACGATGTTCTGGTTAGATCGCGTGCTCGAGTATGCTTGCTGTTCGTTTCTTCTCTCCTGATCATCTGCCATCCTCTTCAAATCCCGCGCCTCCGAAGCCATTCCACCTCCTATACCAGGCAGCTGGCTGACAAGAGAGATGAAATCGCCTCCGCCGAATCCGCCGCCGAATCCCCGGGTACCGCTACTTCCCGACGGCCCAGACGACTGCTCTGAGTTCTTCAGGGCAATATCTAGCTGGTCGACCTCGGATTGCGTAAAGTGATCATTGGCTTCTCCTAGTACGGAATGAAGAAAGTCGACGCCGCCGAAGGTACCTGTCACTAAGGGAAAGACTCGCCTACCGCGTAGATTAATCTCAGAACTAGATCCGCAATGAGGGAAAACATCGTGGTAACCGAGTTCGCGAAGGGCCAGTTCGCAGTAGTTGCTATGGGCACTGAAGTCCTCCATGCAATGAAGCGCCTGCCCCAGGCATCTCAAGGCCTCACACAGATCTTCTTCCTTACCCTTGCCGTGAGAACCATGGTAGTAGAGTCTACCGAAGTGAACACACCGGCCAAAGCTGAACCGAAGATAACCGGCGCTGGTTGCCCAATTACCTTGCTCGTTAGCGATGTAGTTTTTCATACCGGTACGCGGGTCAATTTCGGTTTCGACAGGCAGGACAGGCCCTCTCAGCCGTTGGTCGAAAGTCCTGGCATCTAGGCCGTCGGCATATCCGAGAGGATTGTCAATGTGTTCTTCCGGACGGTAAACGCCAAGGCGCTCCTCAGTGACTTCAAACTCTTCGGTAGCATAACCGTTGGCAAGGAAGGATAAGACCCAAACCAGGATGCGGATGGTGGCAGCATTGACTCCTTTCAAGCTTCCAACGTCGATGGCTTGGGAGTAATCGCGGAGCCAGTTTCCGAAATATGTACGTTGGACCATCAAAGTAGTCCACTTCTTTCCGTGGAGGAAGGCGATCGTCTTGAGGGTGTCCTCGATATCTCCGTGGCGCCAGTTGTGACCTTCTACCTGGGCGATGGAAGGGATGTTACCAGCACCGAAGGCAGCAACTCTACCCGGCATTACGATAAGGATGACCGCAATGGCGAGCAGGAAGCTGCCTGATCCGAACCGGTATGAAGCCATGGCGTTTGCCGGGCCACTAATGTAACTTTACCTCCTTTGCCAACTTTGATGGAATGATACGTGTAATTTTTTATTTTAATTTTCTCTTTTGTTTTTCTTTTTTTGGAGAATTTGATTTATGACGATGCGACGTTTGATTGAGTGTGAGGATTCACGAAGGATGGCGGGGTAGTTGTAAAAGGTACCAGGTGACAAAAAATACTTTAAGCCTTATGCATTGTTGGTGTAAGAATTTAGGTTAGAAAGTTATTAGATGCCTAAGGTTAGGTAGAATTTACCTAACCGGCAGCCGCTAGTTTGGTAGGGAGACCAATGAATGGATAAGGGAAGGAAAAGGGAAGAAAAACTAACTAGGTACGGCTTCGATACCGACGCCGCCGACGTGGGCTGAAAAGAAACTTTGCCTGCAAGCTAAGCCTTAGAGCGCAACGTTAACACATTCCAAGTAGCTACGTTATAGCTTTCCTCCAATCATGTTCTTGACATCGGATGACCGGCATAACCGCTAACTGCGCCGGCTGCGTCGATGAAGTCATATCAACTATCAGCCTTTATGTTATCAAGTGGCTGGCTGATAAGTAGATTAGATACCTCATTTATTTACTACCTTAGGTAGGTACCTATTATACTCCTGTTATACGCGTGCAAGTGCAAGTCTATCCGAATACGAACCCCTTTTAATTCCCGAACATCCAAATACGTCTTCGTCGATTATAGGATTAAAAAAAGGCGGGGTGAGTTTTAAGAATTCGACTAGTCGGAATGTTTTTCTTTGCCGTCGTCTCACGTAGGGCTGTGGCTAATCATTATTCGAATGTCAACAAAGTACCTAGGTAACCTTAGGTAGGTAGGTATAGATCGTCGAGGCAGTTCGCCACGCGTCTCACGAAGCCCGTAAGAGCACATAAGTGCTGAACCTCATTATTGACTAAAATGTCCAGCTGGCCAATATATCTTCGGTCGTTCGCTAGCGGCGTACGACGTAGGGCTTGTTTCCTAAGTGAAGCTACGTGACGGCAAAAATCCAAATCAGGATCGATCAGGAGAGAGGCTCTACCCGACACCGAAGGTTCTGCCGTCGCTTTTACATACTAGGAGGGTACCAGGTAAGATAGCCACAAATAAAAACCTCCGGCTAGCCGCTCTCTCTAATCGCGCAATGGCCCTGCCGATCACGATTTGGTGCTGTCTCCGGTACTTCGTCTAGGTTTGAAGAAGCCGCATAATTTAGAGGCGGATACGGATAAATAAGTCTAGCGGCGCGCAGAAGCTAAACGGCTGTGAACCACGAAAGGGGAAAGTCGGCAATGGGACTCATTAGTCGGCTGCGGGGAATAATGTACGCAGTTGTGGCTACGCCTTACTCGCTTGGCTTAGGTGTTGTTATTGGCTGGGAAAGATGAGGCTCTTGATAGACCTAAGCTGATACGCTGGACAATGACTCTAGGTCCGGGGTTGTCACATTTTAGTGCCCACCATCTTCGATTGTCGACGGTGCAGCCGCGGGCCGCCGTTTCGGTAACGTCTATTGTGTAGAGAGGTCTGCTGTGGGATGCATAAGCTACGCGAGAAACATTCAGCCATGTCGCCGTCAACCCCCAAAGGGGCATGAAAAGCTACCAACTCGGACTTTTGGGTTGCACAAAGATAGTAACTAGAACTGAAACAGTCACGGCCGCAACGCTATATTGGTTCAGCTTCATAAATGGCGGTGGCCTCGGCCCTGTGGCCTAATCCTCTCTCGCACGACGGTGACCTCAACCGGTGCCCTCCGGCGACTTGTTAGTTTCGAGACGAGACTTTCGGGACGATCTACTTCGCACACAACTGCTCCTAACCACCCGTTTGGACACTTGTCCGATTGCTAACAGAGCGGAGTTGGTTCTGCTGTGGTGGCAGCGGTAACGACGACGCTGAGAGCTACAGGGGTCGTGGTGCCATAATGCTTGATGTGTGACTGTGTAACAAAGTCTGAAATTACTCGACGCCGCCATTCCTCCAAAGCTTGAGGCGGTGCCTGACATATATCTCACTGCTGAAGTGAGCTGATTGCATGCAGGTAAGATGACGATATGACGGGTAACTACTGACAGGTTGCAACGTGCGCGCTACTTAGAGACGTTATGGCAGATGCGGTTGGTTGATCCTGCTGTCGTGTAAACGTATTCACCGCCTCTGGAGCCTCTTTCCTTTGACAGGACACTAGTTATACCGTAAAGCATACGCAAGAAACTAGAGATGGCATGGTACGACCAAGCCCCATGATAAGGATGACGCGAAAGTAGCCCTACGGGGGTCAGCGGCACAGCTGGGGTAATTTCCAGAAGGTCGGGATCGGTAAGTGCCATGCCAGGATGCCAGTAAATCTCACGACGATGCATCGTTGCCGCTCGCGTGGAACGGAAATTTTTTGACGAACCAGCCTTGCCGTAGAACTCCCGTTATCGTAGGTGCCTCAAGATATTCAGCATGCTATCAAACAAGCATTACACCGCGTTGATCCGTCGGGTGGGATCTGTGAGGCATTGTCTGCTGTGCGATTAGCGTGGATCCACGAAAGTGCATAGTCGGGTAAATTTCTAAGGAGATTTAGCTTGGATAGTGTTGGTTGCAGTTGAGAGTGCGGTGATACCTACACGCAGGCTGGCATCGGTCCAGCAACCCGACTTTACGCCAGACGCGCCTTGTCCTTCTCGATACGTACCTATCTCATACGTATATTCGCGAAATGATACGAGAAAGAGGAAGTTCGTGTTGCTCAACGTAAATGTTCCCTCCAGATGCGAGAGTAACAGCGCGTGGATGCCAACCGATTGCCAAGCTGATGGGAACTATTTGTTAACCTGCACAGCCCTACAAGGCAGCTTCAGGCGTTTCGGCTTAGCGGGATGTCCTGCGGCCTCTTATTGCACGAGCAGTTGCGTCTCACGAGAATTGCCTTCGCAGTTTGGTATACACCCCCTCGTGATCTATTATGGGTGATCTCGTCAGCACCTTGCGTAATCTAGCGGCTCGTCCACCGTTCTAAGAAACATATGCTTAGTATTGATCCACACCCAGCGTAATGTAAGGGACCTGTAAGAGTAGTTGCCGAAAATAGGTTTCCGAAGAGGACTGGTCTTCCAGAACTCTTGCGTATCGAGTTACACCGAAGTGATCCAAACGAAGAGTGATAAACAAACTATAAATAAGGAAGACTTTGGCCAGGAATTTGATACTAATTCGACCACATACAAGACCATCTCCAGAGCTTCTAAACAAACATATAACTTTCTGCTCATCCCATCAAGCCAGACGCTTGTTTCATCTATACAACATCACAAAACGCTCGCCTCTATTAAGGTTATCATATCCACTAGAGAAATCCCATCAAGATGACTCTCACTCTCTGGAAGGATATCTCACCTATGGGCCAGCCGCTTCGGCAGCCGTCCAACAAGTCCCCGCACGTTTTGATTATTGGTGGCGGTGTCACTGGACTGATATCGTGAGTCCATTCTCTGCCTCCTGTTTGAATATGCAAGGCAGGATACTAACTCTTACACCACCAGCGCCTGGGTGCTTCTTGATAAAGGATACCGCGTCACTATCGCCAGCAGCACATGGGTAAACGACGAGCAGCGCCTGACGTCGCAGATAGCCGGTGCCCTTTGGGAGTTCCCGCCTGCAGTATGCGGCCAGCATACAGACAAGATTTCCCTAGCCCACTCTAAGCATTGGTCCATGACGGCATACCACATATGGGACGGAATTGCGTCTATCCCGGCCCTGAGCGAAGCTTCCGGCGTGCGCATGATGCCGTCGGACTTCTTCTTTCCAGAGCCCGTGGAAAGTGATAAAGCCCAAGTCTCCAAGATGACAGAGATCATGGCTAGCGGCGTGAGAGGATTCTACCGAGGAGCCGATATCATCGACGAGCGCGGGGTCGACCCGTCCTACGGCGCAATAGATGCTTACGAGCTTCTAGCGCCCGTGATCGACACCGACAAGGCCATGGTGTGGCTTACGGAGCTCGTCGAGAGCAAAGGAGCTAGCCTCATCACAGAGACGATTCGAGGCGACCTGGTAGAAATTGAGGACACGCTACGAGCTCGGTTCGAAGCCGACGTCATCGTCAACTGTACCGGTCTCCAGGCCCAAGAGCTCGCCGGCGACGACAGCGTCTATCCGATCAGGGGTGGTCTCATCCGAGTGATCAATGACGGGACGGACTTTCCGAAAGTAGATGCGGCCCTTACTATTACGGCAGATGCGGCTCACTCCGCTAACGAGATCATATTTCTCGTACCTAGGAACGATAATATTCTTTGTAAGTACCCTAACTTCTATTCGCTCAAGATGCGAATGACCAGGGTTGCTAACTTGTAGGGCAGTAATCGGCGGTATAACCGAGCCGCATGAGTGGAACCTAGATCTCACCCTGAACACTCCAATCATCCGTAGGATGCGGGAGAGATGCGAGAGGTTCCTTCCCGGCTTAGAAAATGCCAGGGTAGATCCCGAATATCCGCTTGCACAGGGCCTGCGTCCTTTCAGAGGCCAGAACGTGAGGGTCGAGCGTGAACTTCGCAGGACTGGTAGCCGCATTGTTCACTCATACGGCCACGGTGGCGCAGGCTGGAGTCTGTCATTCGGCTGCGCGCGAGACGTTGCGACACTTGTCGACGAGGCTCTTGAGGGGGTCCCGGCTCGACCGATGAGCGAAACGGCCTTCGAGCGGAAAGCGGCGGGATTTCAACGACCGGGACCGAGGCGCTGAACAATCGGATTACGGCTTGGTTTTTCTTACACTTGTCTCGGCGTCGATATGATTAAAACGGGTCAGGTTTAGAGCAGGCGTAGGTTGGCGTATGTTCCATAGACGGAATTCCCTTGCTCTCGCTTCAAATTCCATTTGTATGTATCAAATAGCTCCACATCTTGTCGTTTAGCGACGTTTCAACATAGAAATCAAGACATGACTATGAAAGGAAGTCTGGCGGTGACCCATATCGCATTATCTGACCACCATATAGAGCAGAAGCGAATGAGAGTCCAACATGAGGATCTTCCTTGCAGAGAACATTACTCATGACAGTAGTAGTTGGACTGGCTCTTTACACAATTGGGACGTGTAGGGCTGATGGCTTACGCCCCAAAACGGCAGCCAGGTGCGTATGAATAAGCAAAGTAGATATGCGTGGCATGCTCATGCTGCAAGGCTGTATGAGTCCACCTCTTGACCGGGGTAGAGTGCTCGCGTCGCACGTAAGAACACCGGTCTGGCCGTTATAATCTGATAGTCTCACTGCAGAAGGGGAGTCACACGGCAACAAACGAAGGCTCTAAGACACGGAACAAATGGGCATGATGATATACGAGACATCCCCAATCTGTAAGGGATCATGCTGATGGTAGTGTTTCGGGCTTCTCGCTTCAGGGACGAACAGAAAAGTATGGGTCTATGCAATTGGCATATTTCGAGGCGGAAAGACGCGGGCGTGAGAATAGGTAAATCGCCCTGCCCCTCGGTGATATTTTAGTACCGACGAGGCGGGTGAGACGGGTACAAGTCGACTAATCGAGGTAAGCTTTGCGGTGAGCACAACGACCTCAGCCTACTGGTACTCGATGCTGACTGACGCGAGTATAAATAAGCCGACCTGGGAAGTAAAACACTTCAAGCAACGACTTCGATAGCTTTCAAGTTTTCAACAGGAACGGAGTCACGAAGATCCTCTAGTTAGACATTTCAAGTCCATAGACTTTGGCCCATTTCGTCCACCTTGGACCCAGGAAATGGACCTTCTTAAGACATATTAGGCAGATCGGATGACAGGACAAAAAGACGAGGATTGCCATTCGTGTAAAAACCTCGGGGTAGAGGCTGTTCTATGCCTTGTGTGAGTGGAGGACTTGGTTACCTTAGATGCCTAGGTAGGTACGCAGTTGAGAATGCGCAGTTGAAAATGTCGGAGAAAGCACAAAGGCTGAAAGCCAAGGAACCGGGAGAGATTGACGATCCACGAATCTGGGTGCTTTGGTACACTATGAAATGAGTTTGTCAGCTAGGTAACATAACTTTTTTTTCTGTCCGGGATTCGGTGCCAAACGGAAGCATCGAGGATGAAACCGGTACCTCCTAACGGAAAACCGGATTACATATCCCCGCCCGTTCATTCCGCTAGAAGCAAAATGTTATAGCGTACCTACCTAGGTAAATAGCGGGCCGACCTGAAACTAAACCTCATCCAGTACCTAACGCGCTCTATCCTCCATCTTGCTGCGTCATTCTGCCCGGTCGTTCTCCAAATATCTCACCGCCCGCAACCCCAGTTTAAGATGTATATAGTACGAGGACTTCCCCGTACTATGTATTAGGTACTGTATAACAACCCGTACGTAGCGTATATCACCTGTATTACGACTCGAAATTTCAGGTAGATTGGGGTTAATAGGTACGCTACCTACGCTACCTACACTACCAGGTAGGTATATGTATGTGAATACGTATCTAGGTATGTACCTAATAAGTGGACGGAACTTTATGGAATGAATTAAGGCGACATGATTTACATAGTACATAACATAGGAGAACAGGTTAGGTTCCCACCGAATTCTCTGGAGTTCAACCGTGAGCTAGGCTAATAAGGACGGATCATTGGAAGTGTTGGAGCTTTTTCCTGTTTCCCAGACGACCTAGGCGACTCAAGTGACTTAAGCGGCTAGTTGCACAATCATGCAAAGACTTGAAGTGGAAGTGTGACTTTAACAGTTTAATTTCTAGGACCTCGCACAAAAAATCGAACGATACGTGACAGCTAACCCAAAGTAGGGCTGTTGCAGAAGTACATCATGTGCTGAGTGGGTACGAATATTCTGGAGTTGGGAAGGAAAAGGATAGAGTTCTTAGACGCTTAGCCGTATGCAGAACCAAGGCGAAAGGACCCTATAAAGTTATACATATAGGTACTTATCTTAAGTACATACCTAAGGTACCTACAATACAACACAATATACCTATAACATACATCCCAATTAGGTACATACATGTACTACAGTACCCCCCCCTACCTAGGTACATACCTGTGACTTTATTAAACATACGGATTACCCTAAGCAACTACCTAAACGCACCTACTTATGTACGTAGATGCAAACTTAAAAGGGCGAGCCGTCGAAGACAATAAATACCTAGCCTGGTTCGTTATTCCTTTCAAGTTCCAACCCATTTTTCCACAATTGTTGTCAAACGTTGTCAAACTGGTCTTTTCAACCTGACAACATCCTCTTTGCAGTGTCGCGTCTTCAAATATCCCATCGCCTACCAGTGGCAGCACCAATTTCACCTGGTCCCGCATTCACAACCACTGATTAGTATATTTGACTGACAAGATGAGATTGACATTACATCTTGACAACATGACTGGCTTTCTCGATTCGCTTTGATCGGGCGTCCCGCCGGACCAGACAACATCCATCATCCAGCATCCAGCATCTCCCAAACAACTCAAAATCGACTCATCTCATCTCTCTATTAGCACTTCTATACAAGATACGAAGCCCTTAAATCTTACTCCTTAAACGCACTTTTACTCTACTCTACCTTCCCGGGAAAAAATTCAATCCGGAAACTCGAACTTGATCACCGCGTTTCGTTTACCTTATAAAATACACCACCGGCCTAGGCGGATAGAAAGAATCATGTCTTGGTTTCACCAGGATCGCAGCGGGAACTCCGCGTCCTCGCTAGATAGCACGGACGTCCCCCATGAAAAACGCAACCTGTCTCACGTGATGGGTATTAACGTGGAATCCCCCGATGTTGTTCTCCGGGAGTCATATGTTTCCGCGAAGGATATAGCTGTTGAACGTCCATTGCCCTTTCGCGGTACCCCACCCGTGAACTTCGCCATGGTTCTCCCCGGCTTGTACCGAAGTGGTTATCCAAAGGCCGCAGATTACCCGTTTATGCTGGCGCTTAAGCTTAAGACTATTGTTACCCTAGTCGGAAATGACCTCCCAGATGGCTATCAGCAGTTCGTTGAGGCGAACTGTATCAAGCACGAAATATTCGACATGGCCGGCACAAAGAAGGCCGAGATCCCTATCGAGACTATGCGGTCTATCCTCTCCGTCGTTAGCAATCGGAAAAATTACCCCTTACTTATTCATTGCAACCAGGGCAAGCATCGTACAGGATGTGTTGTCGGAATTTTACGCAAGACTAGCGAGTGGGATACAGCTAGCATTATTCGAGAATACAGCAAATATGCAGAGCCGAAAGTGAGAGAGACGGACGTCAAATATATTACCGACTTCAAGACAGCCGATATTCCCCCAGCAGTACCGAAACTGACGAGGGGGCCGTACATCGTGCGGACATTCTATGGCATGGTGATGCTAGCATCTTTGACCATATCAGTTTGGGTATGTTCGGGCGCCAAACTTCTAGTAATCACGACGCCGTGACCGTCAGCGGCCGCTGATATCATTGGATCGCATGAGAGGTTACGTTTCCAAGTGTGCCCGAAGCTGGCAAGGGAAATCCTGGAATAGGTGGATTCAAATGCGGTCTGAGAAGATGTGGTAGAGATTTAAAGCATCACGTCTACAGGGGGTTTAGATACTTGGGTAAAAGATGCACCATACAGGGCGTTGAGAAACAAAATTGATTGGCATTTTCGTGGATTTGAGATACAAGGGGAGGTTTGGTTTAGGAGACGATCAAGAGCTGAGGTGTCTCCCGGCGTTCGATTAAGGGTTGGCTTCGACGGAAATCCCCCGTCGCATCTTTGATTTATTTTCTCCTGTCCCCAGAATTTACAGGTTGTGGTACGGTAATATTAGGACCCGGATAATAGAAATCGGGACGGCTGGTAATATTTCAGATTAGACAGATCTATTAGGACTGTCAAGAAGCTTAATTGGACTAGCATCCGAACACCATCCTTCGTCCCATTGTTCCAACAGTTTTTAACTGATAATATGTGCGACTTTGTGTCCTCTAATATACCCAATCCGGCCTTTCTGTGTATATGTACAAGCCACCTCTGTGTCTCCTATTCCGTTCATATCGTACAGTGTCATGCTTTTCTTTTCTTCCGCGAGCATCCTCTCTCAACTCTACTAGACCCATCGCGGGTTATCTCTTCTCTCCTCCTTCTCCTTTTCACGATTGCCTGTAGCATATACCCAACCCGCGGCAATAGCGTTCGCAATTCCTATAGCGACAGCTGAGCCTCTAACGAATCCTCTGACAGAGAAGCGATTCATGAAGGCGTCCGGCTTTCTTCTCATGGCGAGTAGGGCATAGGTGCCGCTGGCTGCGGCGGTGATACCGGCGCTGTCTATTTTAAAGCCTTGTAGATTCGCGTAGCTGGAGAAGAACAGGATAGGTACGAAAAGCATAGGTCGGACTTGCAGAGGGCGAGCGTGTAGAGCTGTTATTAAAGTTGCGAGACCCACGGGCGCGAGCGGGGAATCTAGACGGCGTGTTAGTTATTCAAGGCTCAGCTGATACTTCATCTTCGACTACCAGGTAGTGAAGCCTCTATACGACGGCAATAAAATAGGTCGTGGTGGTTTTAGAGAACACATACTTCCCCATGCTTCAACACGCGACCTTACGGTGCTAGAAGGCTCTATTGTCGTCATGATTTAATAATTTAGGAACAGGCTCGTGTACAGAATATTTCTATAATATTCCGATATGTCTTGACGGGCGGGTACTAGTGAGCTTCATATGTTTCGAGATCTATTTTATTTATTGTCAATTGAGGTATATTATTATTAAACCTAATCATATAACTAAAAGCTATCAGAAGTCAGAAGCAAAACTTGACGTGAATGACGACGATGAGGCTCGCCCGGGTACAAATTTGTGCAATTTCATTGGATAAAAAACCTTACCTTTATAGCGGGGCAATTGGAAGATGGTGTGGGGTTAATCGTTATCATTAGTGGTAGAGTTGATCAATTAACAGAGGTTACCTACCTACCTGGTACGTAACATGAACGGTACCTAGGTACATGACATAGCGATACCTAAGCCACATGGTACTGAGTCTGGATCTTTTTTGAAGCCACTTTGCAATTACATAGTACTACTACCTACTGATTGTATGTACCTACCTACCTTAGGTCTTTAGAAAGCCTGAAGAACTTTGGAACTTTGGAACTTTAGCACTTGTCAACTTCAATCCATCTCCTCATCTTCAGCCTCGATTTTTAATTCGACGATAACCTCAGCTGCTCACGTTTCTTTTTGTTTTTCTTTTTTCTTTTTTTTTATAGAGTGGTCAACATCCACCTTCTATTCTTATCTGTCCTCCTTCGTACCCGCTTAATTTCTGACAACCCAGCTTAAGCGAAATCAACAAAAACGTTCCCCTACCTATCTAATCGCAACTACCGCCGCCTATCCGCCTGTGTCTGCTCTTCCCGAGCACGGCTTCACGCGGCCATGCCCAGTGCAACCTCTTCCGGCTTCGACGCCTCGAACGGAGCGCCTCGCTCTCGAGAACACAATCAAGGGAACCAGGAGCGCAAATATACTCCCGAGCAGAAAGCTGCGGTCCTGCGAATCCGACGGTGCAAGGCAACGGCCTTCTATGATATCCTAGATCTCGAGGCTGTGCGGACAACGTGTAGCGATGCCGATATCAAGAAAGCCTACCGCAAGCAGTCCCTACTTACGCACCCGGACAAGAATGGCCACGAGCATGCTGATGAGGCGTTCAAGATGGTCAGCCGTGCCTTTGGAGTTTTAGGCGACAAGGAGAAGCGCGAAAAATACGACCGCTTTGGTACCGATCCCGATAGCAGGTTTGAGAGCGCCAGGGCTCAGGCCAGCAATCCGTTTAATAACTTTGGCGGTATGAGACCAGGCGGGGGGGCGGGATTCGGCGGAGGAGGTATGTGGGACGATGAGATCAGCCCGGAGGAGATGTTCCAGAGATTCTTTGGTGGTGCTTTTGGTGGCCCTTTTGGAGGTGAGTTACAGTGATGCCTTGAGCCCCATGTGATGCGAACTTAGGGGAAAGAGGCGCGAAATCTAACGCAAATCAGGATTCGACACAGGGCCGCAGTTCGTATTTAATGTTGGTGGTAACAGGGGCTTTCGTGTACACCAGATGGGAGGGGCAAATCCGCGCAGGAGACCTCGGGAAGCTGCTGAAGCTCCACAGCGGCCTCAGTCGGGCTGGGATACTCTCATCAGCTTACTTCCGATCCTATTTCTCTTCGTTTTCCCGCTGCTATCGTCTATATTTTCGGGCGGCGAAACCCAGCCGGCAGCACCCTCGATGGTTTTTGACGCAGCTATACCGCCGATGACCTACCACCGAACCACCCCCAAACTCGGCGTCGACTACTATGTGGACCCAGCCCAGGTAGTAGATTGGAACGACTACCAATTTCGCCAGTTAGATAAAGAGGCCGAGGTAGGGTTTGTGCGGGTCCTCCGCCGCCGCTGCGACACGGAAATGCGTACTAAACGCGATCTGATCGACAAGGCGCAAGGCTGGTTCTTCCCGGATCCGGACAAGATGAAGATCGCTGATCAGTTTGAGATGACGTCGTGTAAGCGTATGGATGCCCTAGGTATTTCGCGGTAGTCCATTCCACGACTTTACAATATTATTTTCGAGCGATTCAAGTACGCGCGGAACCTATCGTCCGAAGGCGTAAGCGAGTTGATGTAAGATTTAGTCAATCTAACTGCTCCACCGTTAATAAAGAGGAGCTGCGCGTCGGTTAGATAAAGGAAACTTTGACAATGGCGTCGGGGGGTTTGAAGAGGGGGGTTGACTAAGGTGGAAGTCAAAGGTAGCATATTTCTCTACCGAGTCGAACGGTGCGCGGCGGACTTGAGAGTTCTTATATATTCGCGTTGCATCCTTCGTGTGATCATGTAGACAGACAGGCATTTGTATGTATATCATACTTCGGTCGTATGTCTACGTTTCGTTTTGTAGACTTACGTTAATACCAACCTTATGCAAGTTGTGCTGGGAATAAATCCCTAGGGCACCATTGATCTGGATTATCACAGTAACGTATGGGACATGTACCGTACCTTGAGCAGCCATTAACTGTCGCGGTCAGCCCGTATAACTCGTCAATCGTAAGGTGGTATACAATTCATCATTGTCTATGTCTCTATTTCTCGTACATTTAAAAAGAAATGCGGCGATGTGGCAGACATGAACAATGGTAACGTCAGGGGTAGTAACCAAATCCAACAACGATAGCATTACAGGCATTTAAGGTCAAAATAATACCATTATATTATGGGTTTAGAAGGTAATATTTAGTTCTCGCTTGCTACAAAGGTTCCAGCTAGTTCAACCCCTATTCTTGAATATTTCAACTCTGCCGAAGAGGCCAACCACAAACATATACCTAGTACGTACTGTACATACCTTACAATACCTAACCTATAATTGGTGAATGGCATAAAGTCCTTGCAGGTGGGCGCGGCAATGGCCTATAATTCTATTAATCGTAGAGCAGCGCTCGACACAGCCTCATGTGAAATATGCTGATATTCTGTTTTTGGGTGCCTCAGGAGAAGCGGTGGAGTCTATACTGGACGATAGACCACCTATCTTATTCCCCGCCGCGGATCCATAGCTTCGTTGCGTCTAAAGTCACGAATCTCCTTGGTCCCTAGACTTCCTAACCCCCCCTCGCTCCTGCGCTCCCAGCCGCCGAGCCTAACTACGAGGCACGTTGCGTTATCACCGTCGCTGCTCACCTCGGTGGCGTACGCGACAACATCCCTAGCACCTTGTTCAGGCGTCTTAGCCTCTTTTACTATGTCGACGATCTCCTGATCGCCTAGCGTTCCCGACACGCCATCAGACATGAGGACAAGAAAGCTGTACTGGGCCGGCCCCAGCTCTGTCCGCGTGATCTCCGGTTCGGCCGAGACGCCCAGGCGTTTAGATGCCATATCCCCGAATGCTCGAGAATTAGCAAGGCCCTGGATCCGCTCTTCTCCAAAAGAGTCTGTCACGAAGGACGCCGCGAACCGACGCAACCGGTGCGACTCGCTCGGGGAACTCGGGCGATGATCTGAAGTTAACGGGCGCGGGAGACCAGTAGTTGTCTCGCATAGCAGAATCCGCGTGTCGCCTACATGCGCGACCAACAGGGTGGAACTCGCAGCCGGATGCCAGAACGGTGCAGGCGTCGGTGTAGAGATGAGAGCAACCGATGCTGTTGAACCTCCTTTAAATCTCGTCCGCCCGCCGATGCCTTGACCGGAAGGGGGGAGATGATGCGGTTTCCCCAGTACTTCGTCCAAATTCAGAGCTGTATCAGCTACGTAAGGATCATCAGGATCGGGTTTACGGGCTTGAGCGGCAATGAAGTCCAGGTCTGCGCGGAGGAACGCGTACGTAAGAACAGTCTCGACACTAATGGGCGGTTCGGGGGGATCAGAATCCCGTTTCAAATGAAAATATGGTGGGTGAAAACGCCGGAAATACCCGCCGACCGTGCTTTTATATTCCTTTACTAGTTCGCTCTGGAGTTGCAGGGCCTTTGATTCCGCCGTTCTAGCTGGCACAGGCTCGGCACTGTCGATGGCGTTGGGGTTTTCAACCTTGCGAGCTACGCCGCCCTTGTCTATTTCTGGTATGTCTGCCTTGGCCGCCACAGCTTCTGAACTCTTCATATCGAGCTCATCAAGCTTCTTTTGACCACCCGCTTCGGAATCCGATAAGATCGTAGTAGGCGCGCCGAGAGCCCCTGAATCTGATCCGCGACCCTTCCGCCCCGTCCGAAGGCTACTTTTTAACTCAAATTCCTGGGCTGCTTCTTCGATATATCCATGAAGCTCATCCCGTAGAAATGCGCTACACTGCGTTCCTCCGTGACCGTCGAAGACGCCGAAATAGAATATTTGAGGATCTCCATAAGGGCTATCCGCCGAAGTTCCTTCTCCCGCCTTGTTCATGGCACTGCGAACAAGACTTATAGGAGCGCGCTTTGCAAAAGCAGGAATGTCTATCGTGCCCGCCTGGTTTGTATCTTCATTGTATGCCCTGGACCCTCTCGAATCCGCCACTCCGAAATGATGCTTGGCGCTCCGTAGGGGAATGCGAACGACGGTCAAGTCGCGATTGGAGGGTAAGTGAGGTGGAGATAAGGGTGCCACACCGGAAGTTTCTGTGTGAGGTGCAGCAGCGGACCGAGGTAGCTTGTGGTGTGGTCCGGTTGGGGCGCGGGAGTCCGGGTGTAACGAGGAGGATGGGAGGTGAGTGACAAAGTAGGTGTGAAAGTGACGTTGGACGCTGTGATGCGGGAAAACCTTTGTGGCTCTACATTTGACGTGAGATGTAGTCGCAATTACACTTCGCGGTGCTGGCAACGAGATAGAAGGTTGTCGTGCTGCCGTGCATCTTACAGCGGCCCGGCGCGTATACGCCCGCATCTGCGTCTCGAAGAAGGTTGCAATGAAGCCTACCCCCCTCGAATATAAGTATATGTTAGCTATGTACCTAGGTACAGAGTTTGGAACCTTGACAGAAAGCTTGATATATAGAGGTAGGTAGGTAGGTAAGAATGTGAACTGCCAGACTAACCATAGGTATCGTTTAGAGACCACCTCTTCGGACGTCCGCGACCAAGGCCCATTAGGAGATAAATGTACCCGGGAAGAGGAAGGGGATTTTACTTGTAATGAAGCTTACAAGACGTGCGATGTACCCATTAGATCGAAGTGTGTTGATGATGGTAGGTAGTAGATTTAGCTAAGAATTGAGGAAGAGGCTCCGAAACTCGCAGTAGAAGAACGCCCAAAGAATAATAAGGGACGCATGTGCCTAAGACATGTCCACCTAGTTCTTCCAGGTAACCAATAATTTTGCTAAGTGATAAGATAACATAAGATAACGTAAGATAATAGGATAACATGGACGTAAAAAAGGAGAGGAGGAGAGGAAAGAGATTCGAAAGAGGCTAGAAAGAAGCTACCTTAGAAGTTATGAATATGAATTCTGAAGAGGGACAGAGATACTACATAGTAGTAATTCACAACAACCCAGACAATGTTTCTTCTATGGTGCCGATAATGAAATATCTTGATCAATGTCGGGATTTTCGCCGATAGGGGGAGATACGCCTTTTATATATTTATTTTTACGGAATAAATTCATTTGTTGGGATTGAATTGGGATGAGATTTTGGGGGAAGAAATGGTTTGTAGGACCTCGGGACTGCCCAAGTTTGCCAAGTGAATTACATAGTACCTCAAGCTATTACCCCAACCCGACGCCTTGGACCGTTAGACCCACTAAGACTTAAGTACATGATATAGGAACGTTCATTAACCCCACCGGGTATCAGATAATGTTTTTTTTTTTTTTTTAAAAAAAAAAGGAATAAGAAGAAAAGCTTCTAAGATACCTAGGTTTCAGCTAGTAGAAGTACGTAATGTATATATAATAAGTGTGTAGCTCCACTTGACTCATGTTGTATACATATAATATGAGGTATATTGGAAGATTTGCGGAAAGTACCTCAAGAGGTATGCGCTATATGTGCTACCTATGCGGCATGCCGTCATAATTGGCGGGGCTTTAAGGTTCTTTCTTTATCTTAAATAAATACACTACAGGTACCTTAGGCACCTAATTACTATTGAGAGCGATAAGATAAAGAATAAAATTTAGGGATGAAGGGTGCAGCATCTATGCATCTACAAACATATCTCGAACAACAACTACCTACCTGAATAAGGCTATAAGGCTGTAAACATCAACAAATAAAAAGAAAGAAAAAAAGGAAAAAGAGAGACCAAAAAAACAGGAAAGAAATAGAAGACAGGTACCAAGATTCTAGTCAGGCCAAAAAAAAAAGATATATCCCCAAGTCTTACGTAGCATCGACCTGCACGTCTACATCTCCATCTCCATACCCGTCTCCATCTCCATCTCCATCTCCATACCCGTCTCCATCTCCACACGGGGCAATACGTACCTAACCAACGCGGCCAACACGGCAGAGAGCCAGAGACTTAGCGCGCTCCCTAGGCTCGTTTATTAAAATATCGCCTCTCTAATAACTCCTCTTAAATATCGTATCTCTTACCGGTACGAGTCGATCGGATTGACTGGATTATGTCTATATCTAATGTCGGATCTGTTGTGTTACACCTCGTGGTATTCGTGACAACTCTCGTCAACTTCCACTCAGCCCTAGCTCACGTCGAGCCTGTTGCACTTGTCGCCATATACATAATCTCTAGGCTCTTTACTCGGACTCCCGATGAGTTCTGCATGCTAAAATGTCCCGAGTTCTGAATACCCAGGTCGACGTTGAGGGAGCCTTCAACGGTTATGTAACGCCTAACGAAGACTACTTTGATCGAGGCGGTTCCCAGCCCGTTACGTCGCTGTCGAATCGGGATCATCGAGAAAAGAGATCGCCCCCGATTCCTCTTCACCCTCGTCACCTTCCACCCAACGTCGACAGCCTCGACAGAATGATCTCCAATGCTAGGAAGTCGAGAGGCAGCAAAAAGGTTGGGATTCGAGATCGAATATGTTGCTATCAATGGACTTGGTTCACGATGGTACGTTCCTGATATTGGTTCTCAGCTAGGAACCTATCCCTTCTAGGCTGCTTACACTGCTAACAACACCCTGGACGTTCAGACTATGGTAAGCTAAGCTATCAAACACACCCGTACCCGCGCGGGTCTTCTTGGATCTTGTCTCTCGGTTTCGCATATGCTCAACTTCGTGTCGACGCAGGCAACAGGCGGTGTCTCCAACGTCCTCTACTCCATATGGACTCCTTACCGGGCCGACTGGCTCTGGTACATTGGCCTGGTCTTCTTCTTCTTCAACATATGTCTCTTCATCATGAACTGCGTCCTGATTACGATGAGATTCGTCATGGTCCCGGGAAGTTTCCTGCATTCGTTCCTAGACCAAACGGAATCTCTTTTTATCCCGGCCGTGGTAAGATCAAGATCCATTCATAAGACTGCTTTGTTGGCGTAGAGCTCACGTATCCCCTTTTGAATAGGTAGTGTCGTAAGTTGAACGTAATCGTATAGTTCTTTCATGTGCTTACCGACCACGGAGGTAGTACGGCCACCATCTTGATTAATATCTGCGAATACGGAATTCCGATGACTGGCCCCTGGTTGCAGCGCGTCATGGAATGGCTGTTCTGGATATATATCATTTTCAGCGTAGTGGCGAGCACAGGAATGTACTTGGTCCTGTGGTCCACTCAGTGAGTGAGCTCCCTTGGATTTTTGAATATCCCTAATGTATGACTTGGTCTATAGGGCTTTTCCTATACATACGATGACGCCTGTTTGGGTCTTTCCTGGATATCCGGTACGTATGACATTGCATTCGCATACCGCTCAGGCGTTTAACGTGTTACCAGCTTCTCCTGTCCGCACCATTTGCTAGTATGCTCATAGCAGCAAGCACGGCCGTTTCGGATATCCCGCCAGCCGACGGGTTAGCCATTGCGATGTGCGCAATAGCAGTGCAAGGAACTGGGTTTCTCATTAGTTTCATGATATGCGCTGCGTTTCTCTATCGATTGATGACCCAGAAGTTACCAGGCGATACGCAGCGGCCAAGTGTTGTGAGTTCTGATGAATAATCTCTTCCGTGGAAGAGTGACACTAATGTGACAAAGTTTATTTCTATCGGCCCTAGTGGCTTTACAGTGGCAGGACTAGGTACGATTTCTTATGTTTTCCTTTGCTTCGCTGTGCATAGATGATTTACGAAAAAATGAAAAGAAAAAAACTCTCAGGCTAATAGATGAGAGATAGTCTCCCTTGGCCAGCAAGCTCAAATCGTCATCCCGGACAACTTTCAAGGCTCGACCCACAGCGTTGTTATTCTGCGACTGCTCTCGACTATCATCGGTCTATGGATTTGGGGCCTTAGTATCTGGTTTTTCCTAGTGTCGGTCGGCTCGCTTACGAAGTATGTACGCCCTGATCGCAAGATGCCTTTCCAAATGACCTGGTGGTCCTTCGTTTTCCCTAATACGGCTCTCGTGACTGCGACCTTAGCACTAGCTACCGCCCTCGGCAGTCCAGGACTTCGCATCGCCGGCTGTGTAATGGCTGCCGTTTTGATCGTCGTCTGGATTCTTGTGTTCACTACCATGATACGCTGTCTCTGGAACAGGAAGCTGTTGTGGCCGAAGGACCTAGAGAGTGAGTAGGTGAGGGGACGAGTTACGAAGAAATAGTAGAGGAAGCGGGAATATCTGATTATATCACATAATATTCCTGTTGGACACGACCTTTTTTACAGCATCTAGTTATAGTTTTGGCGAATATACCCTTTTTTAATAAACTGTGGAGTACCAATAACTCATGCCTAGAACTTGATGTGATAGACTATGAAGATATATCCAATAGTAGATTCCTATTTCTAGTACATAAACGTTTATCTGTCAGAGCGAGGAGTGAAATGAGCGCAAAATATGAATCCCACCAATCTCTGCATAGTGCGTTATGACCGTAGCTTAACCATATAGGCAGGCTAGCTAGTCAACCTCTTCAATCTTAGGTCTCGCCCTCGGCTCCAGGGAAGGCAAACTTGGAGCAGCCCCTATATCCAAACCAGCTAACCGCGTCAACGCCGAAGTATTCGGACCACCCGGAACCTCTGCGGCAGGAGGTACCAAAGTTCTCAACTGCCAATTATGTAGGCTCTCTACGACATCTCGCGCGTGCTGCTGCACCAATCCATCGGTGTCCGTCTGAGCTACATATTCCAGCACGCGCGCAATATCCTGCCGGCTTGAGTCGGTTAACCCGAAGCCGAGGCGCCTGCCGCTCTCGCGTGCGTCCGCGAGAGACCGTACGAAGTGCAAGATGAGTATGATAGCAGCTCGACGAAGTATACCAGTCTCCGGGCCCGATTCGAGGGTCAGAACGTTGAGACACAAGTCAACAGATGCCTCAACGAGAGGCGCACCCAAACCGGCAATGTTAGTCTCGATAGCAACCGAGAACACGGATAGAGCCGAGGCGCGCATGCGCACATCCTCGGCGCCGCGCTTGCTCTCCCATCCCGATATAATCTGTGCTATCAACTCGCTGCGCGCTTTTTCGTCCTCCGTCTGATCGTCTTCGAGTTCGCTGAGGTCGGGTACCTCACCCTGCCAAGCATCCTGAGCCGCCTTATTCTTCAGCTGTTTGAGCCGTTCCTCGCGGTCTTGTTTTGCCTTTGTTTTGGGACGTTGAGCGCGCCGCCCTGCAATCGCGAGGAGCGCTTCGCCTACTTGCCGTGCTGTCTCGCCCGAGAAAGTCTCACCAAGGCGCTGGACTACTTGGAGTAATGCCTCGCCAAACCGCAAACGAGCGTCAGTGGTTTCCAATTCGTTCGCGTCTACATAGTGCTCCAGGATCTCCTTTGTGGTTGAGCGAGGGTGTCTATTGGAAAGCTGGGTAAATAGTTTTATCACGGTCAAATTAACGTAGTCGTCGTCTTCATTTAGGAGCGACGAGAGAAGGACCAGAGTGGCCTGGACATCGAGAATAGGGCTGCCAGCTCGTATCAAGCCGGACAGTAAGTTCAGACCCTCCGTGCGCACCGGCGGGGGCGAGTCTGCTTGCGTGATGTAGGATATGGCTAAGTTGTATGTCTTGCGATCTTCTACTTGGCGATCCGTGGGCGCCGTCATCCGTTCGGACGGATCTTCTATGGCATCTCGGTACTTGAGGAGGAGGGAAAGGTTTCGGGCCGTCTGCGAAACATCTTCCGCTTGCAGTTGGCTTATCTTTTCGAGGGAACCCTCTATAGAAGCGAGAACATCACTGCGTACATTTGCTTTCTGGAAACCGGGGGCTGTGACTACGAGATTCAACAGGCTGAGCGCTACAGGCGTAGCGTCATCGTTGGCTGCAGCTGATGAACTTTCAGACTCTCTCAATATTTGGCTAACGAGTTCGAGCATTTGTTTCCAGCTCGAGACTAGTCGGTCGGATAGTTTCTCCATCATTTTCTGGAGTACTTTCGCTTCGATGAGTTGTACTGTGGGGTCTTTTTCTTTCCCAGCCTCTGGGATCAATTTGATCTCCTGCGTAGATTCCCTTGACTCGAGCGAATCCTGCAATAGTCTAAGAAATAGTGTCGATATATCTGAGTCAGTCCCGACCGATTGCAAAAGATCTAGAAAAGCTTCTGATTTCGATTCTAAGAGGCCCAGGTTCAACTCGAGATTTGCGTTATTTGTGCTTTCCCGTAGACTCTTTATCTGGACATTAGAGTCCCCGACTTTATCAAAAGTCCACCGAGGGTTAGATGCGTCAGTACTGCCACTTGTGAGGAGGTCGCGAAGAAGCGCCTGAAACTTTTCCGGTGAGCCCGAAATCTTTAGATATATGTTTAGGAGTGTGCTTGTGGGGCGTCTATATTGCTCGTCGAACTCCTTGCTCGCTGGCGGCCACGAGGATAATGCCCAGAGCTGAAGCATTAACGGAGCAAGCAATCTCTTTGTCAAGCCGGGATTTGGATGCGAATCTAGTAGAGAAGACAAGCGTTTCAGCGCGGTACGCAAATCCTCCGCTTCAACAAGGATAACTTCTTTGCGTAAGTCAACAACCTCATCAGCGCTGGCGCTGAGCGCTAGAGACTCTTCCGTAAGCTTCTCGGATGATAGGGTAGGATTAATCTTGGCGAGCATCGGTTCCGCAAACGCTTTCCATCCGGGCGTTCCTAAAGACTAGCATTAGCGGAATACAACTGTAAAAGGGGCTTCCCTCGCCGAATCGTACCAGGAGCCCCAAATTGCCTTCTCCCTAATACACCGAAACCTATCACATAGGCGGCTGCCTTCGCAAGGTCTGCACCGTCTTTCCCATCAAGAAGTGCCAAGAGCTGGGGGGCGATGCCGGGAAACCACTGCTCCGGTGGAACGGTATTAGGAGGCGTAGACAATAGACTGGAGGCGAGCTTTAGGGCTTCCATAGTGATATTGGCGCCTTGTTTCTGAGGTGCGGCCGCCTCGGATGCTCTGACAGTGCTCGAAGGATGGACGGAGAAGACGAATTCTAGGGTAGCCCGAACGCCATCAGCCCGCTGGGGGAGCAAGGTGAGTATATCCATCAGATGGACTCGAACCCATGACGGAACTCGATCGGGCTGGGTCAACTTGCTCAGAGCAGACATGAGAGCCATAGTATTGGACCTAGGACTGTTCAGAGGAAGGAAAATAAGAAATAATAAGTTGGCATCGATTTTTACCTACCTGGATAAGACTGAGCTAAGTTCCTGCTGGCCTTCTGAGCGAGATGACCCGTCGCTTTGGGAGTTAAATGCTTTTAAAGAAGCCTTCTCGATGAGAGATTCGAGCGTAGTTTTTTGGCCGTCCATGATGGCGGGATAAGATAGCAATTTACAGAATCTTTTTTTCTTTTCTTTTCTTTCTTTTGAACAATCAGGTAGAGAGGCGTAGATTTTTATGAATTAGGTTATTTCTAAAAATGAATTATGATTCCAGCATGTCTACTTAGTCATGAATGGCCAGGTAACATTATCCTATGGTTCAGGTAGTTTCAATTCTGAAAGGTGTTTTATGTATAAGCGATCTATGTTCGTATGATTTCTAAATGAATGAGAGGCCAAAAAAAAATTGAGAAAAAAATAAGGTATCTCGTCTGCTCATATGGGATATCATACATGTACGGTAATTAGATGTTGTATTGGCTTTCCAATTAGTGGACTTCGCCCACCAAAACTCAGTACCTAATACCCATTGCTTTAGGTACGTAGCCCGGTAAGCAGCAACTCGTACGTAACCTAAACCGCATAGCGGGGTCAAATGACATAGGAGGTAGGTACCAAGGTACAGTAGGTATTGCATTGTACCTAAGAGGTAACCTAGTACAGGTATCTTAGGTACTTAACCCACCTGTAATTAGAATTTAGCATGCCTAATGCTGCGACGCGTACTATGTAGGACGCGGGTCTTTTTTAAAAACCGTCGCGTCTCACACTTTACTATGTATTTACTTTATTCACTTTCTTTTACCTGCACCAATCATCATTGTACTCCTACAGCACCCATTACCAACTTCTCTATCCTTTGTCGGAGACAAGTTTACTGTCGATATCCATCCGAGATACGGACTTGTATCGTTTTCATCGCATTCTATCTCCCTCGAGTTTTAGCTCTTTCGCTCGTATCTTCTCCCTGGTGGACAAGATCGGGTCCATACAAACCTCGCATGACGCCTCCTACACAGTCCTCCGATTCCCATTTTCCGCAAGGAATGTCTTCGCGACCCCTCAGTCGAACCCAACACACCTCGTATGACACGTCGCTGCTCGGGGTCTGGACCTGATGAGCATTGCTGCGTGAGGATCGTCGTGCGAAGGTAGTCAGTTCCACCTGGCTAACGGATCGACTGCTAGGGAATGGTGTCTCGGAACTTAACCCTAACTACCCCATGGTTCTAAGTATTGCGCTTATTCCTGTCTATGTTCTGCTTTATAAGCTTCACGTTGTGCCTCCGCAGCCTTATCCTGCTGAAAAGTAGGTTTGGCTGATAGAGGACTTCGGGAGGTGGAAGGGCGGTATTAGATGCTCCAGTCACCTTCGAGTGCGCAAAGTGCCTGAGCTATGAGTCATTTCGTTAAGAACTCCTGGCCCGGAGTCGCTCGTCAGCTCTGCGCCGCTGGAATTTATACTCTGGTCTATATCACCGTGCTGGCAATGCTTGTGCGGCTAGATACGATGGAAGATGTGTTTCCTGAAGGGTTACTGTTGTTAACGGGATTTGGTCTTGGCTCGATTGGGTCGACTATGTGCCGCTGAGGATGGCGGGGAAGAACGTGACGCGAGCTACACACAGTCGAAACTCGGGGATACTTTCATCTCTTCGTCGCTGGTATTGTTCGCCGGAATCACCTCCGCTGCCGTCTCTTGACCAAGCTTGGTGAGCGACGGCCACGCGGCTGCAACAGAAAGTCTCCTCGGGCTCTTCGACGCCTCTACCGCCGTGTCATATGCTCTGAGTACCCTGTCTCCTCTGGTCACAGTCTTGTTTATCTGCAGTGGTCTAGGCAGAGCCTGACTCTATTCAAACCTTCACAAATTCATCTACTCCATCTGCTCTAGTCCTACCCAGCTTCCAGCACCACATCTCAGCAGCAGCTATCGATGTGTTCTTCCCAAGGTGAGACCAGGCGCATTAACCTCTTCTCGTGGGTCTTGCCCCACGATGCTAGTGGACACCAGATCTACTTATCGGCTGCTCTCGTGGCGGCTTATGAGTATTCCTCGCCCCTACCAAATGGATTGGGCAGAGATGACAGTGCGGCTTTTATGGATGTCTTTTGGTCGTACGGAAATGCCCCCCTTGTTGCTCTTCGAAGCTCGTCGGGGAGGAATCAAAAACTAGTCCGCGTTGGCAATGCGTTCAACAGAAAGAGATAATCTCGAGATCGAGGTTGATGCGAGAACTTGATACACTCCGCCGGTTTCAACAGCAAACTTCATCGATGATGACATGGGAGAGAATGGGAAGTAGGTTCTATAGGACTGTTGTGAGCCACACGATTTGCGACCCGTCGGATGCCATTCTCTACAAAGACAGAACCGGGACCCAGCTCGTGTTGGAGTCAAAGCTTAGCGCTTGTCCGGCCTGATCGATGAAGCGAGTGGTGTTGATATGGGGAGTCTCGTGCAAGATTTTTTGGACGTGGGTAAGGACAGGCCAATAGGGAGGGTAGTCCTAGGTTGCCCTCTACTCGTTGAGTGGAGGGCAGCCCCCTATTTTGTTGGGGATAAGTCTCGTCAATATCCCGAATTATTCGTATTATTTACTAACATCAAGCAGGTCATATGCTCGAGCTTCCGTTACAGATTCACAACCAGCTTTTCTTTCGATTTATTCAGCCCTAGAAATGAAGTTTGCCGGGGCATGACCTGGGTTTATCTGGTAAAGTATTACCATACCCTACGTAGACGGAAAGTCTATTGAATTGGGGAAGCGTTAGAAACTTCCGTATGCATATATCAAAGCTGGCATTTTACCTAGTCCATTCAGAATGTGACTGCCTCTCCGTGACTGGAAGGGTTCAAATAGTACGTCTATTAGAAGTTAGACGCACATTTGTTTTAGCTGAGAGATATCGTAAGTTCATATTTCTCATTTCTCATGTCCCTTGGAGGTAATCTTCCAAATCGGGCAGCTATTCCAATCTTCGGACCTATTGATTGGATAGACTTGAACGAGTAAAGTCCCAGCCTGGTCGCGCCGCAAGTGGAAAGTCGGCGAAACAGAGCTTTGCAGTGAATACCTTGTTCGGCTTGTTATACAGTCTTTGACAGGTAGCGGTCCCTCCTGACACCTGAGGGTATTTGTTCGAATTGGATTAGGAGGTAGGTAGGTAGGTAGGTATATTATTCACCCTATTGGGATTGTTCGATAGGTCGATAGCTTGTTGAGGATTGGAGAGTTTTAATATACGAATTTTAACTACTGCCTGCTGCACATTTTTATTCTTAATATCCTGAAGATTCTCACCTCGCAATATACAATTATTGATGTTATTTCCTTCGCGCGTACAGCCAATGCTGATCCGCTAAGTAGTTCGCCGGAAACCGGCACTGTCCTTACGTGTCTGAGCCCTTGGTTATGTGCCGATCAAATTCACCCATTCCAAGGAGTGTAGTAATCGCGGGGCTGTGTCAACGTATCAAGATCTGTATCTATATCGACGTCGACATCGACAATAATTAAAATAAAAATTAGCCTGGAAGCAGTTTTCCCAGGCTCTCTTCTCGATCCAATGCCTTTATGCTCGGACGGTGATCTATTTCATTCATTATGGCAAGTAGCGAAAAGAGATTATGGTCTTCGCGATTCTCCTTCATACGCACCAAGAGAGTTATTTTCAGTTTGACCTTACTAGTTATTACATCCGTTGTTTTGATAGGTGCGCACTCCTATTTACCTTCTATCCAAGGGTATCTCAGTCTCTCTAACGTCTTACTATGTTAGCTCTCGGTACTACGCACATACTTCGGCCCAAGACAAATCCTAGCGATGATAGTCAGCGACCGAGTGACATTAACATCACGGCGGACGGCATCACAACCGCACCGGGCGATTGGAAGCCGCATAACTCAAGTACTATTGCCGAAGGCACACCTTTGCGTATCATGTCGCTCGGCGCTTCGCTAGTTCGAGGCGAGTTCTCGACTGGCGATGTTGGCTTTCGCAAGACGATGCGCGAAGAATTGATTGATATCGGTGCTGTCGTCAACATGGTTGGCTCTCAGCGCTTTGGGGACATGCTCGATAACGATCTCGAAGCCTACGGCGGTAATCGCATCAGCCAAATTCACGAGCATGCTACGCACATTGTACCCGAGCTGCAGCCCAACCTATTCCTCATCCAAGTGGGAACGAATAATGTCCTGCAGAATCGAGACATTGACAAGGCTGGTGCGCACATGGAAGACTTTATCAACTACTTATTAAGGGCGTCAACGCGATCTACCGTCATATTCAGCACCTGTCTAACAAACACAGTTCCTAATTGCGAGCCCAAGATCCTCGATGTTAATAAACAGTACCGAGATCTCATCAAGAAATTTGCCTCGAAGCCTGTCTTATTAGCTGAAATGCATCCTAGTGAAGGCTTCCCTGACCGGCCCCAGGCCATCGACATCGGGCCGGATGGTACGCACCCGACGGACTACGGGTATAGTCTCATGGGACATATCTTTACTAAGAGTATTCAGGAGGCAGATAAGAAAGGCTATCTCCGATGGCCGGTCGAAGACGGGCTCGAGAAAGATGGTGATGCGGGACGAGCTGAAGAGACTACAACAACCTCTGCAACAACTGAAACCAGTTCAACACGCGCCGCGACGGCCGCAGAGGTCTGAATAACACAACTAGCCTAAAGTACGTAATTTCATATATAGGTCGGTCTAGTGTCGATCAATCTACGCCTCACTACATGCGCTCAAATCGGCGCACATTTATGAGTTGAGTCGAGTTTGACCGGAACATACCGTAATTTTGTGGTTGCAGATACAGGTAATGCTCGATTTAGAGATGGAGCTTGAAAAGACGCACCAATTCCGCAACTCGAATCGGCTACGCATGCCTCTGTAACGTGGCTAGAGACGACCGAAATCATGACGTTGGGTTGATGAGAAAGGGACAAGGATCTTGAAACTTAGCTCTTAGCCCGCGTAAACCAACCATAAAGTAGGGCTGGACTTCTCTGCGACTGTCTTCGATTATGATAGGTATTGTAGTTTCACAACGCCAATCATTAAGATCATAAGTATCTGCGATCCTCTTTAACATGTACAGCCGTTCTACCCGAACTGAATTCATACCTAGGTACCTACCTAAGGCATTTATTGGCTATCGTGATAACAGAAATGTTTACATATATGGTTATCTGGTATGTAAATCACATATACATAGGTAGTAAACGGGCGCTTATACGAACCTCGGTCTTCCGTGGACCCCCAGGCCGTCTCAGACTTCGTCGAAACAACCAGAGTTACAGCACTCTTATCCTTATCAACTATGGTAATGTATTGTAGGGCTTACACGAGTATCCATATAGTTTCAACTACTCGTAGTCCCATAAAACCACGGTCCCGTACTAATCTCCATGGTTTACGAATCTCTTTATCGCATTCTATCACTTTGATTATCACCGGGAAACAGTTACTTTCCACCGTGCAGATCACAATGGAATCTCAAAAGGCCAAATAAGCAAGTATAAGGGGTGTGGACGACAGCGATGACTCGAGGTCAAGCACCGTAATCCACGGCTCTCTGAATGGTAATGAAAATGAGTGGCACGAAGTAGAATTGAGTAGGCCGACAACATGAGCAGGAAGAATACGAAGATTTGTTGCCAGCTTCAAACCGGCGAGATGGTTCATTGATTTTTAATTATACTAATTGGCCCCAGATGGAAGTTCAATTCGGTTGCTTCCCAGGCTAGTAGCTATGGCGCCTGTCAAATGTCAAATGCAACAAACATTAGTTTCTCAGAGAATCACGACGATTAAGAGAGATGAATCATACGCACCTGATCATACAGCAGAGTTCTTTACCGATGAGGTTTTACAGAGATGGAACGATCTTATGCCAAGTAAGGATTCGCGAGAATTTTCTCGTTTCGAAGTTAATATACTAACTATCAGGTAAAGGGTATGGGTTTTCTATGGGTGAACGATACGTAAAAGCATCACGATCTTCCAAAGCCCATCGAGTGGTCAGATAAGACCGGCTCATGACATCAGTTACCCATCAATTGCATTGTCTGGTAAAATTTCCCATCCCTCACCTTCTCGTTCCTGTGAGAGCCCGGCCAGCCAAATCTAACCGTTTATCAATAGTTTGCCATCATCCAGACATACTTGGACTTAACCTCCGGTCATGAGATACCAGACGACTACCACTGGCATATGATCCATTGCTTTGACTATCTGAGGCAAGCCATCATGTGCAGCTCTGACGTAGCCCTAGAAGGCCCTGAGACAACATTCACGGACCCATAATGGAGTGCCGACGGTTAGGACTCCAAGCATTGTAGGTTTCAACTGTTTTCATTATCCTATAACTAACCTAATTGTTTCAGATACTAATTGGAAAAGAGTATGCCGGGATTGGAACGACGTCAAGTCATACCTGGAGAGCGTACGATCGTATGATGACTGACTGCCATGCATATCAAAACTTGTAGAGGCACGTTGTATATAGTTATTCAAAAATTCTAAAATGATACAAAAGAACACATGAATCAATTTTTCTGCTCACATAAGCTACCTATACAACACTCTCATGCTCGTATGAAGCTCTAAACGAAATAATTGAACTTATTTCGGACATATATATCCATGTATTCCGCAAACTCTCCCTTCGCCCGCTTCTCCTCTTCAAGAGCAAGCATCTCAGCTTCCTTACTCTTGTGTTCCTGTTCTCGAGCAGCCTCCTCGGGATAACAGATCGGGCAAGTCTCGTTGATAACAGGGGAAATTGGATGACCACTCTTCGTCATGATGCTGTTAGTAATTCGTGCAGGATGATAGCCTGAGCCCTGCAAACCCAGCTTCGCGGTCAAACACTTAATCACCACGGATTTGGTGTGCCGACTATGCACCGGGTTCTTGCACCTTTTGTAGTCTTCTACAATACTCTCGCACATGTTGACTGGTCTCGAATACTAGCAGGCAGATAAGACTTTTAGGCACAACCCACACGATAGGTTAACAGCAGGTAGGTAGTGTTGGTAGTTCGTGTAGAGAGCTGAACTAGTATGTTGGGTATGAACTGAAGAATCTTCTGATGGCTGTAGGAACTACTTCGAACCTACGATGCCGGCGCAGAAGTCGTTATAAAATACCGGGCTTCTTTAACAATGGTCCTGATAATTGACAAAGACATTGTACCTATATTATCACGTTTTGCTTTATAAGGTATTGTTTTAACTTAGCTGGCATTGAATGGAATTTAGCTATAACAGTAAGACGCTTTGCATGCTTCTTAGATTTACCATCTTTTCTTTCTAGTTATCTTTGTCACGAGCTTCTACTGCTCGGGACCTGAACCTAGCAAGATGTAGAACTTAAGCTGATTCATCCATTTTACGACAAATCCAAGATTCGCAATTCGGCATATCAATGGAGTATTTTATTCCTCCCACCCAAAGATGTACGTTGCAATAAAATGATACCCAGCACATCTGTCGATTTCAATCCCCTCTCACCTGGACGTTGATGGATAGGTAGGCACATGCACACCCAATTTGTGTTTAAGCTTAATGTGCCCAACCAATAAAATATTATAAGGTTCCATGATATTTCTTACCTTTAATATTTATAGTAACATTTAAGCTTGAATGATACCTAATACCTACCTCGAGGTTACTATGTTAGGTAGTTCTCCTAAGATGTAAGTACATAAGTGGCTTAAAAGCAACCGTGCGCAAGAAATTTGAAGACATGGAATTTTAGCCCCTGAGTTATATCATCATACATCATACCTACCTGTACCTAAGGTTAGGTACATGAGGTACCTAAGTGTATGCGGCCAAGAATTCGATGTACAATAATAGGTACCTTTAAGAAAGTACCTCGTAGCAGCCACAATTATCCCTTACTTATTCGATAGAAAGTACCTACCTAGGTACTACATTACAGCGTCAGTACCTATCATAAGGACGGGAGGTATTCCCTATAAGGTGTATGGCATAATTTCGACATACCTTGTACTTAATTATAGGTACTTAAACCTTATGTTAAGCACTTGGGTACTCAAGTACCTAGGTGGATAAGCGGGTAGGTACAGTTACTGTAAGGTGCTGTAACTTGTAAGCCGCTAAATTGCCGCTAGTAAGGGACGGCAGGTACGGCAGGTACAATACCGCTAACGCGTTCCTCGGGCCATGCGCCACAATAGAGACGCGGAATTTTGGCCGATCTAGACGTCAAAGAATTTCTGGCCTGAACCCTGAAATAACTAAAACTAAACTAATAACCTCAACTTATCAACGAAACCGAATAATAATTTCGAAATTATAGATTTCCTCGCCGTTGTTCCTCATCTGAGGAATCCATATATCAGAATATTTTATCAATTCATAGTTCCAAGCCTACGATCTGATCTGGCGTTACGAATCCCGTGCCGCTTTGTTGCCTTTTGCCTTTTGCCGGTTCTGCCCTATCAGACCAGACCAGATCTAATCTGACCTGAATCTGACCTGACTTAACTTTTCCGTGCATTGCCCTGCCTCCCTTTCCTCTCTGTTCTCTCCGGGTGTGACTGTGCGAGGGAAAAAGACAACAGGAACGCAGGGGGAGACGTTCGAGCGAAGATGCAATGTCGTATCCACCGGCCAAGCGACAGCGATCCAACACGTCGCGAGATTCCGTTAACGGCAACCCGCAGACTACAGCTCCCGCCCTGCGACATCACCAAATCAGTCCGGGTATCAGCCTGTACTCGCCAACGGGCTACGAGAATGGCGGTTATTCGCTCCAACCTACCGCACGTCAGACCGTCGCCTACAACCCCTACTCTTCCGGCGCGGTGACGAATTCGGCCGGCGGATATGGCGGAGCGTACCAGGCATCATCCGCAGGCTACGGTGCCGGTCCGTACAGCCCTCAGCAGCAAGCTAACACCTTTGTCGCACACTACTCTCAACCGCCTACGAACGGCCACATGACGTCTCATGCTACACATTTTAATGGAATTCGGAACGGGGCCTTCGCTGAGACACAGGCACAAGCACAAGCACAAGCACAGACGCAGACGCTCTTACAAGGACAATCACCGCAGACGGCGACGGGTGGAACATATTCGCCAGTACCTACGAATCACCATATTACGAATTATAATCAGCAACAGCGTACCAACCCCTCGGCGTCCACGATACCGCAACATCTATCACAGTACGGCGAGCCGTATACTTCCCAACCCACTGCGCATGCCACGTCGTATCATGCCAGTACTAATTCTTACTCGGACGCTTCTACGTTGAATTCGCATTTTAGCCCGGCACATCTGCAAAGTCCAGCTCACCTCGCAAGCCCGGCTCCTCTATCGACATCCGCGACCCAAAATGGAAATGGACATACGCCCGAAGATTTGATGCAGGAGGATGACGACGAGGAAGAGGATGCACAGGGCGAGATGGCGGACGAATCGACAGATGTAAGGAGCAAGCAGGAAACATTAATGACTGGTCTATATAAGGGCCATAGATTGCTAACGCCCGCCTTATAGGTCTACACGAATCCCGATCCGCCGAACGGGTCCATGTCATCCATACCGTCAGTTCCTACCCCGCCGATCGATGCGGTATCAAGAGGTGGTCAACGGGTAAAGAAATGCTCCTGTAAGACGGGTCGCGGAGATAAAAAGGCCTGCGTGTTCTGTGTCTGCAGTAAGCATGGACTTGGTTGCACGTCTACGTGCTCGTGCGGCGATGCGTGCGCGAACCCCTTTGCGGATCTGACGCAGTTTTTCGGCCCGTTGTCAACGTTTCCGAAACCATGTGGTGCCAATGCGTGCTTCGCTACCTGGCTCTGCAACCAACCGAACGTCGAGGAACTAGACGCGGAGCTTATAATAGATATACTGTTGTACGATGACACGTCGTGGGCGAATATTAAGGAATACGAGGAGCCCTTTAGGAAGTGGGAAGACAGTTGGAAACGGACTCGAGGGGGAAAAAGAAAGAAGAGCCGTGAGGAGCGAGAGCGCCTAGAATTTGAGTTGCTCCGCGGCGCGTTAGGCAACTGTAACCAGAACGATTTCTACGGTTACTGGTATAGTTTCTGTCGAGGCGGCTGGGTAGCTACGGACCTCTGGGACCATTGTCAGGAGTGTCGCATCTGCAAGCCCAGCGCAGAATGGCACTGCGATAAACATAATCGCTGTACCTCGGATCGCGTCTGCCCTGATTGCGCATCAACCGCACCGTACCCGAACATGATGGCTTCGTACCCGGATCCTGGTAGTTAGTTCGACCCCTTTTGTATGTAAAAGGGGTGCCTTGTTTCCTTGATCTTTATCAACATTTTGGAGGGATGGAAATCGGATATAGACAGCGCGCGTTGGGGATACATAACGGTTTTTGCGATTTGCTATAGCTTGCTCGCGTACATCCTGCATTTTTCTTAGCGAAATTGCGTGCGTCGGCAAGGAAGCATATGAGGACTTCGGGCAAAATACAGATCGATCAATTAGGGGTGCGTACCTATGTATAAAGACTAGAGCCAATATTATTAACGTCGAGGGCGCAGCCTGGGACCGAAATCCAGTTAATATTGTCACCATTCAGCTCATCACCGTGCACCTAGCGTTCAGCTCTACGTGGTAAAGATGCTCCTCAAGTTTATGAGTCTGATGAGCAATGGAATTTGAGTTGAATACCTGAGCTTTTGCATGCTACTAACTGCTCGTTATTTAGAAAACCCTACCGGCTTATATCTCCCGTCTTCAACAAACTTTCCACGACGATTGCCTTTCTCGATACGCAGTCTACGCATACGCTTGTCAGGGAGGTAGCTTAGAGTCCAAATAGTTACCTATTGGACTGAGCCTTGCGAGAAGCATGAAGCCTTACTCGCCAAAGGTACGGAAATACGGCAAGAAACCAAACAATTATGCTTCCCTAGGGATTTGGTCGTGCCAAGTTTGATCAATTCACTTTAAGCCCTCTAGTGACATATTTACCTCCTGATGTATCTAAGGTAGGTGTTCATATTAATGCGTCTATTCTATCACGATTAAATTCTTTAATCTTGTGGACACCCTCACCCCCGATATCACACCGAATTTCGGCAACTTAGCATTGCCTCTACGTCAAAGCGTAAAGAGCAATATCACTCGGGGTAGCACTCTGTGAATTGGTTAAGATGCTAATCAATTTTGGGCTGATGATATGCAAATCTACCCTGATCAATTACCCGGCGGATGGAAATTTGAGGACACGGGTAACAAGTGAGAGATAAAATGCGGTACAGTCCGGCCAACACGTACCCAATCCGTCCAGGTGTCTAGAAAAGGGACAAATGAACCGAAGATTTGCAAAGCCTGGTATACGGTACCGTCTAGATCTACAACCCATGCCATAATGTGCTTCTCTCGCAAGGGTATGAGGTAAGTATATATCTTGGACAAGTACCTAACCTAAGGCCAAGGCCAAAGCTTGGGGATGTGGAGCTTAAGAATGGCTGGACGTGCTTCCTATCTGTTATAGATGACGCACATGCATGCCCCAAGATCTTGTCTGCTCCTGTGTCTATATAGTTGGTTTAGGAAAAAGAAAAAGAAAAAAAGAGAGAGAGAGAGAGACCAGGTATACCGAATCCAAAGATGGTTCAACATGGCAGGGGTATTTTAAGTGCAGGTAAGAAATGCGACATCAGTCGAATCCTGCCGATACAAAATATTTACTCGGCTTACCTAGATTTTCACAATCCTACCCAACAGATAATATCTTATGTGCGCCGTGAGAAAATCTTTCGGCTGAACCACTGCGACGGGTCGCTTCGTAGGCCGACTTGCCAGCCACGTTTCGGCTGTACTTGTTGGTCCGCTTGCATTATTCGAGGGCCAATAAGGACAAGCTCTATAATAAAGGTTGGCCTTCGTCCTAATTTAAAAGGGTATGGCCTAGCGTTTCGTGATGCACTATATATGAGAAGAGGGATTTTACACAAATAACAGCGAGGTGCCCAGGGAAATATACCTTGTACTTGATACCATTCGATACTTACATATCTCTCTTTCTCGATGTACTCAGATTGATAATAGATTACCTACCTCCTAGGTAGGTAGCTACCTAAGGTAAGCAAGTGAGTATATGTTATATGTGAGTAGAAATCCAAGCTGAAAACGCGTCTGAATATCCACCTAGGGAATGAGGCCTATATGTAATGCCTCTTCACGTGGGTAAATTGGTAACCCCACACGACTTGTATCTCATGAAGTAATAATAGCGCGAACAAGTACACACACTTCTACCTATATAGGTAGATGGCTAGGAACCAACAACGCACCTAAGATCTTAAGAATTGATGCCTTAAGTGGCCTCTTAAGATGTATGGCGAAGTAACGAGGGGCCAAATATCAACCAACACTCAAGCTAAAAAGTAGGGAAAAGCATACCTGAGATGAATCTCTGCTACATATGTTCCTATTCTTGTCGTTCTCGCAATGTAAACCCTGCTTGTTCAATATTCTTCATTCTAATGTTTGGTTCATCGAGAGGCTAGTCTATCCTATTCATTATTCACAAACAGTTCATAGATACCTAGGTAGTATCAAGGCCTGGTGGCTCATAAGCCGACCCAACCTGGAGCCTCACAGATATGAATGACTTGCAGATCAAGCACAAGCCATCCGAATCGCCACTTTTGCGTTTTCCCTGCGAGCTTGTTGTGCATACCGCGTCATACCTGTCCGCTGACGACTTGTTCAGCCTACGTCTGACGTGCCGTTGCGTCGAGTCGTTCTTATTCGAAACCTTCTCGGTTGAATTCTTTTCCGATAGACGTTTTATGGTCAATGAATGGTGAGTATAAATGTTATATGGCCTTATATAAATCCGTGCCAGTATAGCTTCTCTAACATTGCCATTGGTTATACATATAGTACGTATTCTACCTATGGTTATAGGATAATCTGGCGTATAATATCCGGAGGAAGTAAAATATACTATAACCCTGCCTTTTATTTCTCATTGACTCTGAAAAGTTAAGAATTTCCATGTTTTATCGTACACCTTACTAAAAGCTCTTGGCATATACAGATAGCCTGCAATGTCTGCTGAATATATCGAAGCATCCTTATCTGTCAAAGCGCTTGTCAAATCTAACTATTGGGCTTGATCGATTGTATAGCAGCGAGGCCTTGTCAAGACCTGAGGATAGAGTCGTGAATACTGATAATCCCCGGGTCAAGGAAGGAATCGAACCTTACAAGCTCGAGGAACTTGCGGCAGAACAGAACTGGCTAGTTAGCAGCGGACGGCTACAGCTACTACTAGGCGAAGCTCTTGACAATTTGGCAAATGTGGTGGAACTTAGCTTGCGGGATACCAACGCCGGTAGACGGCACTGTCGTCCTGGATTACGCGAGCAACTTGTCAGCTACGGATCTGCCGAAGTCCACCGACGCACGGGCGTAGATTTGCTTAGCAATGGGCTGCATCTTCACTCACAAGATCAGTTTGCCGACATGGTATTCTCAGCTACTTTATTGGCTGTTGCGAGGAGCGGGAAGCGACCCGAAACCATTAATGTGATCATACAGAGAAATGATATGGGGCTATCTAGCTCGGCTTTTATGTTCCCAAGATCTCTTTTAAGCACCTTAAGACCTGCTTTAGAAAATCTACGATCTCTCAACCTCTCCGTGAGCTTCACTTACATACCACTGGGCAGCTTTGCGCAAGGATCTCGGGGCTTCCTGCCGTGGCAACCACACTACCTGTTCTCGCTGCTTGAGGAGACACCCAACCTAGTCAGGCTTAGGGTGGTCTCCAAGGGACAAAGCTTCCTGCCGGGTGGTGAAATACAACGGCTTGCTTGGCTAATAGACTCCTCATCCGGGAAGCAAGCTGAGAAGCCTGCAGGGACGCATATATACGGTGACCTGCCCCCAAGCCTTGGTCGTATAAACCTCTCTCAAGGGTTCAAAGCCTTAAAGGACCTGGAACTGAAAAATATGATTGCGCCAAGTAATTCGCTCACTAAGATTATCCTACACCTTTCTGCTTCCCTACGGAAACTATGCTTGTGCGTAATAGGAGTGAAGGTATCCCCAGAAGACGACGAACTTGATAATGACCCTGGTTGTCCTAATGCCTGGTCTTCCATATTCCGAGAGATGTCTACATATTCCAGCTTGGAGAATCTGCAGGTTGGCTTTCTGGGTCATCAAACTGAGAACTGTACGAGAAACGAGAATATACACCAGGTTGTTTTCCTGAGGTCGGAAATTGGTACGCAATCAGCTTCTCATAGTGGACTTTTCGAGACTTGGTCATACTCGGGCAGTACCACGTCTATGAAGAGTTTCTTGCTAGAGCTTGCAGACAAGACAATTATCATATGTACAAGGTGCAGACAGAGAAATCAGAGATATCGTTCTCCCGAAGAAGTTTTTGGGAGGTAATTGAGAAAAGGATGACATGAACAGTCCTCCCTATGATATAGATGTTAACTCTAATTTTACCTGTTGAACACCGGAGAATCTAATTACCTAGAGTTATTTGACCTAACGTAACCAGGCCCATGCGCTTATACGAACAAGGGTATACCTGTAGGCGCATGGTATCTCGATGAGTTCATCCCTTGTCGTCTATGTCGTCTATGTCATCTGTGGACAACATACCTATAGGTACCTTAGGTAGGTACCTAATGATATATCCACCTAACCTTACTTATGGCCTGGTACGCATACTGTGTAGATAAGTATCAGTAAAATTTGTGTGCTGTTAATACAAAACGGTGTTGATAGGTAATTGAAAAGAATATTGTTGGATAGCTTCAAGATAACAGCTATGCTTATCTTCCAACTGGACATATATCGGCGGCTTAGCTACAACTCCTTACTGTAGATCGGCAGGGGTTCAGATAACCGTTGTTCCCCTTTTTCGGTTCTGAGAATGTGAATGGCTGCCAATACAAAGGAATCCCGCGCTTCTGCGTCAGTATGCGTGCGGGGAGATAAGCATAAAACATGATTTGCCGTATTATAAGTATCAGGGAGCTTTTTATAGATATGTATGTGCATTTGACTAACCACTCTTTTCTGTTCACCTTTCTTGATCATCCTTTTTTTTTTGGGAGACTCGGAAGAAGGTAGACACATCCTTATGATTGATATCGGGTTTTTATTGACGTTGACACTGCTGTAAACTTAATGAGCCCAATATGGCTCTATCAGCAGTTTCGAACCATGTCGATGTCGACGAGTCCCTAATCCCGGGGACGGTCCAACTCGTCGATCTAGAACATAATATCGCTACGCGACACGCTAGAAACCAGAGGGATATTGTGCTCGTGCCGACACCATCCGCGGACGCCGATGACCCCTTAAACTGGGCTCCCCGACGCAAGTATCTAGCCCTAGCTTGCGCTCTCCTATATACCTGGTTTAACGGCATGGCGCTGTCGATTGTCTATTCAGTGCTCGTGCCTCTCTCCACGGCCCTATCCGTAAGCGAAGGGGACCTCAACGCCGGGACCGGTTATATGTTCTTACTCTTAGGTTGGGGCTTGCTCTTCTGGCAGCCATTCGCGCTGCAGTTCGGAAAGCGGCTGACGTACTTGGTCTCGCTTCTCGCGCTTACGGCCGTCACGGTATGGGGACCCTATGCGCGCGGCAACAGCCAGTGGATTGCGAATCGTGTTTTAACGGGCTTCTTCGCAGCGCCTATCGAGGCGCTGCCTGAGACAACCATTGCAGACCTCTTCTTCGCCCACGAGCGGGCGACTTACTTGGGCTGGTACGCATTCATGCTGGCTGGTAGTAACTTTTTCGCTCCTGTGATTTGTGGGTTCATCAACGATGGTGTCGGCTATCGGTGGGTTTTCTACTTCCAGGCTATATTCTGCGGCGCTACTTGGCTGTTCCTTTTCTTCTTCATGGAAGAAACGAATTACGACCGGCACACCGTCGGTATTGTCGCCGAGTCTAGCCATGGAGTACCCGAGTCGGACCTGAGTGAGGAGAAAGGCAAGGAAACCCCGGCGGATCCGCCTGACCCCATCGGACGAGTGCCTTCTCCAGATGGCCGGCCGTCAGCCGAGACGAAGACATTCTGGCAGAGATTGTCCGTCGTGGATAAGCCGCGGCCGTTCATGATGCACTACCGTGCTTGGCAATCTCTCAAGCTTCTGTCGTGGCCCGTCGTTTTCTATTCGGGATTTAGCTACGGGACCTACCTCATCTACTTCAATATTCTCAACGCAACGAGTTCCATCATCCTGGGTGGCCCACCCTATAATTTTCGACCGTCTCTTGTCGGGCTTAGTTACCTTTCTTGCATGGTAGGAGTTTCCGCCGCGGCGGCTTTCACAGGTGTCTTCTCGGATCGTTTCGTCATCCGATTAGCGCGCAGAAACAATGGCGTCTCGGAGCCAGAGCACCGACTCTGGCTCTTCTCCGTATCGACGATAATAATTCCGGCATCGCTTATTCTCTGGGGTGTTGGGGCGGCTTTCCAAGTGCATTGGTTCGCTCTTATCGTCGCGATGGGTACCACAGCATTCGCCAACACGATGGGCGTTACACTTAGTGTTTCGTACTTGATCGACACGTATAGGGATATTTCGGGCGATGCGCTCACCACGTGTATTCTTATCCGTAACACGATGAGCTTTGCTATCGGGTATGGAATTACGCCCTGGCTTGACAACTTAGGATACCAGAATTGCTTCATTAGTCTGGCTTTCATTGGGTTAGCCATCTGCTGTGTCTTTCTAGTCATGATTAAGTGGGGTAAGAAGTTTAGAGAAGCAAAACGTCTTGATTATTGGCGTGAGGTGAGGAAGAGAATCGAGCTTGGGTTAGTTCACTGAGAGAGTCTTATCAAGAACCTCATGTTTTAAATACCAAGATATTTAGTTCCAATAATTAGCTTTGAAACCATTATCATCAGCTACTCAGCATTGCGTCGAAGAGTTACTGCCTAACCCTAAACTCGTTATTATTCCTACAAATTTCTTAGCTCAAGTTAGAAACTTTGTAGGAAAAGCTCTATATTTAAAGCGTTAACCTAACAAATTCTTTTTTTTTTTTAAAAAAAAAAGAAGAAAGCATTATGTACAAGGTGTAATATTAAATAAATCGTAATATTTTATATAACTTAATTAAAATACGTTCGTTTCTTATTAAAAAACATGTAAAAAATGTAAAAAGAATTAATTATACGTAATCGTATAATAATTCTAAGGCTGTAGGTTCGAAGCTCACAGCTGTTACGAATCTTGGGGCCCGCGGCCCAAGATTAGGCCATGCGCCCTGCGCATGGGCCACCTTGAGAAGTGGGAAGGACCTCCCTGTCACGTGGCACCCTCAGGAGCGTAGTCTTGCGTAGCTACGCACCACTACGCTGAGGCTCTGAGCGTAACTATGTGTAGCTACGCGCTACTACGCCTATACTGACGATTTTCTATATAGATAGCTTCGTATTTCCACTACGTAGAATCGTCAGTAGTCAATCTAAGTCATTCCTGAAGCTTACCAAGTATCACATACACTTGAATCACGATATCAACTCTGTTACCTTCAAACCAAGCCTCAACCTTGTGACAACAGCTAGTAAATTTTTATTCTTTTACAAAATACCCTCACATATAAAATGATTCCACATGTAAAATGATTTTATATGTGGAATGCTTTTGATTATTTCCAACGATTATTATAGGTGGAGGCTTTTAGGGGGGGTTTTGGAATGATTCCACAAACCCACTATCTGCCAGTATGGTATGTACTCATTGCATATAAAAGTCGCTTGCTCATATCCCACATCCTCAATATCTACTTTATCATGAAACGATATCTTCAGCGGCAGCTTCGGCCACCGTCGACTCCTCGACCCCTGTTGCCTCCTCCTCCAACTCCGGTAACGTGGTCGGGATTGATTCTTCGAGAGGAATATCATCTGCTGCAACGGATGGTGTAGCCTCTGGTGAAACATCGGTGGCGGGTATTTTGACGGTTTCGGTCGCCGTCTCTACTTCCGTCTCAGTAACTGTATGCAAGACTCGAATTACTTTCCTCTCCGTCACAGTTTCGGTTTGTTCTGACTGAAGTGCCATGTACACAAATTGGTTGTAGGCGCCCCCAAATATGTTGCATGGTTCATAAACAGTGGACACGCTCGTAGCCGCAGCGATTCTTACTTGGGATGTCGTGGACTCGGTTGCAACTTTTACAGCTTGGCCATAAGGTATTGGGGCTGCATCGGTTTCTGTTTCGACTTGAATTGTCTCTTGCTCAGGCTCTTCGGCCACGGGCTTTTCGTAACCCACAGCCAGGGTGGATTCGCTAGCATGCAGATCTTCTAGGGAAGTGGTTTCTAGGTTTCCTTCATAGTCCGGCTCAACCGCTGTAGGCTCCGGCTGTGCCGCCGCCGTATAGTGACCAGATGTCATACTTGTAGGCTCTTGAGACAAGATAGACTCTACTTCGGATTTATTTTGCTCGTCTTCTACCGATGCTGCCTCCATGGGTCTAGAAACCGGCGCATCTTGGCGCTGCATTGCTTCAGACCACTCTTGATCAGGCGTAACTACTACAGTATCGGCCAATGATGCCTGCTGTTGAGATGTCATGGAAGGTTCAACACAAATCGACGACGTCGCGAGGGAGTCGGTGGAGGAATATTTTATTTGAACGGTGGGGAGCTGTGGCGTGTTGATCCCCTGGGCACGACGCACGATCGGGGCGTCTCTCATTCGGTGAATCACGGGCTCGTAGACGGGCTCGGCCGGGGTGGGAGCGTTGCGGAAAGCGAGAATAAGTACAAAAAGACTGAGGGTAAAAATGGCGACATTCCTGCGATCTTCAATCAATACCCTCACAGACTGGAGCAGAAGCTCGGGCAACGAAGCATTCTGGTAGGTAGCCTGGTGAGGGTTTCCCGACTTGTAGGTCCTATCGGGTTGCGAGGGCGGAGAGGAGGATGGTTGTGGGATATGCGATCCCTGGTCTGGATGAACTGACGGCTCCCGAGATTGTTGCGGCGGCGAGTGTCCGTAGATTTCGCGTAGCCGTTCTTCATCTTGCCGACGACGCTCCTCAGTAGAAACCGGTGTGCCAACACGCGAAAGCTCTGGCTGAGGCGAGGAGGCTCTGAATCGAAAGTTTGCACCCTCTTGTTCCCTCCGGTTCTGATCTCCGAGATGGTGCGCACCATCTTTTTGAATTCCAGCGTCTTGTCGAGCAGCAGCGAGACGGACTAGCTCTTCTTGTAAAATGGGCTCTACGATAGGTTCCAACTCAACATCCACACGCTCCATCTCTTTCCAGCAAGCTTCCCAGGCGCCTGCTCTCATCAGCCCGTTGCTAGCATAAACCTTGACTCGGAAGATCTTGCCCGAACCGAGAGAGTCGCCGCGAATCTCGCTCTTGCAAGTGTCACACCAGTGACGTTTATCTCCAGCGCGAGATCGTTGGGAACTCCACTCATCTTCGCTCTCTTCGTCTTCAGTCAGACTTGATTCGTTAGCAGGGCCAAGGTAATGCCCGCATTCCAAGATCCGAGCCCGTCGGCGGAAGGGTAGCTCCAACGCTTCAAGTAGGCGCTCCTCAAGAACCTCATAGTCATTCTGAGGATGGCCCAACAATATACCTCTCTCGATAACAGTATCACCAATTCGGTCTTGTAGAAGCCTCCAGGATTCTTGGAGAGTTTTTAGCTGCTCGCTAACATCATTCGTATCGAGATTGTTAAGCAGGTTGCCCCATGCCCACCTTAGCGGCAATAATGTGACGTGGAGTAGGACGAGAGGTGCCTCTTTGCGTCCCTTAAAACGTGGCGGAGTAGACATCCTCTTTGGAGAATATTGTGCAGAAGCGGTGGGGGTCCCTAAACGAGAAACGGTAGGGAATTGCTTTTTTGCTGACCGAGGGGAGCCGAGGACCGAAGAGGACGGTGAGGACATCTGCGTCGCCCGTACGTCAGAAGAGGTTCGAAATGGCGGACGCGGTGTTCCTCTTACAGTTGGAATGAAACCTCCCTTCTCATATTCCCGGTCATATTGCGAAAAGTCCGAGATTCGAGGCGACCGAGTAGTGGTAGTCCTGTTATCAAAGTCCTTATATGCCTTATCGGACTCGGAAACGGCATCGTACGACCCTAAAGAACTTCGTGGGCTCTTATCGCTAAATACGTCTTCATCAGTAGCCTCGTGGTGGGAACTAGCATCACCAGCGTCGTCAGCGCGAACATGAGAATCGGCATATTCGGGGTCCCCAAGGTATGAATCATCTGCCTGGGCTGGGTCGTGAGTGTCATCTGTCCCGTCACTCAATACCGAGCTGTCCTCAATGTCTTCATGTCTATCTTCGCTTTCAAATTTAGCTCTTTCAGATGCTTCGGCCCTGCCTGAATATTCACCATCCATCTCCGCGTGGTTGGTTTCTACGCTAGGCCGGACTTCCGACTCTTCGTTATGACTAGATGTCATCTTCGTCCCATTCCTTTGCCTGCCAATGACAGCCGACTTCTTGTGTTGATCAGAAGCGACCTCCGCCTGATTTATCTCTTTATTGTTATTCTGTTTGCTGTTTACGTTGAGTTTTGAGGGATGGACCTCGTCCACCGGCGTGCTTTGGCAAGATTGGTCGACGTAGATTCTTGAAATTGTGGTTTGTATTTGGTCGACGAATTTAATAAACCGAGAAATGATGAGGGACAGAACCCAATGTTCTTAGTTAAGAATATGTCTTTGGGCTTGTTTTGGTGCGTGCGTTGCGTTGGCAATTAAATGTCGATATGGAGAAAATGGTTGGGCAAGATGGAAAAAGGATGCGGGCCGCTAAGTGTCGTTTTCCTATGTTGTTGACATGGGTTGCCTAGTCAACGCAAACCACCAAAGCCTTGACAATTCATTGACCCGCCCAATGACGGATCAGATCACAATTCGGCACAATTGGTTTCAATAAAAACAAAATTGTTAACCGTTACAATATCGCCTCTTAGGATGTGACAAAGGAAAAGGAAAAGGATGTGAAGCTCTTACTAATTTTATTGTGCATTCAAAAAAGCCGCAGATATCCAAGTTAATATTTCTTGCCTCCCTATAGGTACCTTTGTATGAGGTAAGGTATCGTATCAATTCAAAACTTCCACTTGTTACTTTATAAAGGCTGACATTGACGTCATTAGTTGTAAACGACCCAACTTCCAATTACCTACCTCAACTACTAGGATAGAGGTACACGACGGCCCAAAGGCAGCTTTTACCGTACCAAAGCTACAGTAAATGGTCGTGCAAATGAATGTGCCTTGCTTCTGCACAATTGAAGGTTTACAATCGCAATTGATGCCGTTTTATTAGATGATTACCTACGTCTATTCAATGCTATTGTGTCTGTGAGGATGGAACGAATCATAAAGGGTTCATGATGGCAATACCATAAGGCAGGTAGTCAGGTAGGTACTCTTCTTCAGCCCACTCCATCTGTCGGCTACATCTTTTATTGAATCGATGCAGTCCAATTTGATATTCGACAGCGGACACAGGGTTAGCAGGGTCTTGGAGGAGGCGAGACGTGTGACCAATCCGTCATCGCCCCCCGGTCCGTCAAGGGCCCAAGGCACGAACGCCGTCATCTATACTCTCTACATCTAATAACTCAAGGGCTTGAGTGGTGGGCCTTCTTCGCCGGTATGGATCGTCCTTCGAATGCCAGATTCCTTGGCGATATCGTAGACCTCTTTCCGCAGTGGTGGCGGGGACGGAGACTCAGAGGAGTCCATACCAACGACAGCGAGTGTTCCGCCATCATAGTTACTCCCATCCCATTCCGAGCTTGCGAGAACGTCTCCATTAGGTAGCTTGGGAAAGGGGTAGATGCCGTAGCAGACACATGATTAACTGCGTTAGGTACCTAAGTCATGGCGAAATCAGCTGCCGCTTTTTCTTGTGCTCGACGAAAAGCCTTGATGATTGCTGAGAGTTCGACTCCACAACATGAATGAGCCTGCGGATCAAAGAAGACTTCCGCGTGGCGGGACAATTTTTGATGCGGCTTTGGTAAAGTAGACGTATGCTAGAGCCTCAAAGTCGGCCTCATCTATCAGGACTGGTATACCAATATAATAGTACCTGTCAAGAAAATCATCTAAATTCTAGAAGTTCTTGTGGCGCTTGCGGAGACATCCCGCCAAAGTAAAGGCCGGGTCGTCAGAGTCGGGTAAAGTAATTCCATTCTTCATTGCCAGTTTGAATAGCAGTTCCGGCTCGAGAGAACCCTCAAGATACATGTGGTGTTCGACTTTGGGTAGACTCGTAGAGTCGTAAGGAGCGTGTGCAGTAACGTGTTACAAATATTTGACAGGCTCTCGTAGGCTAGGGATGATACACCGTTTGAAGGAAAGGGGATCTCTTGCGCTACGCATAGATACCAACGATCGCATTCGATGTTAAACGCTAATTAGTATATTCATTTTGTATATTCATTTACCTTCGGCCGTGATATTGCCCAAGGAACGAAACTTCGGTCTTAGTGTCTACAATGAATATAAGTATGCCTACCTGTATCTAGGCTTATTTATACGATTGCCAGGTGGTAATACGAATATTACACCAGTAGCTACCGGTGCATTAAGTTAAAATTAGCTTGAGATAAATTATCGATTGAGCGGTCGCAGACGAGTTGCTAGGTCAAATTCCAAGAACTCACCATGTAACATACCTACCTTAGGTAGGGAAGATGCATCTGGCTACATCGCGGTTGGGAAGACAAAGATACAGAGCACCTCTTATAGCAACAGATTCAGGACCAACACACATCGTCAATCAGGACCCGGTAAATTGAACCCCTACCTAGGTAGCCAAATCGCACGTTGATACCTAAGGCACTTCATCGGCTTCTGAAGTTTGGACTTTTAGCTGCGATTCTCAGGATACGTCTAGCTTGGCAATAACGATTCACATAATAGAAGTGCCCATTTCCGACCCGTTCGAAGATTTTCGCACCCTCTTTTTCACACCCGGCTTCGCGTGCTTCTCTTTTAATAACAAATGGCTCGATCAAAATATGTTATACAAGTAGTAAAAAGGGACTGCCGAGTGGAGGAGTTTAAGGACGGAAGCAAGCGAAGAGACACGCGGTGTTAAGGTTCCTCTACATATACAGTAACTCTTTTACAGCCCTTGAACGATCTGGAAGTTTGCCGATTCCACCAGCCATGGCAGGCAGAGCTTTATTCGGAATTGACAAGTACCTAAATCAACTAGTGCTTATAAGCACATGTCATCGAAATGTCCGACGTGGACGTCAATGCTACGAAAGCTGCCATAATACCACGACGAATCCTAAAATAGAAGTATAGTAAACTGCTCTTAGCGGTGAGTATTGAATTCTGTAATCGTCAGCCCACGTTAGTTACATGTAACGCGCGCCGTCCCTGTCTGGCAGGCGAAGAACACATCCAAATCAACCCTGAGAACTTCCTCCTTTCTATCTGCCATATTTCTTTCCGCAACCCGCTTAGCAGCAACTTCATAGATCGTACGCAATAGGTTAAATATGCAAGGGGATGAAAAGAAGAAAAGGAGGTAAAAATTTGCGGTATGTCCGCACCACTTACCTGCTTATCAGGTACCTAACCTGTCCTCCTCAGCCGCAATAGTTGCAGAGGTACCCTACTTTTGTCGAACCAACGAAAAAGAGTAAGACGAGGAAAAAGTAGTTTTTATTATTTTTTTTATGTACATAGCCCGTCTTGGAACTATGACTGTCTTATTCTTTACTTCCATTTCTACTTCCATTTCCTTCATCTCTTTAGCCTCAAGGCCTACGCGCTAAAAACTTTCCAACTTAGGTAAATACTACCTAAGGTACCTACGATGGGCAAGCAATTTAGACCAACTTTCTAGTTAGGTACCTAGCTCTTTATGTTTAGGCCCTGAAGCACACCGAATCGGGAAGTTCTCGAGTGGAGATAGAGAAAAAAACAAAAGGCAATGTTGTTGAATCGTTGGTCGTTGTCATGGTGATACAAGGTCGTTCGTTTCACTGCATATCATGTCTTGGTCTGTACTACTTCCATCTCCGAGACCATCTGTCGTCTCGCGTAGCTTGCACGCATGGAGCGAACGGCCTTGGTATCACGTCGACGCATGCACTTGTGAAAGCATCTGGCTCGGTTGCGTACAGGGTCACTTGGTAGATAGGTTGAAATCCACTTTCCAGCCGCTGCCTCTTCTCTTCGCACTCTACTTTTCCACTCTCTTCCTCAGTCTCACCCTTTCCCAGTATCAACTACATCCTTTTCTTTCCAGGTCGTGCCGGTGCGGGGTGAGCTATTTGAAATGCCGCGGTGGTATTCGATTCTCTTGGCTAGTCTGGCAAGGAGTTAGGGTCACCGTCCTGCTTTCTCTAGACAGGCCTTCACGTCCTTTTAGATGCCATACATACTACTTAGTATATGGTACGCACATGTCGTCTTTACGGGGGACGAGGATCTGCGTCTAGGTCTTTATGCTTGCGTGCTAGCTTAGTGTATTAGACTTGTGATGCGTTGCACGGGTGACATGTTTCCCAAGTCGCACGGGATGAGATGCTACTTCAGGAAACGGGCGAGAGGGATTCTAGCCCCCCCCCTCCGTGGACGCTCCATCCTATAGGAGTGCAGCGGCAGCGGACGACGAATCAAGGTAACGATAGCAGGCAAAGCAGTTAGAGATTCCACTGGGGATGAAGTCGTACGTGTGGGTTATTGTACGCATGAGCAATGCGCACGTAGAACGGCCAGTAGGCAGCCCAGGAGACGCGTCCGCTACCGGCCCATCGCTGAATCGCTACAGTATTCCCACCCCCTCGAATCCCCCATGGGAGGAGCCTCAACTGTCGAAAGAGGGAACCTCCGTGTTTCGAGTGAGTGCGGAGCCGATCTTGTCGTGAATTTGTCCCGCGAAGTCGGCAATCGGCCGCTACCCAACTGGCACGCGGTCTCTTAGCTCCATTGGGTAAGTTTCCCCATGTGTCCTTATATTTATTATACCACGCCGATTCGGTACCAGATTTCTTACCCATGCATGCTAAGGGGGGGGAATACCAACACCTACAAGAATCATCCTTTCAAGAGTATGCGAACGCAGGTATGCAAGTCTGCCAAAGCAAGATTTATATAGGTGGCCTTGATGGCACTCACTCGTCGTCAAGAGTCTCGGTCATCTGCTTCACTTGACCACTTACGAGCGAACAAGAGGTTGATTTTCAAAAGTTCCCATGCCCCGAGATTCGGTATACCTTAGGTAGGTACATACCTAGGAGGTAGTCAACTAATTTTTGTAGTTGGCTAATTAGCAGTTTGTTTCATAACCGTCGTCGCCAGCGGGCATGGATTCTTGGGACAGGCGATGCCGGTGACGTGTTCTTCCGCGAGGGGAAATCGTTACAAAATCCACTTCACCCTTGGAGAGGTGGGAGATACCTGGCATGAAGCTAGTAAATATTAGTATCAATGATAATTTATGCTTCGGTTTATCCGGTGCACTACATTGTACGCCGATATTGGCCGTTTCACGAAATATGCGCATTTTCATTCTTAGGCCTAAATATGGTATAGAGAAGAGACGGCTTGCTGCGGTATCGTGGCGGTATCGTGGCTTTTTGGCTTTTGGTTCTCCCGATTTTCATCTTGGAACCCCTGCTTCTCGCTTGTAGGACAGCCCGAACATTACCTCCAGTCTTATGCGGCTCGTAAATGCAGATCGACTCGGTGCAGCTAGGTGGGCGACGACCCTGCAGAACAACTGCGTGTGGGCCCGGAACGT